TATTTTACTTCGAAATCTTTTGTTTTTATTTGAAATCTAACTTGTCTTTATCAAAATTACAAATCTAGAGCCATTTTCAGTTTTGTTGTTAACGAAGCGTTGAATGGCGCGCCCGGAGAGGCTTAGTTCAAACGATCATTGCAAACGTTGTGATAGGGATAGAGACATGCGATTTTTCGTTTTACGAACGTAATACGATAGAGAATAATACAAAGTAATAAAAACTACCGGTTATAGGGGCATTTTATTGGAGAAATTTATCAAATAACCAAAAAACACGAATTTTTAAGCGGATTTTTTTTTCAAAAAGTATATTTTTTTTATTATTTGTTGACCTTTTTTGTGTATTTTATGTATTTTTTTAGTATTGCCTGTTATTTAGCATTATTACTGTTTTTATTTTATCAGGATATACCGCTTAGTTTAAAAGTTATTACGTTTTCTTTACAATAAGTAATTGGAAGAAAAAAAATTCTATAAAAAATTTAAAAAAAATCTCAAAAATTTTTTGACCTCTTTTTTGTCGATAAAAATAGGTCTAGTTTCATCTATTTTCATATGTACACTTTAACGTGACTCACACTGTATTATAAATTATTCACGTCCCGTGTTTTGACCAGATAATAATATAAATGAAAACATTCATTGTGCAATAATAAAAAAACTCATCAAAGTCCAAGGCATGACCTAGTGTTCCCTAAATCTCCACTAATAAAAAAATCAGCTAACATCATTTCAGTATCCTATTAAAACTTTGAAGTATTCGCTTTACTTAGGTCCCCATGTTACGATATACTTCATACAAATAGACTGAGGCGAAGTTCAAAGTAATTTAAAAGAGTATCGACCTTCCTGTAGTTGTATATTTTATTTCGATTACGATTTCGTTTCAACAAAGTGCTTGCTACACGGGTCCACAAAAGACAACCAAACACTCGTGTGGTGCATCGAGTAAAACCAGAGACAAATACAGATAAAATATCACAAACCATAGAGAAGTGGGCGTGGCTTCTCACCCACACGAGTGTTGTCTTTGCCCACGGCCACAGACCCGTGTGGTCAGCCCTTGACATGGGAAAGTTATTTTCACTATGAAAAGTAACATTTTCAGCTAATTATTATAACTTGTATTTTAATGTTGCGTCTTTAACTTACGTTTTTAAATGTTGTGAATTGGTTAATACTTCGGTACTTATTAATTTATTTAAAAAGGGGAATGTATCAGTATTTAGTTACACCTTACTTCCAATTGCATGCATATTGTGATAAACAAGTATATTGTTATGTTGTATGTTTATTTACCAAAGATTTATCAGCAAAAGTGCCTTTATATAATTGCACGAATAATTTTATGGTTCGTACGGAAACTGGAAAGAGAATGTAACAGTAAGAAGAAAGCAATGAATAGCATACTAAATAACAGGATGAATATGAAAGTTAATACTTTCATACAATAATTTAGCGGCTACACTCAGAACGCAATATTTGCTATCGCATATTTTGAAATAAGTTGAAAAACCGTCACCATTAGACATTTGCGCAACTAGCAAGAAAGTGTTCCGTAGCAGTGATATTTTTGTAGATGTAATAGATATTTATACGAATTACATATTATTTTACTATGCTATTCATTGTCTCTTGGATAGATATACAAGAGTTGTTTTTATAGCAATAGAAAAGGGTTATGGGTGTCACGCAATAAGTATTGAATAAAAGGAAGTTAGGGGATATTGTACATTTCGTAGTCTAGTTGTATAGTTCGTCGATTTATTTGAAATTATTTAATACTAGCTGACCCGGCGAACTTCGTACCGCCTTAGCGTAGAGATTTTCTTAATATTTTTTTTCCGTAAGAACCATCCTTGGACTTCCACAAACATTTAAAAAAAAGAATTACCGAAATCGGTTCAGCCGTTCACACGTGATGCCGTGACAACGCGAAACGGGTTTCATTTTTATATATATAGATTGAACAATGATTAACATGTTGTACAGCTTAGTGTGTGTATAGTGAAATTCCAAAATTTAGCTTCCATTAATTAATGAATCATTAAACATGTCAAAAAATATTGTCTTTTATTTCTCGTATTAAATCTAAAATCAAATAAAAGTCGGAAATGTAACAGAATACTGTAATTTATTACAGATCTAATCATTAAAATTAAAAATGACTAAGTAATTTGTTGGTACATAACAAGTGGATATTTAGTTCTATCTAGTTTCACATCAGTATCTAGTGTAATAAATAAAACTTACATTGCAATTATTTCAATATCGAGGTCTCCTAAAAATTGGCTAACAAATATCACAAGAAATATATCTGTTCCAGTGTCATGTGTTTCGTTTTTTTTTCTTATAGATCATTTTAATTTTGTCAACATTTCTGAGACTCCATACGGCTATGCTACAAACATCAAGCAAGAGCTTCGAAAAAATGGTCATGAATATGGAAAATATTTTTATCATGAGCCAGGTAAAATAACAAAATATTTCACAATTTTGCAGTCAATTTATTTTATCTTGCTTTATCGATTTGTAACAGAACCGATGTGATTGATCGCGATTTGGAATTTAGCTTTATAACTAATATTCAACGAATTATAACAATGCAAGACTTGCCCTGAATATATGAAACAAAAAGGCAGGAATACTTCCTCCCATATTTTTTTTTATTTCTTTCGCAGAACTAGCAAGCTAAGTAGGATAGTATTTAACTTATTCTGCTGCATAATAATATCTTGCATTTATCCTAGCAGTATATGCGTAACTATAAACTGAGGCTATTTTATTAAAAAAAAACTTTGAATGCATTACTTATTCGGCACTTTTATAAAAAAAATCTTATTCGATTTTATCGATGTAAAAATTTAAATGATAAGTTCTACATTACGTCACTGGATACAGATCCGTCTCAATATGAGATGCGAAGACGAAGCCTCGCGTTATAGTTACGACAAACTCAAGAATATGAATAACTTAGATCACCGAGGAAGCGAACTGTCAAGCCAAAACCATTAAAATTTTACTGATCTTGAGAACGCCCAAATCATCGTCACTATAGTCTATTTCATATTTTTCACCAGTGACACACATATCCAACACGTGACTGATCCAACTGACAGCGAAACGACGTCCTATGATTTTATTCAACTTTCCAAACCTTCCCCTGCCAAATCCAGTAAAATTTCTCGTCTGATAATTTTAATATCTATAATGACTGCAATGAATCTGTCTGTCCATATTTATTCTATAAGATTTAAACTATATTGCGCAGGCGTCATGCGGTAGCAAGATGTGGGCGGAGTCAGTAAGGCCCGACGCTCACTGACAGGACGGCACGACTAGGGATTTTAAGTAGCGAAATTTTTATAACCCAAACCATGATATTGAATTATAAACAACAAAATTAAGGTATGTTTGTTAACTAAAAATCCCTTATCCAGCCAGTGGGCGCGGGACTTAACTTGCGAACAAAAAGGAAAAGGGGCGGTTTCGATCACGTGACTGGGAGGGGCAGTCACGTGTCTGGAAGGTCTGTCACGTGGCTAGAAGGGGCGGTCCCACTGCAGTAAGGGGCGGCGGTCACGCGGCAGGCGTCGGCGCCGGCGTGACGCCCTCGTCAGGCTTGCTTTCGAGCGAAAAAGGCGGGATGCGACAGTCGAATGTGTAGCCGTCTTCGCGCTCCATGCGGAACGTACCCCTGTGGAAGAGAGTAGCTGTTATTAATAATGGGACTTTGTCATTTCATCGATTGTTAATCAAGGGTTGGGTTCTCTACAAGACATCTGTGTTCGCTAAAAGACACGTCATATGCCCGCAGATAGGGCTCATAGATCCGCTATATGGCACGTAGGTCAGCAAAGAGAAACCACAAGTTGTACCCCGTGCAAGACTTGCTTACAAAATCGCATCTGTAGTGAGCCATTGACATTCTGGTGAGCCAGCCATTCACGTCTGCTGTGAGCCAAACACGTCCTCTATGACCCAAACACGTCCACTATCAGTCTACGCACCACATGTGCCCGCTGGGCGCCTGCAGGCTGACGTGGCTGCTGTACTGGAAGGCGGGCGAGTGGCGCGCCAGCACGGGCTCCTGCCCCACCACAAACGTCAGCCAAACACGTCCGCTATGAGCCAAACACGTCCGCTGTGAACCAAACTCGTCCGCTGTGAGCCAAACACGTCCGCTGTGAGCCAAACTCGTCCGCTGTGAGCCAAACTCGTCCGCTGTGAGCCAAACACGNACGTCATCTGTGAGCCAAACTCGTCCGCTGTGAGCCAAACACGTCTGCTGTAAGCCAAACTCGTCCGCCAAACACGTCCGCTATCTACCACGCACCACATGTGCCCGCTGGGCGCCTGCAGGCTGACGTGGCTGCTGTACTGGAAGGCGGGCGAGTGGCGCGCCAGCACGGGCTCCTGCCCCACCACGCCGCGCCCGCGCACCGTCTCCAGCGTGCCGCTCAGCGAGAAGATGCGCCAGTGTCGTTCCCGCAGCTGCATTCTATAAGGCTCGCTAAAAGGCACGTCATATGCCCGCGGATAGGACTATAGATCGCTATAAGGCACATGTGTCAGCAAAGAGCCACATGTTGTACCCAGTGCAAGAAACATGCATCTGTTACAAAGAAGCATCTGTCGTGAGCCATTGACGTTCTGGTGAGCCATTCACATCCGCTGTGAGCCAATACACGTCCGCTATAAGTATGACCCAAACACGTCCGCTGTGAGCCAAACACGTCCCCTGTTAGCCAAAAACGTCTGTAATAAGCCAAATACGTTCTCTATGAGCCAAACAAGCCCGCTATGAGCCAAACACTTCCTCTATGACCCAAACACGTCCGCTATGACCCAAACACGTCCACTGTCTACCACGCACCACATGTGCCCGCTAGGCGTCTGCAGGCTGACGTGGCTGCTGTACTGGAAGGCGGGCGAGTGGCGCGCCAGCACGGGCTCCTGCCCCACCACAAATGTCAGCCAGAAACGTCCGCTATGAGCTAAACACGTTCACTATCTACCACGCACCACATGTGTCCGCTAGGCGCCTGCGCTCAGCGAGAAGATGCGCCAGTGTCGTTCCCGTAGCTGCAACCTAAAAGGCTCGCTAAAAGGCACGTCTTATGCCCGCGGATAGGACTCATAGATCCGCTTTACGGCACATGGGTCAGCAAAGAGCCACAAGTTGTACCCCGTACAAGAAACATGCATCTGTCGTGAGCCATTGACGTTCTGGTGAGCCATTCACATCCGCTGTGAGCCAATACACGTCCGCTATAAGTATGACCCAAACACGTCCGCTGTGAGCCAAACACGTCCCCTGTTAGCCAAAAACGTCTGTAATAAGCCAAATACGTTCTCTATGAGCCAAACAAGCCCGCTATGAGCCAAACACGTCCGCTATGACCCAAACACGTCCGCTATGACCCAAACACGTCCGCTATCACTCCACACGCACCACATGTGGCCACTAGGCGCCTGCAGGCTGACGTGGCTGCTGTACTGGAAGGCGGGCGAGTGGCGCGCCAGCACGGGCTCCTGGCCCACCACGCCGCGCCCGCGCACCGTCTCCAGCGTGCCGCTCAGCGAGAAGATGCGCCAGTGCCGTTCCCGCAGTTGCACCGCCTGCGCGCCCAGGTTCTCCAGACGGATGCAGTACCGCCACTGCAAGAAACAAAATACTACTAAACAGAGTTACAAGCCAAGTCTTAATTGAACGACGGGACCCGACGCTATGCAACGTAATGCGACCAATACTTCTCAAATTCAAATATTTTATTGCATATCACATGGGTAAGTGTAAACAGAACGCCCTATGAAGACGTTGCAAAAACTTAAAAATAACATTTACATGTAATATTAAATTAATTCAAAAAATAAACGCGCGCGTGTCTGTTGTTGAAAACCCGTTAATAGCCCCTTTCATCAATTTTGTTGCGACAGATTAAAAATGTTTCTCATGCGGCTAAATAGATCTATATTTTTCCCGTAGTTGTCATAAGAAGAGAGCACCCATCATTGATACGGTGATGATGATGATGATTTGCTCACCCAGTAGACGGCGGAGTTCTGCGACTCGCGACTGCCCATGTAGAAGGGGATGACGGTGACACGCACGCCCTCGGTCGTCTCGCGGTGTACGTCACTGAGTTCCAGCCACGGATGGTTCTTCTTCTGCCAGGCTCGAAGCGTCTCTTGAGCTATGAATGGTGGATCTGTGAACCGTATATGCTTTCATGGTGGATACATACATAGTGTCTATCGATCTTTAACTAAAAAGACCATAAGAACTGGATATTTGACAATGGACCAGACCACAGGAACACAAGATGGAACTATAGTTTGTATTGCATATTAATTAGGAGCCAGCTTTATATGGTCATAATTTCCTGACAAAATGTCTAAAGAAGTGAGCGAATTTCATATTGAAGTTTCCCATTCAGACTGTAGGACCGAGAGTAACACAATGACAACCAATAGGAAGACGTTTGCGATTTATTTCGATAGCGATACAAAGCGAACCGATCACATAATAAAATCACAAAATGGTCTAAAGCCCGGTCTGTCTGTGAGCACGTAGAATTTTGTCCAATGACCCCAAGCTACCTATCCTTATCGCTCGCGCGTAATTATATTGCTGTCGCGACTGTGCGACGGCCGCCCGCAGTGAGTATAGCTTGGGGTTATTGGACGAAATTCTACGTGCTCGCAGACCAGACTATAGTTGCACTTTATTATCAAGTACCTATTCTATACCCATCAAATACCTTTATCAGGATTGTGCATAAGGAACTTGTCGAACAGCTCGTGCTGTAGCGGGACCCTCTCCACCGACGTGTATGGTATAATGTCGTCGTGCGCCACGTAGTCCAGCCCCGGGATGGCGTAGAGGCTGCGACTGGACTCCTGGTTGCCCAGGAACGTCACCGCCTCTGTTTGCGCGCGCTGCGGACAAACGGTTTCACGGTGCGCTTCCGATTTCAACGTCATACCAGTCTGTCCACTGCTGGACATAGATTTACAGTACGCGCCATTTTAGCCTAGTCTGAAAGTGTCTTTCTTCGGGTACCTATAACATTTCTATCTTGGAAAAGGTGTGATTAAAATCTAGATTTCCTGTGTACCCTTGACTATTCCCTTGATGGTACAGTGGAAAATAAATTTTAACCGCTGTACCCTTGGCCGTAAACCCCAACCTTTTTTTTTATAAATTAATACGCCTCTGCACATAACTGCCGCGGTTTCAGAAAGGCAGTCGGCTAGCGGAAAACGACTACCGCCAAGTGCGCGGTACAATAGGGTTCAAATAGAATACTTAATTATTAGTGAGTTTATTACATGTTTAACATTTAGATGTAATCTAACTTAATCTAAGGGTAAAATAGTAAAAGTTTAATGTTTATATTTTATTTAATATATTGAGTACATTGCATATTTTTTTATTTACTAAAGCAATGTTCTAAGGGTAAAATAGTGAAAGTTTATTGTTTAGTTAATATTGCGCACATTGCATATTTTTTATTTACTAAAGCAATGTTGTGAAATTTACCTATTGGTGCACTCCATATTATCATGTATTTCTTAGTAAAAAATTTGTTCTTCGTTCAATATGACTGCACTGTACCATTTTAAATCTCTGTTATTTACATGTTTACCTACTTACAGACTTCTACATGCATATTTATTAATTTATTATTTCAACATTCAACATTATTTTCTTTGTCATAAAACAGAATTTTGTGAATGTCTATATGCTTAATATTATTATTAACAGTACTACACACAAAAACACAAAGCATAAGCCTTTTTCTTCTTTAACATACAATGAATTATGATTACTAACAAAGTGCTATTTTGCAATGAAATCATCTTTTTAGAAGACATAAATAATAAGTGAATTATTTGATTGTTTCAAATATTAATTCTCTATGTCTAATGAAGTGAATATAGAAATAAAGTGTTAGGTATTAAAAGGTTTTAGATACAAGCAATTTTAAATTATTAATATTTTTCACATCCACAAACATCAAATAAATTCAGTTATTATACCTTTCTCTTCCATTCAGGTCGCATATCGATGTTTGTTTGCACAGTCAAAAATATATTATTTCATTTAATATCTAAGTTTACAACAACGCTGTATAATGGGATGTTTTTTTAATAAAAAGTTATTTTAAAGGTGATTTTACATAATAAAGTGTTATTTTGTTGCACTGGGCCATGCAAGTGCAATATTTATAAACTTTAGTTACCACATTAATATTTTAGCTTATGAGAATACTAAATTTTGATGTTAATAGAGTAACAAATCAAATTATTTTAGTTCCAAATATCGCAGAAATAAATAAATATCAACAACCTGCTACTACTGTAGATAGTTTTGATATAAAAGCAATAACAGCAAAGAAACTTACTATGTAAGGCGCATCTCTTGTGTCAATCAGGACTTGGTAGAATGTGTGGGTCCTGCCTTTAACCTCTTTGCCCACGTTGGACAGGGAATCTCCAGACGTGTCGGTAGTACTGGCTGGTTCAGTGTTCTCTTTCTTATTGGTTGCATCTCGGTCGTACACTCTCGCTAACCAAGGAAACAGAATCACACCTCTATATCCAAACACTTTGTGCAAAATCAACTGCCCAGTGTCATATTTTCCAGAAGACTTTGGTGCTTCTAATTTACCTACTTCAGCCAATCTGAAATTATACAGTTTTAAAAACGAATAGGTTATGTACGTAACAGAACAGAATATTCATCATATTTTTAAACTTACCTAGTGTAATGAGCGACTTGAGATACTAGCACTCTAGAAGCAGTTAATCTTATTGGTCTTAATGGTACAAATCTTAAGAATATCTCCATTTTATCATTGTTTGATTGTATTTTTTTCCTATTATCGTAATAATTTTGTTTGACAGTTCAAGAATGACAGCAATGACAGTTTATGACACAGATATGGATTAGAGTTTATGACAGATTGATTTTTTTTATTAGAAGTTTTACGGCTTTGGATATAGATATCCATACGGCTGATAGATTTGTAAAATTCAGAGAAGGCTTAGAGCATTATGGAGATGGACAAGTGTTCGTTTTAGTACTGCCTAGACAAGTTGCACTTTTTGATCGGATCGAAAATCGAATCCGTCAAAACTTATGGTCAAAACTACATAAAAAAGGCTTTTCGACAATTTTTCGACTGTTAAAATGTGCTCTTTGTCTAGGAGTCCCTCTGATGTCGTTAATAGTGAACTAAAAAGTTCATTAATCCCCGTTATATTAGGATTTTATTTTTAACGTAATGGGGATTAATGAACTTTTCAGTTCATTATTCCCTATGGGGAATAGTAGAATAAGCCCTTGTGTCGATGGCTTCAACCAACTCTCGTTGCGCGTCCAATACGGACAATTTATTTGTGCCGATTTCGGAACGTATGATTTTTGACAACTGCCAATTTGACGTTGACATACAATTTGTTGTGATGTTGTCATTATCATCTGTCTGACACAATTTTTTTTTAATTTGAATCCGTATTCCGAAGATATTAAGGTCTAAATTTTAATAAATATGCTAAGACGATTGACCATATAAAATCGATCGTATTTTTATACATCTTTATTTAGTTAGATAAATCATTGGTCGCGTAAAGTTCAAAGTGCTGTTTTGTTACTATTCTTTATTTTTATTATTTTCTTTTATATTTTCACTATGCTTTGTGTATTTTCAAAAACTATTCAAATATTCAGTAAGTTCGTGTCTATAATAGTATTTCGTCGATAGTAATAGGGTAATATAAAATGTACTACAATTTATTAAATAATTTCAGCACCAGCAGTTGTACGGCAATCAAGATGTATCGCTTCGCTTTCTTCTCTGCCCGAAACTTACCAAATGCTTTACAAAACGTGTCGAGATTTCGCGGAGTCTGAGCTTAAACCTAACGCAGCAAAATACGACCGTGACCATCTATTCCCCGGAGATGCCATCAAAAAGATGGGGGAACTGGGCCTCATGGCCATTGCAGTGCCCGAGGAGCTCGGCGGCACCGGCCTGGACTACCTGGCGTACGCCATTGCCTTGGAGGAAATATCTCGGGGGTGCGCCTCTGCTGGTGTCATTATGTCCGTCAACAACTCCCTTTACCTCGGCCCTGTCACCCACTGGGGCACAGATAAGCAGAAGCAAGAATATGTTACTCCTTTTTGCACTGGTGGGTGAACTATAGCCAGTAATTAAGGTAAAGTTCCACTTCCAAAAAGTCCAACAACTACTCGATATTTTACTTTTCAGGAGATCCAATTGGATGTTTTGCTCTCTCTGAGCCTGGCAATGGATCAGATGCGGGTGCAGCTTCCACCACCGCCAAAGATGGTGGGGATAAGTGGATTATCAATGGCACAAAATGTTGGATAACCAATGGTTACGAAAGTAAGGCAGCTGTGGTATTTGCAACCACAGACAAGAGTATGAAGCACAAAGGTATCTCAGCATTTATTGTACCAAAACCTATTAAAGGTTTAGAATTAGGTAAGAAGGAAGACAAGTTAGGCATAAGAGCATCATCTACCTGCTCTCTAATGTATGAGGACTGTGAGATCCCCAAAGAAAACATATTAGGTGAGCCTGGAGCTGGCTTCAAAATAGCTATGATGACCCTAGATGCTGGTAGAATTGGCATTGCATCCCAGGCACTGGGCATTGCACAGGTAATTTCCTTGTTTTTTTTTTCTTTATTTTTTAGTGGTTGCTTTCATATTTTCTAAATATTGGATTGTGAAAAAATTTAAAACAGCTTTAGTGATAGCTGGAGTGGGACTATGTATAATTAATTCTCAAACACATGTAACTGTTCTTCACTGAAATTTCTAAATGTGTCCATTTTCAACAGGCATCCCTGGATGTAGCTGCAGAATATGCCTCAAAACGCATGGCGTTTGGCAAGCCTATAATGAAGCTTCAGACCATCCAGAATAAGCTGGCTGAAATGGCTTTACAGCTGGAGTCAGCTCGGCTGCTCACATGGCGCGCAGCTTATTTGAAAGACAATAAGAAGCCATACACCAAAGAAGCAGCTATGGCGAAGCTAGCTGCTTCAGAAGCAGCTACATTCACAGCTCATCAGTGCATTCAGGTAAGAGCTAGAATTAAATTAATCTAGGCACATAAGTTAACAGGGTCTCCTAAACTTTTTTACTGTGTCACTGATCAAAAACTGCCTACAATAAAAAACAACTACATACACTAGTTACTAGTTCTAGCCAAACAAAACATAAGAATGAAAGTAAAAACATTTATTTAATTTACTTTGTTGAAAGAAGAAAGAAGGATGTCCTTAGGTCGCCTTCCAATTAGACGCGTGAGGAAGCGCTGTAGTGACGCCCCTGCACTGTGACGTGCCACTACTAGTTTTCAAAGATTTTCTTTCTTTAGTAGTGGTGCTGCAACTGCGCTTCTAGAAATTGGATCAAAACTATTAATTTGCCTCAGTAACAGTACTGTCACTGCAGTGCTTCTTCATGCTTCTAATTTGAAGGGCTCAAGACTGTAAATTTCCGCCCTCATTTCTTTTCGATCGCCTTACGTAGCGTCGACGCCCTTGAGATAATGCCGCGACGCACAGTTTAGGAAGCCCTGAGCACGGGTCTTAGGGTCATACATGGGTCTTTGTCAAATTTTGCGCAGGTAAATGTAACTTAAAATCATATTTTTTTCAAAATAAATATATGCTTAGATATTACTTTTTTCTATGTCCGTGTCCGTTAAAACAACTGAATTATTATCTATTACAGTTTGCCGCGATGTTTAACCAATAATTTAAGATTTATTCCAGATTTAATGGATCAGGGTGAAAAAAAATACAACTTTGTTACCATTACGTTTTACCTTTTATTATGAAATTAAACAAGTTAGTCGCAAATATTTTGGGACTAATATTAAACAGTATTATATCTTTTACATATATTTAGAATCATAACAGTCTTTTTTTAAGTTTAACAATCATGAATCTAAACTCTTAAACAACTCTGTTACTTCTTGAATATTAAAATACCTTAAATTCTACTTAAGTCCTCCAAATATCTATTTATCAGCAGCTAACTGGAACATAATACTGTAAAAATATGTAATAAATTAACGCATCGCGATATTTGCTATATTATATTGACTACCTTTTCTTTAAAATCTTACTATGTTCTTTAATCTTTGGGACAGGATAGTAACAGAGTTGTAACACAGTAACATAGTTGTTATTTTTATTGAATATTATGTAATAATTTGCACTCATTGAGCTTGAGATCCAAATCACTTCATCAAAACATTAACTTATGACTGTAATTTATCAATCAAGAGCTTACTTTCTTATAGATTCCTTATCTTTATAGTAATAAAAATTAGATTTTCTTGGAAGAGTAGCTGAAAATTTGAAATAACTTATTTCTCAAGTCTAACTAAGGGATTATCAAATTGCTAGTATACTCTTTTACCTTTGCAGACTTTTTTAGGTTCTGGAACAACGGCAAGTAAATTATCACAAGCCTCATAGGATAAATCACTTAATTAATTAGAATTTTGTTGCATTATCGTCGATTGCCTTAAAAACATTATTTTAACGTCTTTTTCTTGATTATTTCTACGGCATTCTCGGGTATCGTCGCTGCTTCTCAGCAGGCGTTAGAGGCATTTTAATAACGTAAATATCCTGTAACAATGAGTTTTTGGAGTTATTAATATTTATTATTTCGATTTATTTGTATAAAACAAAGTTGGGTATTGCTTGAACTTTTTAAATTGCAACTGATTAAAAAAAAGTAATTTAAACATAATATTTTAGCAAAATTTAAGAATAATATAATGGCATAAGCAACTCTGTTACTTTCTAAACAATTCTGTTACCACACGCTGGTAACAGAGTTGCAGCAACAGAGTGGTAAATTTTACATTCCATTATACACCAGTCAAAAAATAAAGCGTGTAGCAAAATATTTCGTTCACATTTAACACATTTACCCCTTAGACAATATACTGAATGTAAAGTAATGAAAAAACATTCATTTACTTACGTGAATAGGTAGGTAACAAAGTGGATGCGCAATAAAAACACGCAGCACGTTCAACACCTTGCGGTCGACTGCCGAGCGACAAACCCCTCCTCCCGATCTAACGAACTCCCACGACGAATGCAGACATCCCACCCAAGATTAAACAATATCCAAAATACCGCCATTTCCATTTTGAGTCGTGAATTAGTTAGTAACATAGTGTTCCAGGTGGTTCCAGATAGTACGTGGGACAAAGTTTAGAAAATTATTTAAAAAGTACATTTTATACTGACTGATTTTAAAACATATTTTATTGAATATTTATAATACTCTGTTTACGATGATAATTTATTTTAAGAAGGTTACTATAGTAGAAAATGCAATTATTTGATGTTTATTGTAACGGAATGCTACATGGGACAGGTACAATTTGTAAGGAAAACCTTTCTGTTACCACTAATGACCACTCTGTTACTTTAAAAAAAATTAAAAATATTGAATCTTGAGTCGTTATTCCAAAAATGGATGTTCGCTAATGCGATGTATTTTGTATTTAATATATAATTCTTAAAGGATTTTGACATTATTACTAACAAAAAAATTAAAAATGTTGAGGGACACGTTTACCTGCGCAAAATTTGACAATGACCCACATATTTAAATATCTATTTAAAGCATTCTTCTTCTTTTCGTGTTTACAACAAACCTACACAGTGTCAATTAATTTAAATTACATATTTAAAGCATTTAGTCAAAAACAGTACTTACATATGTTTTTAACAAAAAATTAACATATTGTTCTTTTTTTAGATTTTAGGTGGCATGGGATATGTTTCGGATATGCCGGCGGAGCGTCACTACCGGGACGCGAGGATCACAGAAATATATGAAGGCACATCAGAAATACAAAAATTAGTCATATTCGGACAGCTAGTTAAAGAATATGGCCTTAACTGAATTACATTACAAACTGTGTTCTAAGAATAATTTTTGCTACAAATACGTATTCAAAATCTAATTTCAGTGTCAAATATTAATTATTAAGTTAAATCGAAATATTGATGAATTTTATAAAGTATTTTATGCATGTCTAGGAGATAGGTATACCTAGTTTTATAACATTGGACTGTCTTATTTTCTAAGAATGTTTTACACTGTAAATAAATTAATTTCCCAATGTAACTTTGTTTTCTCTACAAACATAATCTATTTATCCCGAAGGTTAACTGGCGGAAAATACCTACCTTATAAAGCCTTTTGTACCAATTTATATGGCCTTAAATAATCATTATTATCATATCACCCATAGGTCATCCACTGCTTAACAAATGCCTCCCTCTCCCAATGATTTCCAGATTGGCCGGTTGATAGCGGGCTGCATCCATCGCTGGGATGGCGAACGCGAACCAATGTCACGCGCTACAATATTTAGGGCACGCATCAATAAAATTCACTATGAAATAAAATAGTAAATAATGTATTTCGACTTTTGTAGAATTCGCCAGTTAACCCCTCATTGAAGTAAACAAAATTAATAGCATTAAAGTGCTATTTGATGGCACGTACCTATATGTAACACCAAACCTTGGTACTATTACTTATAATTGTGACCAAACATTGTTTTAGAAAAGTGGCACGTGGGTTCATAAAGGTTCAACGGCCGCGCCTTCCTGCTACATCATCTTAAATTGTTGTTTGTCCTGACTGACCTTGAAATTCATTAATAATGAATTTGCATTAACACTGCTGGATACATCAGCAAGAACAATGGTATGTAATACAAGTAGGTAGGTAGCATTTAAAGTCAAGGGTCATTGAAAATTGCGGACTTTGTCTAGTCTAGGTCTCAATCTTAGAAAATAACTTCTTGCATGATTTATGGTTATAAGAAATATAAACAATATGTAGGTACTTACTGCTGATAAAATTTATTAAGTTATAAATATTTGGAGGCTAAATACAGGCTTTGTTCATAAAAAATTTGGAATTATGATTAGAAACATAACATACAAATGCCATCAAATAAGTCTTTACTTAGAATTAATACATTTTGGCTAACATAACATTACTGTCCCGGGCCAGATAGGGACTTGTCCATGAATTTCCTTTTCGCAAAGCACAGCCACCATTTGCTAGGTTTGCCGTCTTCCGTTGCGAATACCTGAAACAAATAATCATTAAATAAGTATTATAAGAATTTAGAAGTTAGTTTGGTATAGTCACTATACCACACACCCTAGTACAGGGCTTCCCAAACTATGTGTCGCGAGGCCCTCCTAGGGCGTCGTGAGGAGATCGAAAATAAATGTAGAGAAAATTACACTTGAGGAAAGCAAGCTCATCCTGCTCATTAGTAGTCATTTAACATAGTGAAATAAATATCTTTCATTTTCATAAAATATACAGGGTGATTTTTTTCAATAAGCTCTATGAACAATTCAACAATGCTACTTGATATTAATTATTTTTAATTGTGGTATTTTTTGCAAAAAATATACAGGGTGTCCCAGAATGGGTGAATCAAACTGCTAGGGGAGGTAGCTCTACTTTGTACTATCCCTAAAAAATATGCTAGCGCTAGCGGATGCCCTTATTTTAGGCTTAGGCTATTTTCACATTCTTTAAAATAATTAAATATGAAAAAAAAGTTTTCTTTACGTAAATCGATTAAGTTACTGATTCTGAGTCGCCGCTCCTAAACATTTGGATACTGATTGCAAAGTCAGCCTGTATACTCATCATAAACAATTAAAATGTAACCATGAATATTTATTTACCTTTTCACAGACTCTGTTTCCTGTTTCATGTCTTAGTTGTTGTAGATATTGTCTCATTAAATCTGTGGAATATAAATAGTTAATGTTAACTCCTTTTCTTGACAACACAGCAAGCATAAATTATCTATAAAAAGAACAGACGATTGCCGAACTATGAAGGTTTTGGACTGGCCGCCGACTCGATCGATGTTTCGATCCCCGCCGTGGTGAACCCAACTTGTAATAAGAGCATATTAATTAGCTTATCATGAGGGGTTCACGAGATTATTCATAATTTGTATTTACAAATTGCTAATATTCTTTTAAAAAAACCTAAATCGTAACTGGTAACAGACAGATGGATACACAGAAGAAACATTAGTTCATGAATATTCAGAGGTGACAGGGTTGAATGTTCATATTATGCATCTCATTATGAATTGCAACCACAACTAGCTAATTATCATGCATTGTACCAACTTAACCTACAACTTCAGTTCAAAATAATGTTTATTTAATGTTTGTGCACATCAACGCCATCTGTACGAGCCCTCTGGAACTAACATCAGTCACATCACCAACGCCATCTACACGGGCTCTCGAACTACCGCAACACCTTGTCACATCGATCAATATTGATTAACGCACAATGGACGTGTGTTTCAACTATCTAAGCCGAGATGGCGCCGAGGTGCAGCTGAAAGCCGGAGCTGGGAGCGCAGTCAACGCCCGAGCATCATTCGGCAACTCCACGATCAGACGCGAACCACTTATAATTTGTATTTATTGTATATTCAAAGCACTGTAAAGTAATGAAGTCTATAGTATATTTTAATAAATCTACATCATTGAAGATTCCCGGTATACCTACACTACCCTGGAGAGGACACAAGTCAGGAGGCAGAAACCAGAATCAGTCAGGCCACACACACATACATCAACAATTAATATTTTGTCTGAAAAATTTTGTAAACGAATTTTTTTTAAGTTTTGTTAAATAAAATGTTTATACAAAATCTATTTTTTATATTTATATTTTAGAGAGTCTAGCAACACAATCTTAAAATGCATGCAGTGCTTATTTGAAACAGATGACAATGATGACAACAGAAATACACTTTAATACTTTTAGTGCTCCTGCACACGACGCCGCTACCGCGCCGTCGCCGCCACTCTAATCTGTGGTCGCCGCGCCTTTGCACTGTTCATACGCACCGAGTGAAACCGCCGCCGCGCCATCAAAGCATAATTTCGCCCGCGGCGCGGTACATGGATGCGGGCGGCGTAAGACCAGTCATAGTGGAAATCTTGGCCTTTGTCCAGCCAGTCATTTGGCTGAAAGAATGGCCGTTGTCCAGCCAGTAATTTGGCTGAAAGAAACGAAGTAATAATGAATATAATTACCAGCTTCCTGCGGACTTGAAGGTTTGGCATAGACGGAGTTGAGCGGGAAGCCCGGCTCTCCGGGAATGTCGAACTTGGATATAGCCAGCATGTACATCTCCTGCTGGCCCTGGTTCTTGTTGGGGCACTTCTGGAGTCTCTTGAGGCACTCGGACATGTACAGGGTCAGGTAAATGAGGACACGGTCTGCATCTGACTGGAATTCAAATGTATTCAATTAATATTAGCTTTTTAACAGGTGAGATGCCATGTTAATCATTAGTGGACAATAAACACTTCTTATTGAGGCCTTGTCAGTCATTGGTGACTGAGAACAAAATATTAAATTCAAATAATAGTTGGGAACTTGCTAATAATTGGTTTTTGATTGGTGACCTTAGGGAATTTGATTTTTTCAAGTTAGAAGTTAGTTTCTCAAGTAACCACATAATACTTGTATTTTCATTATTTCCAAGACATTATAATAAGAACAAAGTATTATGAAAAGTTACCTTTATTTCATAAAATCTGAAGAACACATTTGCTTTGAAATAATTAAGAGCTTCATCAACAATGTCCAATTCTATCTTCGGGTTGATTGGGGCTGGGCCCCTGAAGGTAGTGCGGACAGGCAACAACGCCAAATTGCCCACAGATTGGGTGTAGTCGGTCAATGTGGAGTGATAAGCCTGCAGAAATGAAGATCCAAGTAATTCGTCAAACTTTACTTCCCAAGTAAAATTTTCGGAACTCATCGTGTCAGGAAGATATAATATAGACAAATAAATACTTGTATGACTAACCGGCATTGTTATAAACTTATTTTCCTCGTATTTACTAATAGAATTTCCGTCAGGTTTTTCGTCACCTAGAATCAAGAGATTTTGTTATCATTAGCTATATATTTGTATAGAACAAATTCTCATTTTCAATTGTATAGTTTTAATGCTATAGTTTGGTTATTTTACAATAATATTTTAAGCAACTAATTTAACAACATTACCGAAAAAGCGAAATAAATCGAAAATGACTCACAGACTTCACGAAATGTCAATGCCACTTTGACATTATTAGTGTTGCTGGACAATCGATTGTGTTTAATTTAATTATTATTAAATTCGATTTGCAATCGGACTTTTTAAATATTTGAGACTGTTATATACTTGTGTTGGATGGATTGGAGATTATTTTGCAATGGCTATTTGGTATTTGTAATTGTGATTACTTGCGAATATAAGTATTGTATCATGTATGGCTTTTTTTTTTCAAGTTTTTTGCAAAATTATTCACGTGGGTGTATCAGTGATCAAAGAGCACAGAAAGATACTTTAAATTAGCTATGTGGACTGTGGATATCCATTCAATCGAATTAGTACGTCGTGACATATTGATTTAATTTAATTTTCCACGTTAGAACCACGTGGATTGGTCCGTGATGATGGCAAGAGACCTGATGGTCTCACTCTGGTTCCCTGGGAACGGGGACGGGCTTTAGTTTGGGACGCTACATGTGTCGATACTTTAGCCCCTTCCCACCTCAGGGAATCAGTTGCTAAAGCTGGGGCTGCAGCAGAGTCGGCTGAGTTAGCCAAACGGCGCAAATATGAGTCACTTTCTAATGACTACATATTTGCGCCTTTTGGTGTCGAGACCTTCGGACCTTGGGGACCGAATGCTAAATTACTGTTTCGGACCATTTCCCCTAAATTAATTAAAATTTCGGAAAATCTAAATGCTGGCTCTTTCCTTGCACAAAGGCTTAGTATTGCCATTCAGCGAGGAAATGCAGCCAGCATTCTCGCCTCTTTGCCTCACGGACACACTTTTATTTTTGAGTAAAATAAGTTTATATTTTTATTTTGTTTAGAGTTAAGTTTGCCTTAGTTTTAAAAAACTACCGCAACCACGCACTACAAAATTTTGCACCAATTCTTGTGATAAAACAATGATTATTTCCTGTAAACAATCTCAAACGAAATTAACTGCTTAATATCCAAAATAGTAAACAACCGCCATGATGGGCCGGATTGGGCCGATGTTGCCACATGGTACCGATTACCCAGGAATTGGGATTGTAATTCCCTGATTCGCCAACACATTAAGCCTAAATGGCCGACAATTTTGAGATTTTTTATTTAACTAGGTAATCTTAGTTTCAAATATTAATTATTTATTTGTTTAACTTCTGATTTGGTTAGTGTATTGGCTATTTCGAAGAATTTACAAGGAGATGTAAATCAGAAGATAGCAATACTACAGTTCACACTAAAAAGAGAGGTAGGGCCGCAGAGAGCGAGATAGATATAAGTAGGTATTTGACTCAAGTTTTGTTCCAAACTCTGCCCTCCATTTTTATCTGTAGCTTCATGTAGGCTAACGCATAACCAGTGTGCTTATTTTATTCCACACGCATCTATAAAGTCTGTGGCTGTTTATGCCATTGCCATGAAATGCCATGGCCCATGTGATTTTGACTTTTTTGACTGAAAATGTCATTTGAGTTTTGACAGATAAATAAATCGTCGATACATGCGAAACGTGTAATTTTTTACAAATAAACACCAATTGCTTTTCCATTTCTTAGCAAAGATTTAAATATGGCTAACGAAGCAAGTGTTGATGTAATGTCTATCATATCAAACATTAAAAAAGGTCAAGACAATGAAGTTTCTCCTGAAGACAATGAGGTTATGTCGTCGGATAAGACCGATACTAATGAAATCCGTGGAAAACCAAAGTCTGGTAGATTCTGGAAGTCCAAAAAAGAGAAGTATGTTATTATAGCTATATTACTGTTGCTAATCAAGAATGTTACTATAACCACAGAATAATCTATCAATCGACCAATATGGTAAGCATTGGGGGAGGCTTATGTTCAGTAGGGGACATCCTATGGCTGAAATGATGATGAATAATAAGTCTTTAACGTTAAAGTGAATAATGGTATTGTTTTCAGATTTTCTTCAATAAACAAAACTAAAGGTCTCCGACAAGACTTCCAAAAGAAGACATCACTACGTTTAGAGCTTAAACGAACAAAAGAGTTATCCAAGCAAGTGATTGAACAGTTAAAAGCTAAGGAGGCCGAGCGAAAGGAGCGGAGACGACTAAACATACAAAAAGCAGAAGAAAATAAACGCAAGTCTGAAGTGGTGCAAGTGATTACAAACACAGCAAAACTGAAGAGGATGAAGAAGAAACAATTAAGATTTATCCAAAAAAGAGACACTAACAAGGAAGTGGAAGCAAATAAATAATTAATTTTATTATTTAACCTATTGTTTTATTTATTACAGAACTTGTTTTTATGGAATCTTATGTTGAACTTTCAATCACTCACTTTTACTGTATATTTACTTGCATTTTATATCTAAGGTGTAAACAAATAATACAATTTTAATAATTTCATTTAATATTTTTATTAAGTATTGCTAGCAATACACTCTCATAAATACACATAAAAATATTAAATGCATTTTCCCAATTTTGTAGATAGGTGATCATGTGTGGGCAATATTTACATATTTTCGAAATGGGTGATGTAACTTACACTATAACATCATTACTCTTTATGTATGTATGTACATCACTTCATGGAAACACCGGTCTGTGATTGAATATAAATATCTAAAAAATACACCGAAAAGTATTTAAATTACACTCTTCAAATTGTAGACGAATACAACATTCAATGCTTACTGACAGAAAATTGCGATTTTAAAGTACTTTTCAAATTCACATAGTTTCACAATGCATACTAGTTGTTACAATCGAACATTAAGCCTCAATAAAATTATATCACTTGATTTTAGAAATACTGCTCAACACTATTACTCATATGTAACTTACACATATTAAAAACAAACTTAGTTGTAACAATCGCTTAGTACAAAAATAATAAGCTAATTAAAAATAAATCAAAAATTGTTATAAAAAGTAGTTTAGAAAAATCAAATCACACATACCAAGTACAGCTATGTCTTACGATGTAGTGTCTTAAACTTGTTTTATTAAATTCAATCAAATAATTTACAACAACAATCCAGTTGTTATAATAATAACAACAATAGTTAGTACTTAACTTACCCTAGGTCTTTAGACTAATATTTGTCTATAATACTCCATTTAACATATAGAAAAAATCTTCATTGAAAACATCAGTCTAAGGCAGTGACAACAAAGTATTACTGGATAGAACAAAATGGTGTATGTTAAAGCCCAAAACAAATGTGGATAACATACCTATTCTCTGATATTAGGTTATAAAAATATCAAATATTCGTTTTACACGCAAATGAGATTCATAGAAAGATCTAACCTACATCATAATTTGCAATTGTTCATTTGCTCTAGGGAGACTCATGTAAGCTTCCTACGAGATGAAGTCGTAACCTCGTAGGCACACCAAAGGACTGAATGCTGAAATATATTTTGATATTTTGAACGCCAATATTATTATTATTAGTTTCGTACCACATTTGGCACTATTTGAGTTTTCAATTACGGTTGTTCAATTCAAAACATATTTCAACTTCACACAAAACAAAGAAATAGTACAAAATGGACAAGATACGAAAATGCTACAAAATGAGTATTTATACGATAGCTACAATATCACTGTCGTAGATTATACTAGAGTTTAAGGTCCAATTACACCACAAGTCCCTGATATTGGATCAGATAAACATCATTTGGTGTTTATAAATCTTTTAAAATACATAAGAGACACGTCTTTGTGACTTGTGGCTAAAGTGGGCGCGAGTTCTGTGCAGTGGTCCTGTTACTTAGCTAATAGAGTTCTTAAAGTTACCCTGTGATGTAACTTTCTGTCTGATAGAATTGCTCTTATAGAAACAAAAGCGTATCAACTAACCTAAACATACACTTACGTCTTAGAGTAGAACGTATCAATTCTCGTGCGAGGAGAGCACAGACTCGCTCATCGTGGCCTTAACTACCATTAGAATGCACAGGATCGAACTAAGAAACAATTTAACTTCAAATATGAAAACAGTACATTCTCAACTTGACTTTAACTGCATGCGAAGGTCAACATAATATTTGCCGTAAGTTTTATAATAAACTTGCTGCACAACTTACAATAGACTCATTTAACAAATATAAATACAATAATATAAACATGTTTACAAAACAGTTTCTATTTGCCATGCACACATAGGTATTTACGTATTTAAATTAAATGTTAATTGTTTTGATTGATTTGACTGAAAATATAAGTACAGCAGAAGGTTTTCCTTTGAATAATATCATTGAAAATACGTGTGAGATGCGAAAATGATTTTTAAGGCGGTGGGGATACATAAATAGTCTGCTAAAGTTAATAAGTTGAGTGTAAACATTTTGTAATATAACAAGAAATAGAAGCCATTTTATAGCGATGACAATGGCGCAGATACAATGTCAATAATCTTGTACTTTCCGCTTGAGCCAACTCTTATCGAATAAGCCTTTGCCAAAAAAGTCTAAAGTAATAACATGCATTAGGGATCACATAAAGTTAAATATTGCAATATCTTGGCCATGCCAAGTTTTCGTAACATTATAAATGAACTTTTTATATGCATTTATGTTAACCACATTTAGGTTTTCTTTGCGGACACGGCGTTGGAAAACCTACTTCGATATCGACATGCGGGTATTAATCCTTTAAAGAGCACGGCAGAGCATTTTTGCTATTCGACTTTAAGGTAAGGCGATAAGGTTCAATACCATGTTGCTAACAGAGCCAGTGCCTATAAAGGTTTAACAGTCGCAGCTATAAGTGGCGTAGTCGAGAAATAATTATTATTATCAACCGTATCCATACCTCGCGAGAGCGAGTCGAGCTTGCAAAATGAACGTTCTCCAATGCGCGTAGGGTTCAGTTTAGCCTGCGCAGTCGTGCGGTGGGCGTGCCGGAGGGCAGTCACACGTCGAACTCGGCGCCGGGCTTGCCGTTGGGCGGCGCTATGAACGGCTCGCTCCACATTCTTCTTAGGTCACCCTGGGAAATTGATGCTGGCTTGAAAAGTACATCTTTTTTTTTTAATGGAGAAGCTATTTGTTCTTTATCTATCTTTTCTGTTGTACTATTCAAGATCTATGGCGAGATACCTTAAGGATCGGTTTCCACCAAGGTAGAGTGGATAAGTGTTTTGAATAACCAATCGGATTTAATTATACAAGAAACCAGAAAATCTGATTGCTTATTCAAAACATTTTCCGCTCCACTCCGCCTTGGTGGAAACCGGACCTAAAACACATTGTTAAGTTGGAACTGAAGTTGAAGAGTAACGCGAGAGATTTATCACAAGTTGTGATAAATCTCTCGCGTTACTAATACGGTAAAAATTTGACACTCATTTCGCTGAGGGATCGGTATAGACCTAATACACTGAACTGTCCCGTGACATTGACAGGGGGGCGCCACCGTCAATACCGGATCGCTGGTTTCGATTTTTGCCATGTTAGAAACTATAGTTGAACGATGGTGGCGCCCCCCTGTCAATGAGTTTGGTGGGACAGTTCAGTGTCATCTATATCCAATTTGCAAGTGAACAATGTCATTGTCAACCACATGTCTCGAGCAGCGGTCTGTTACGAAAGTGCCTCAATTGATTTTCGACTTAAAGCCATAAAACTGAGCCCACCTTGACGTAGGCCATGGTGACCCAGCAGCGTAAAGGGCACGAGGTATGAGGGTGTTATCCCAATGAGGGTTTTCGCGATTGAAAAATCCGCCAGATGGCAATACGTAGACGGGAGGTCCAAATGCTGCATGATTGGTGGATTTTGACATATCTGTCCATGTCATGTCAAAAATAATCAATCATGCAGCATTTGGACCCCGCGTCCACGTACCTCCATCTGGCGGATCCTTCAATCGCGAAAACCCTCATTGATTTTCGACCTTATACCAGGCCTGTTCATCTCCGCGAGTTTACAGAAAACAAAACACGCACGATGGCCCACCTACAGGATACTATTCGACAAGGCTTCACACACGAGCGAACATTGACGCACGCACGCGTATTCTTGTGTATGAAAAATAAAGAAAATGGTGTACTAAATACTGTGCATTATTTAACTGCCTAAATAATAATAAAAACACAGAATGTACTTTTTTAAGTTGCATCAAGACACTGAGAGGTAAAATAGTAGTTAATATTATTCATGATAATTCATGCTAAATCATGTATTTCCTCCGCCATTTTCCGCATTTTGGCACCTCACGTCACATCATTTTACCGAAGTCAGCCCTATAGCTTCGGCGCAGTGCCGATCACTGACGTTTGTCAACAAAATGGTGCTTGACTCTTGAGACAGGCTAAATTACACCATATTGTTAATGACATTGAGCATACATTTTTTTAAATAACTTAGCGAAGCGTAGCACTTATTATTATTCTGTGCTTATACCAAAGCCATAAAATGGAGCCCACCTTGACGTAGGCCATGGTGAGCAGCGGCAGCAGCGTGAAGGGCACGAGGTATGAGGGTGTTATCCCAATTAAAGATATAAAGTGGCTCAATTGATTTTCGACCTTATTTTAAAAGACATTAAGTTAGAAATATCGAACTCGAGTCGATGTCTCTCTGAAGGGATGCGCGAAGCCACAACAAGGGCTCTCGCGGAAGACCAGCTTCTTGACATGACCTCACGAGCATGTCAGGATAAATGCTGAGCGGGAGCCTATTGACACAGTGGCCCACTATTTTTTATATATTCGTTTTGTGTTGTTATTGATTATATTTGTGCTTACTGTGTTCAGTAAATTCTATTTCTTTCTTTCTTTCTTAAGTTCAAAGTCCATTGTAGTCTGGAAGTGTGTACGAGTACTTGAGTTCCCCACCTTGACGTAGGCCATGGTGACCCAGCAGCGTGAAGGGCACGAGGTATGAGGGTGTTATCCCAATGAGGGTTTTCGCGATTGAAAAATCCGCCAGTACGGCTAGCACGAAAAACTTTCGAGTTCAGTGTCATCTATATCCAATTTGCAAGTGAACAATGTCAACCGCATGTCTCGAGCAGCGGTCTGTTACCATGTTATGAAAGTGCCTCAATTGATTTTCGACCTTATCCTAAAGATATAAAATGGAACCCACCTTGACGTAGGCCATGGTGAGAAGCGGCAGCAGCGTGAAGGGCACGAGGTATGAGGGTGTCATCCCAATTAAAGATAAAAAGTGGCTCAATTGATTTTCGACCTTATTTTAAAAGACATTAAGTTAGAAATATCGAACTCGAGTCGATGTCTCTCTGAAGGGATGCGCGAAGCCACAACAAGGGCTCTCGCGGAAGACCAGCTTCTTGACATGACCTCACGAGCATGTCAGGATAAATGCTGAGCGGGAGCCTATTGACACAGTGGCCTATTTTTTATATATTCGTTTTGTGTTGTTATTGATTATATTTGTGCTTACTGTGTTCAGTAAATTCTATTTCTTTCTTTCTTAAGTTCAAAGTCCATTGTAGTCTGGAAGTGTGTACGAGTACTTGAGTTCCCCACCTTGACGTAGGCCATGGTGAGCAGCGGCAGCGGCGTGAAGGGCACGAGGTATGAGGGTGTTATCCCAATGAGGGTTTTCGCGATTGAAAAATCCGCCAGATGGCAATACGTAGACGGGAGGTCCAAATGCTGCATGATTGGTGGATTTTGACATATCTGTCAATGTCATGTCAAAAATAACCAATCATGCATTTGGACCTTTCGTTTACGTATTGCCATCTGTACCTCTAGCATGAACAACTTTCGTCTTCGAATCGTTTGCGTACTCGATAAAATTCGATAGTCAATCTTCGAATTAGACGATAACGTGACAATTTTGATTCTCAAAATAAGTTTCGTGCAACCACATCTCATATTAAGTTCACTTTACGACACGTTCACAAGGGCGCTGTTGAAGTTTTCTTACTAAATCTTTTGATGGCGATTCGAGTACGCAAACGATTTGAACTCGAAAGTTTTTCGTGCTAGCCGTACTGGCGGAGTTTTCATTCGCGAAAACCCTCATTGATTTTCGACCTTATACCAAAGCCATAAAATGGAGCCCACCTTGACGTAGGCCATGGTGAGCAGCGGCAGCAGCGTGAAGGGCACGAGGTAGAGCAGCGCGGGCTGCGCCGCCTTGAACACCTCGGCCGACACCGTGGCCGTCAGCAGCCCCAGGAAGTAGCCCAGCAGCGAGCAGTGGAAGTACGTCAGCCGCGAGCCCTGCGAGCGAATGTCACCTCTATATATCATAACAATAAGAGCCTTTTTACATCAGCTATCGAGCCCGGTGACAATACAACTTTCAACTCTGCGAGCCCTGCAAGCGAATGTCACCGCCGATCTCTTCTCTATTCATAATCTACACTAATATTATAAAGAGGAAAACTTTGTTTGTTTGTTTGTTTGGTTGTAATGAATAGGCTCAAAAACTACTGGACCGTTTTTAAAAATTCTTTCACCATTCGAAAGCTACATTATCCACGAGTAACATAGGCTAAATTTTATTTTGGAAAAAAATAGGGTTCCGTAAAATATGTAGATAATGTAGTCCACGCGCGCGAAGCCGCGGGCGGAAAGCTAGTTCATAATAATAAGAGCCTTTTTACATCAGCAACGGTCCAGGCACGCATGATAGTCGTCATAAATCGTGACGATATCACAGCGACGGATGAATTGCTGTGAAAATGCACCAATCACACTCAAGTCCAGGTTATAGTGATGTGGTATGTGTAAAACGTTCGACAATATTTGAATTGAGTTGTATTAATAGTCCTCTGTCAAGGAAACAATAAAAAAAATTGTTAGTAAAGATACGAAACCCCCAGTGCGCAAGAATTTTCAGCCCATATGAATGGGCATGTTTATTCATCATCATTTCAGTCAAACGACGTCTACTGTTGAACATAGGCCTACCCCAATATTCCTAGACTAACCGGCTGGTAGCGGCCTGCATCCAGCGCTTTCCTGCTACCTTTAAGCCTTGGGCAGACCAAACGCGGAGCAGTAGCAGCGCAGTTTGAATGCGGGCCCGCGCAAGTTGTAATACAAGAAACTCATTGAAGTGTGTCACACCAAATGTGAACGCGGGCCCGCGCTCCAACCGCGCCGCACTGCAACTGCCGAACGACAAACCAGGCGGCGCGGGAGCGGGACAGAAGCGGCGCGAACGCGGGCCCGCGCTGTTGTATTACTATGGCGGCCATATTAGCATGACACACCGGACGCAGGGCGGTAGCAGCGCGTTGAAAGCGGTTTTCAAATATTTAAATTTTTGACAACCGCCCGCGTTGCAACTGCTTTGAAACTGCGCTGCATTCAGTGTGCCTCAGCCGCGCTGCAACTGACCCGCACTGCTTCTGACCCGCGTTTGGTCTGTGGAAGCCTTTAATGAGGTCATCTCATCTCACCGGTACGTGGCCTCTATTCTAGAACCTTGCTGCCCCATCGGTCGTCTGGAATGAATGGGCATGTTATATGAGGTCGCTAGTTACCATGGAGCGCGGGCCGGGCACCTGCCCCATCTGGCAGACGAGCGTGGCCTTCTTGTAGGCGTCGTAGCGCAGCACGAAGCACAGCAGCAGACCCGGCATCACGATGTCGCCCAGCCCTGACCACGAACACAGAATATATTGGTGATACTTTTTACACCGTAATCAATAACGACCTTAAAGAAGTCCAAGTTAACAGTAAGACAACCCAGGACCGAGCCGCCTGGAGACGCATGACACGGAGCTGAGGGCCGACCCAAATAAAATGGGAATGGGCCAGGCAAAGTAGTAGTACTTTTTACACAATAAAGAAAAAAACATTGACATATTCCGCTGCCAAAAAATAAGACACGTTTAACGTTTATTGTTGAATGATACTCTTCTTCGTGTTATCGCACGTAATCCAGAATAATCATAATCATAATCATTTATTTATTGCTTCATAAATGTACATAGGTGGTGATCTTAAACTTAGTCTCAACTTATGACCCTGTAAGGGTGTTGCAAATCTTGTATCGTAGGTACATTACTAAATATTCTACAATAGTTAGTAATAATTATTAATATTGATAAATTATAAAATTAATTAGTTTACATAATTTTACATTACAATTAAAATACAATAATGTTTCTCCATACCTATTCATACATAATTTTCATCATCGCATCCTACTCAAATTATAGAACTCCTGAATACTATAAAGACATTTTGATATAAGGAACTCTTTTAGCTTGGCCAAGAATAATGAGTCTTTTTCAATATTTTTTAAATAGGTAGGCAGTTTATTATAGACTACTATGGACATGTGGTAGACTCCTGATCTTACCAGGTGAAGCTTAGTGTCGGGTAATGCTAATCTATCTTTGTATCTTAAGTTACGGGGTGCTGAATATTGTTCTTTTGCTTGAGAGTAAATAATTTTATTCTCTCTGACAAATTTACATAGACCTAGGATATAAATTGATGTTAGTGTTAATATTTTTAGTGATGTGAAGTGCTTTCTACAGCTTTCAGTTTCAGTTATGTTTACTATTATTCTAACACATTTTTTTTGTAGAATGAAAAGGTCCTTGGCATCTGTGCTATTCCCCCATAGTATCACTCCATAGCTAAGCCAAGCATGCGCATAGGCATAATATGCAGATGTGGCTGTTTTTAGATCTGTGCATTTTTTTAATTCGTAAAGCGCATAAATAAATCTGGATAGCTTAGTCGAAATTTTATTTACATGTGGTTTCCAATTTAAGTAGGTATCAACCTCTACGCCCAGTAGGTTGCATGAATCAACTTCTTCTACGCATTTGCCATTAAATTTACATTTTATTATTAAAGGTTTTTTCTGGTGAGGATGATATTGGATGAGTTTTGTTTTTGAAATGTTTAGTTTAAGATTGTGTTCATTTAACCAGTTCTCAATGTTTTGTAAATTAATATCTATTTTTTGTATTAGTTCCTCGCTGCTACTAGTTGGCACAATAATATTAATATCGTCAGCGTACAAAATACACTTCTCTGTTGTAATTTGTGGCAAATCATTTATGTATATCAAAAATAATATACATCCCAAGACGCTACCTTGAGGTATAGAGCAATTAGTTTTTATTTTTTGTGAATAATATCTACTTAATGTTTTTTTATTACTTTCAAAATACTCAATAGTAACTACTTGTTCCCTATTTTCCAGGTAGGTGGACAACCACTCATGGGCTTTACCCCGGTACCGGAATACTACCAACAGTACCTCATGAATAACTTTCGTCTTCGAATCGTTTGCGTATTCGATAAAATTCGATACTCAGCCTTCGAATTCAACGATAACGTGATAATTTATATTGTCAAAATTAGTTTCGTGCTTCCATTTCTCATACTGAGTTCACTTTACGTCACTTTTGAGAGGTGCTCTGTTTAAGTTTTCATACTAAATCTTTTGATGGCGATTCGAATACGCAAACGATTCGAAGTCGAAAGTTGTTCGTGCTAGAGGCACAGGCAGCGGGATAAATAGTCTAATCTCTATGCGCCGGCGCATGTCAAATTATTTCAATGACTCAAATGTCCCCGTCCCAGATTCAACAAAATGTTCAAATGATTAGTCAAATCCTTTTAGGAAACCTTTACATGTCTCATGATTTTTTTGACCTACCAGCGCTTCGAAACAAAAATTTGGGGAGTGTTGAGAAGAAGCACTGCCACAAACTAAGTCACCATCTGCCATTTTTTAAAATAGGTTTGGAAGATGAGGAAGGGCCAGAAATTTGTCTCTACACTAAAGCCCGGTCTGTGAGCACGTAGAATTTTGTCCAATGACACCTAGCTACCCATCCTTATCGCTCGCGCGTAATTATGTTGCTATCGAGTTCGCACACTCACTGCGGGTGCCAGTCGCACAGTCGCGACAGCAATATAATTACGCGCGAGCGATAAGGATGGGTAGCTTGGGGTCATTGCACAAAATTCTACGTGCTCACAGACGAGACTATAGTTGTTTAGACAAAGTCCCAGCTGTTGTTCCGTAAATATAGTCCAGTGTGGCTCACCGAGCATGGAGAAGTGTCCCTGGTGGTGCATGGACGGGAACACGAGCTTGGCGGGCAGCGACAGCTTGGGCGCGTCCCGCATCGCTCCACCCAGTTGAAGGCGGCGCGCCACTACGTTCATAGGGTTCTCCGCAGGCCTGGGAAAATTACACAACTTAATTAAAAGGGTTCGATAGAATTTAGTTTTCACTCTGAAACGATTAAGCTCGGGCGCGGAGTAGCGGCCGCTGACGTTACTAATACGGCACGTAGAAGTCGTTGCATAATGTAAAGTGGAAGAAACAGGGCCCTGATTGCGGCAAAAATTTTCAGCTGCAACGCGATTAGACGAACCAAAATCAGCTTTTTGACAAATCCGTAATCCGTATCGCGGTATCGTTTTGACAGATTGTTCAAAGGAAGTTTAAACGTAAACGGATCGCAACTGCGCTTTAACGTAAAAGCTGACAGAATGCTACTATTTCTCAAACGCACAAGTCAAAAGTTTTACGATCATTTTTTGTGTTTTGGTAATTTTAGTTTCAAAAATAAGGTGGTCGGACTTTGGAAAGTGCAAATAGGGCACAATTAATCACTACAACTTGAACCTTATGTAATTCATCATAAGGTCGAAAATCATTTTTTTTCAGCATGCTGAGTTCAATCAGTGTTGTCTCCAACTGACCTGGTGGCCACCTTGACCATGACGTTGGTGGTGAAGATGTAGGAGGAGCAGAACACCCAGAACACGTCGTACAGCAGCAGCCCCGTCAGCAGCAGCGTCGACACCTTCAGCGACGGCAGCCGGATCAGCGCGATGAACGTCACGCACAGCCCCATACCCATCGCTGGAAGAGGTAAAGGTATGTTAAAGGCCGGTCTGTGAGCACGTAGAATTTTGTCCAACCCAAGTAACATTTTACTCCATTTAAGAGTTCAATAGTCGTTCACATGTACTCCACAAGCTGTGTATGTCAGCTGTATACGAGCTGTATAGCTTGCTATAATGNTACATATAAAAAGTTTTCATAAATGAACTGTGAAGCTACTGTCAGTATATATCATAACAATAAGAGCCTTTTTATATCAGCTATCGAGCCCGGTGACAATACAACTTTCAACTCTACGAGCCCTACAAAAACCTCAAGTAGTGAAGATACGAAAACCTTAGTGTATGAAGATTTTCAACCTTTTAAATGAGCATGTTTATTCATCATCATTTCAGTCAAACGACGTCTACTGTTGAACATAGGCCTACCCCAATAATTCCTAGACTTACCGGCTGGTAGCGGCCTGCATCCAGCGCTTTCCTGCTACCTTTAAGCCTTGGGCAGACCAAACGCGGAGCAGTAGCAGCGCAGTTTGAATGCGGGCCCGCGCAAGTTGTAATACAAGAAACTCTTTGAAGTGTGTCACACCAAATTTGAACGCGGGCCCGCGCTCTAACCGCGCCGCACTGCAACTGCCGAACGACAAACCAGGCGGCGCGGGAGCGGGACAGGCGGCCCGCGCTGTTGTATTACTATGGCGGCCATATTAGCATGACACACCGGACGCAGGGCGGTAGCAGCGCGTTGAAAGCGGTTTTCGAATATTTAAATTTTTGATAACCGCCCGCGTTGCAACTGCTTTGAAACTGCGCTGCTTTCAGCGTGCCTCAGCCGCGCTGCAACTGACCCGCACTGCTTCTGACCCGCGTTTGGTCTGTGGAAGCCTTTAATGAGGTCATCTCATCTCACCGGTACGTGGCCTCTATTCTAGAACCTTGCTGCCCCATCGGTCGTCTGGTATGAATGGGCATGTTATATGAGGCCGCTAGTTACCATGGAGCGCGGGCCGGGCACCTGCCCCATCTGGCAGACGAGCGTGGCCTTCTTGTAGGCGTCGTAGCGCAGCACGAAGCACAGCAGCAGCCCCGGCATCACGATGTCGCCCAGCCCTGACCACGAACACAGAATATATTAGTGATACTTTTTACACCGTAATCAAAAACAACCTTAAAGAAGCCCAGGTTGGAGACGCATGACACGGAGGGCCGACCCAAATAAAATGGGAATGGGCCAGGCAAAGTAGTAGTACTTTTTTTTTACACAATAAAGAAAAAACATTGACATATTCCGCTGCCAAAAATAAGACATGTTTATTGTTGATGGATACTCTTCTTCGTCTTATCGCACGTAATCCAGAATACTACCAACAGGCAGCGGGATAAATAGTCTAATCTCTATGCGCCGGCGCATGTCAAATTATTTTATCTATGACTCAAATAGGGTTTCAACCCCAGATTCAACAAAATGTTCAAATAATTAGTCAAATCCTTTTAGGAAACCTTTAAATGTCTCATGTTTTTTTGACCTACCAGCGCTTCGAAACAAAAATTTGGGAATTGTTGAGGTGAAGCACTGCAACAAACTCAGTCACCACTATCTGCCAGTTTAAAGATAGGTTTGGGGGTAAGGAGGGACGAGAGATTTGTCTCTGGGAGTATACGAGTTTCGTGGGGTAAAGACAGAAATCCAGTCAGCATAAAACCCACTTGTGGAACTATTGTGTCTCACCGAGCATGGAGAAGTGTCCCTGGTGGTGCATGGACGGGAACACGAGCTTGGCGGGCAGCGACAGCTTGGGCGCGTCCCGCATCGCTCCACCCAGTTGAAGGCGGCGCGCCACTACGTTCATAGGGTTCTCCGCAGGCCTGTAAAAATACATAAGATAAATAAGACGATTCAATAGAATTTACATCCGAAATCTAACACGACTGCTACGCAGACGTTGAAACTTTGTTACGATACGGCAGACTGTCATAGGAAACAAAGTAGTTGTAAGGTGTTAAGCAGAAGTAACAGGACACAAAAAGTGTTTACGTTTGCGCAGATAATGGCTGATTTCATGTTGATTAGGTATTAGGGAAAGAAAATATTCACTGGTGGCTTCTATACTATACAAGGCACACCAATTAAAGTTACAAGCTGCTTAGTTTTATGTTTTAATTTTATCTATTCTAAGTAACATTATGGTGATGCAAATAAATATCTGTACATATCTGTATCAAGTCTGAAGCCAAAGTCGTGATAATCTACAGTTCTACACAACAGATAAAGGGTCGAGGAAGTTTCATATTTCTTACCTGGTGGCCACCTTGACCATGACGTTGGTGGTGAAGATGTAGGAGGAGCAGAACACCCAGAACACGTCGTACAGCAGCAGCCCCGTCAGCAGCAGCGTCGACACCTTCAGCGACGGCAGCCGGATCAGCGCGATGAACGTCACGCACAGCCCCATGCCCATCGCTGGAAGAGGTAAAGGTATGTTAAAGCCCGGTCTGTGAGCACGTAGAATGTTGTCCAATGACCCTAAGCTACCCATCCTTATCGCTCGCGCGCAATTATATTGCTGTCGCGACTCTGCGACGGGCGCCCGCAGTGAGTGTGCGAGCGCTACAGCAACATAATAAAGCAGACCAGACTATAGACTTCTTATACACGAGCGGCTCATAGCCGACAGCAGTAGCAACGGCAGCTGTCGCTGTCTCTTTGTACGCATCCTGTACAAAGAGACAAGCTACAACTGCAGCTAACGCCAAAAGGTGACAACAGCTACCGTTGCCACTGCCGTCTAAGAACACTTAATGAAGTTACATGGAGCAAGAATGATGTCATGGGGAGGTGGCATGACGAATGATTATGAGTGATTCATATAGGTTGACTATTAGTCTCTTCCATGAATTGCCCTATAGATTGACTGGATCAGCGCGATGAACGTCACGCACAGCCCCATGCCCATCGCTGAAAGGCGTGTCAGTGAAGTTACATAGAGCAATGATGAAAGTCTTGACTGCTTTAAGGGGGGAAGGTCGAATGGTGATGATAACCCATTTAGGTCGCCAATCTCCTTTTTGATTTTCTCTATAGATTGAAACAGTCTATTCAAGAACACTTTAAAATTGCGAGCTGTCCACGTAACCTGAAAAATGAACGATATAACCTCGCTGGAATGCGACTCTCCCTTCCACTAACCCGCATACCTCCCCGCATTCGCCTCGTCTGTATCAGAGTCGATGTGACGCAGTTAACTCGACCGGGTTGTAAGTGGCGGGAACTTAGTATTACAACAACTGAGTGAGCTCATGTTCCATGATATATTCTCAATCAAGTAGCAGTCCCTAGTTGTATAACTGATTGAGCTCACGCTCCATGATACTTTCCCAATCAAGTGGCGGCCGCCTAGTGTTGTACTAGGAGGGAATAGTCCCGTAGTATTGCACAAAATGACAAGTAGGGCCCAAAAGATAAGGAGACATGTAAAGTGCTCCATAAGGGCTATCTTTTTTTTTATTTACTATATTTGCCACCAGTGGTCTAAATTAAGTAAAATATTTTTGATTTTGATTTTGATGCTTTTTCAATCAACTAACGGGTGCCTAGAGTTGTACAGTCGACAGTACATCAAAGTTCATCAAACTATACATTTTTGTTGGAAAACATCTTGTATTACAACGAGATAAGACACAGTTGTCTTTGCTTAACTGTCGCCTGTACAAGTGAGTTAGCTCACCGTCCATAAGTAGCCAGTGGCCGGTGAGCACCCAGACCGCTACGATGGCGGCGGCCAACAGCGCGGCGGCCAGCTCCGGCGCCGAGTAGCGGCCGCAGACGGCGCCGCGCGCGCCGAACCCTGCGCTACCGGCCACGTACTGGCACAGAGGCGTTAGAAGGAACGCCAGCGCCGCGCACGCGATTACTGAAAACATTGAACACGTCACACTGAAAAACCTCTCCTTTTTAATGAGGGCTATTCGTTTTAGCGCTCACCAGTTGGCGCCACTGTAGAGTAAGGTCCTGTCACTTGCTAGTAGCGAAGACAGTGGCGCCAACTTGTGAGCGATAAAGTGGTAAGAGGACTATCGCATTTGCACTCATCAGGATGGCGCCACTGTAGAGTAAGGTCCTGTCAATCGCCAGGGGTGCCAACTGTTAGGTATAAAAACGATAGCCCTCATTAAGAGACCTGCCCAGGCCTGTTCATTGTTCATCTTCCCGAGTGGGCATCAAAAACAAAACACGCGCGGCGGCCACGCCGGCATTGTTAATCCGCAAGCAGTGACCACTGAGTAGATTAAGCGTATTTTGAATCGTCTTCTAGAGTAATAAAAATGAAATTCGCTTGCAATGAATTTCTCTAGTATGCGATACGAATACGAAATGGTGCTCAACTCCAAGGAAAGCTAAATTGCACCATACTTGACGATATTGAGTAGACATTTTACAATACCTTTGCGAAGAAGTTGTTCTGTACGAAGTATACATGTAGCTAAACGGTGAAGGCGAACGTTCGCTGACGTGCAACGTTTATATTGCTAAAGTTTGGTGGCACAATGTAAAAACTCAACCTCCAAATCTACTAATCATTTAAAACGGGTGAAACATTTGATATACACAATATAAAATAAATAGTTCTCAACTTACTGGCTGTGCATATAGCGACGAGCGTCTGCATGGAGTCGAAGAAGAAGAACATGATGAGCAGCGCCACCGACGAGCCCAGCGGGAAGCACAGCGCTTGCATCGTGTTCAGGGTTTGGATGTCTGGGGAACACAATGACATAGCTAGGTTCATCCACAAACGAAAATAAAATAGGAAATAGGTAGGGGCGACGAGTGTGAGAGCCACGATGATTTGGTGTGTTATGAAAGTAATATTTTACAATACTTCCGCAGACAATACTAAGTTGGTTATTAGAGCAACATATTTAACTTATGACAGTGTATATGGATCGAAATTCCCAAGACAAGCAGCGAGGCCTCTCTCTCTTTCTCGGCTCACTCGCGCGCTATCCAACTAGCCTAGGATGCGCGTCACGATATAATCTTATCGATGTCANATAGTGGTAAATAATGTGTGTCATCGTTATCATTTCTTTCGAGGCTCGAGCAAATACCTAGCAGGAACGCAATAATGCTGAACGCTATTGAAAAATATTATTATAATGACATGCAATTCCGAGCGAGGTTCCGCATCTCTTAAAGAAACGGTGTTGTGTCTGGATTCATAATTTGGAAGCTCTTTGAAACCCCGCACCAAACGCCATACAACCAGTGGACCAAATACTTATTATAACCCTACTGTTCTACGCAACGGGAAGTTATGAACGTGTACTAGGTGATATCTTCCACATCGAACAGCCAACTGTGCATCGTATAGTGCACGAAGACACGAAGTAACAACCAAAATAGCTGCTATGAAATCGCTTTACATGAACATGCCTATTTCTGAGGATTAAGGGGACATCGCATAGCAGCATTTCCAAGAGTTGTTGATTTGTCAATTTGATGCTCTGTCAACAATGATAAATGTCAATTGTGGTTACGTTTCGGTCCACGATCGCCACTTAATAGATTTCAACAATAAAAAGTATCACCTTTAAAATTATTTTTTTAATTAAATAAAAATGCAAGCATTAATTTTTTTATATGATTAAACGAGATTTATGTATAATAGAAACTAAAAATAAGCTGTTGTATGTTAAGTTGATTGAGTAATATTTCCATAAAAGACAATACATAACCAAACGATGCTGCGTGTAATGGATAAAAAACGTAAAGTTATCATTTGTGTAAATGAAAACATACTTTTTTTGGTAAATGTTGCCATTATGTAAACATTTGAGAGCTGCTTAGCTGATCACGGCTTCAAATCCGTTGAGTGGTGTTTGAGAATACCATTTAAAATTGAAGGATACTTAAATTTAGGAGCCCGTTAGCTGAGTGACAGATTTGAGTAGTGTTTCAGTATTCGGCCGTAAGCTACCCATCCTTATCGCTCGCGCGTAATTATATTGCTGTCGCGCTCGCACACTCACTGCGGGCGCCCGTCGCACAGTCGCGACAGCAATATAATTACCCGCGAGCGATAAGGATGGATAGCTTGGGGTCATTGGACAAAATTCTACGTGCTCACAGACCAGACTATAGGCTTCTTATACACGAGCTGCTCATAGCCGACAGCAGTGGCAACGGCAGCTGTCGCTGTCTCTTTGTACAGGATGCGACAAGCTACAACTGCAGCTAACGCCAAATGAGTCGACAGTTCTCTGAACAAACTTGTATATAATTGAATTTTTGAAGCAGTTTATTCAAGAATCTTAATCCTAAACCTGGATATATCCAAGTATGATGTATTTCCTGGCCTGAAAGACGGACGCATAAGTGGCGGGAGCGCAGTGTGTTACAACTGAGTGAGCTAACGCTCCATGTCTATGTTACAGTCGACTCGACGGTACATTAAATTATACATTTTTGTTGAAAAACATCTTGTATTACAACGAGATAATACACCACAGTTGTCTTTGCTTAACCCGTTGTGCTGTCGCCTGTACAAGTGTTGTTGGCGACATCAAACCTTTTTTATATGTACCTATTTTTACTTTTTGTACTTTTTTTTTATTGCTATTGTTTTTGATACGTCTTGTTGACTTTAGATATAAAAAATGGATACACAGTTTTGTTATGTCGAAAAGTTTCGTGTTTGCTTTTAAAGTAGCTACTTATTCCCATACACACGAGGCTCACACGTAGGTTTTACAGTGAAATCCACAACAAATCAAATCAAATCAAAATTCATCAATTTATTCAGTTTAGACCACTTATGAACGTCAAATATAAAAAAGAAAAGGTAGCCCTTATGGGGCACTTTACATGTCTCTTTATCTTTTGGGCCCTACCAGCGCTTCGAGACAAACATATGGCAAGTGCTGAGAAGAAACGCCGAAACAAACTCAGTCACCACTAAGGGGCCATCCATAAAGTACGTCACACGAATTTCATGATTTTTTGACCCCCCCTCCGTCCTTGTCACAAAATTATTAAATTAACAGCAGTTCCGAAATTACTTTTATTTCCATTTAAATTAAGTACCTACATTTTTTTATGAAATCAACATTATATCAAATATTTAAAACAATTGACCTCCTACTAGGTGGACCGACGATCTGGTAAAGGTCGCGGGAAGAGCCTGGATGCGGGCAGCGCACGAAAACCTTGGGGGAGGCCTTTGTCCAGCAGTGGACGTCATTTGGCTGAAAAGAAGAAGAAGAAGAAAACAATTGAGATGTGATGTCAAGAAACTTAGGACCCCACCCCTTGTCACACCTTGTCACACCATGTCACACTTTGTCAAGCCCCTCCCCCCCTCTACGTGTGACGTACTTTATGGATGATCCCTAACAAGTGAGTTAGCTCACCGTCCATGAGCAGCCAGTGGCCGGTGAGCACCCAGACCGCTACGATGGCGGCGGCCAACAGCGCGGCGGCCAGCTCCGGCGCCGAGTAGCGGCCGCAGACGGCGCCGCGTGCGCCGAACCCTGCGCTACCGGCCACGTACTGGCACAGAGGCGTTAGAAGGAACGCCAGCGCCGCGCACGCGATTACTGAAAACATTGAACACGTCACACTGAAAAACCTCTCCTTATTAATGAGGGCTATTCGTTTTAGCGCTCACCAGTTGGCGCCACTGTAGAGTATTAAGGTCCTGTCACTTGCTAGTAGCGAAGACAGTGGCGCCAACTTGTGAGCGATAAAGTGGTAGGAGGACTATCGCATTTGCACTCATCAGGATGGCGCCACTGTAGAGTAAGGTCCTGTCAATCGCCAGGGGTGCCAACTGTTAGGTATAAAAACGATAGCCCTCATTAACCCATTTAGCCCTACCGTACCCTATGTGGTACGGTATCTTTTTGAAAATATTTCGAAGTACCAAACTGTTGTTAATTTGTAAAAATGATTGTGACGGTAAGCTTAAAGTGATTATTTTACATAAAAATATTTTAAAATATGTTTTAACAAGTGGTTTCGGAAATATTTATGAAATTCCTCGACAGAAAACCAAAAAAATATTTACAATGTATTTAAGAAGGTATAATTTCTTATTACTCATGGTAAATTATATTATTTATCAATTTTATTTTAAAAATAGAGTACAATAGATATATGACTACAAAAAAAATATTATTCCGATTATTTTTATACGGTTTATTCCAGTCTAAAATAGGTGTACCGTATAAGGTACAGTAGGTCTATGCATGAGCAAATCATGTTAAAAATATTATTAATATTTATTATTTTTATTTGTTTTGGGCTATTGATGCTTCACTATATTGCCACAACTCATGAAAAATTTGATAATTTCAGCAAACATAAAGCAGTCTTGGTATTTTTCTACTGCTTGTCTTATCAGATGACCGCTAATGATGATCAGATTGACGAAGATTTAGGCGATAAAGATATTGTCAATGTAAATAATAACCCTCAGAGTTTTCTTCGATGGATTTGCTAAATTTCCATCACCGTGTTGCTAAATGCGATTATGGATAGCACTAAACGTAACAAATCAGAAGAAGCCAGGTCTTCTTCAGCTATCCTCACTAACTTAGGAGAAGGTAGGAAAAAAGAACCAAATGTGGTTAGTATCACAGAAAACGTCTTACAAGATATGCCAAGTGTGATACTAGTGATCATGTGATTTTATTTTTATTTTATATCATGCAAAAATAAATAAAACTCTTCTTTGAACAACGACTATGTTTTGCTTGCTTATAGACCTACTGTACCCTATATGGTACGGGCTCCCCACGGCCCCCTATTTATGGATTATTTTTTTAAATATTTTTTTCACGATTTTTAGGCTTCCCTTTGTAAGTTTTTGCTGAAAAAACGATATTTATTTACAAAAATAATTATCGGTCTAAATGGGTTAAGAGACCTGCCCAGGCCTGTTCATTGTTCATCTTCCCGAGTGGGCATCAAAAACAAAACACGCGCGGCGGCCACGCCGGCATTGTTAATCCGCAAGCAGTGACCACTGAGTAGATTAAGCGTATTTTGAATCGTTTTCTAGAGTAATAAAAATGAAATTCGCTTGCAATGGATTTCTCTAGTATGCAATACGAAAACGAAATGGTGCTCGACTCCAAGGAAAGCTAAATTGCACCATACTTGACGATATTGAGTAGACATTTTTTTAAATACCTTTGCGAAGAAGTTCTTCTGTACGAAGTATACATGTAGATAAACGGTGAAGGCGAACGGTTGCTGACGTGCAACGTTTAAAGTTTGGTGGCACAATGTAAAAATACTCAACCTCCAAATCTACTAATCATTTAAAACGGGTGAAACATTTGATAGGTATACACAATATAAAATAAATAGTTATAAACTTACTGGCTGTGCATATAGCGACGAGCGTCTGCATGGAGTCGAAGAAGAAGAACATGATGAGCAGCGCCACCGACGAGCCCAGCGGGAAGCACAGCGCTTGCATCGTGTTCAGGGTTTGGATGTCTGGGGAACACAATGACATAGTTAGGTTCATCCACAAATGAAAATAAAATAGAAAATAGGCAGAGGCGACGAATGTGAGAGCCACGATGGTTGGGTGTGTTATGAAAGTAATATATTACAATACTTCCGCAGGTAACAAATCTTTGGACCTTTCAATATAAGTCAGAGAAACAAAATAAGTCTCCTTTATTTGGTCGACAATTTTTAGCGCCAGTTGGCACTTGGTGTTGGTTATTATAGAGCAGCCTTTGTCAACTTAAGGCCAGTTAGGTTCGAGATAATATGTGGTGTGAACTATATCAAGCTAGCTTGAATGCGCGCCACGATATTATCGAGGCATTTTATCGATTTCAGACGATCAGATCATGTATTTGTCGTCTAAGGGCCTCCGCCAAAACTCGTAAGGGTGCCCGTACGCGTTTCTATATTGAAAATTAGTATGACCAGCGCACGCAGGTGCCTACGGCAGGCAACTGCTTACTCGCAGCGTTTTGGAAGTCCTATTATCGACGATACGATTATACCTGGACGCGCTTCCTAGAGAGCTGAACTAAAAATCTTGAACTAATCCAATCATCTAACTGTTATTCGAGGATGACGTGGTAGTGGGCTTGCCTCCGAGCAGCGAGGCCTCTCTCTCTTTCTCGGCTCACTCGCGCGCTATCCAACTAGCCTAGGATGCGCGTCACGATATAATCTTATCGATGTCCGACGATAAGCCCATACATTTGTCGTCTAAAATCGACGATAAGATTTTATCGTATCGCGTTTTATGCCAGCAGGTGGACCAAAAAGCTTGATCAAATCCAATCATCTCACTGTTATTCGAGGATGACGTGGTAGTGGGCTTGCCTCCGAGCAGCGAGGCCTCTCTCTTTCTCGGCTCACTCGCGCGCTATCCAACTAGCCTAGGTTGCGCGTCACGATATAATCTTATCGATGTCAGACGATAAGCCCATACATTTTTCGTCTAAAATCGACGATAAGATTTTATCGTATCGCGTTTTATGCCAGCAGGTGGACCAAAAAGCTTGATCAAATCCAATCATCTCACTGTTATTCGAGGATGACGTGGTAGTGGGCTTGCCTCCGAGCAGCGAGGCCTCTCTCTTTCTCGGCTCACTCGCGCGCTATCCAACTAGCCTAGGTTGCGCGTCACGATATAATCTTATCGATGTCAGACGATAAGCCCATACATTTGTCGTCTAAAATCGACGATAAGATTTTATCGTATCGCGTTTTAGGCCAGCAGGTGGACTAAAATAGCTTGAACAATCCAATCATCTCACTGTTATTCGAGGATGACGTGGTAGTGGGCTTGCCTCCGAGCAGCGAGGCCTCTCGCTCCTTCTCGGCTCGCTCGCGCGCCTCTCTCTCCATGTTGAGGGAGCGGAAGCTGCCGTAGACAATGAGCAGCATTGAGATCAGGCAAGCAGACACCCTGTGGACAAGGTAATAGAGCGTAAATTGCAATGTGTTACTAATATTATGAAGAGGAAAGATTTGATTGCACCCTGTGGACAATGTAATAGAACATAAATTGGTTTGTAAATAAACATGCTGTTCTCGCAATTTCGTAGGCGTGGGAAATTCTTTTCAAATCAGTTATCTGTTCAACCTTGATTTAGTATGTATCTATCTATGTATATGCCATAGAGTGGTCAAGCTACATTTCCGCTACTAAAATTGTTTTTGAAATAAAAATTTGGACGACGGCACGTTAAGTGACATCTTATGCAGTTTGTCATAAGTGCGATTTTGTAACAAAAATAATTATGCTCTAAGCACGAGTTGAATGTGGTTCGCTAGAAACAAAAAGTCTACCTATCTTATCTGCATATAACTCGCGCGCCAACAATCTGTAGGCAGAGCACGTTTAGTACTAATTTGTTTCTAAATGAATAAATTTATCATCAGATTTAACCAAACCAAAAATCATCAATCAAAATATTGAAAATATTTATTTTCATCTTATCCCAAATTCAGGCAGAGGCACCGGTTTGTATGTTGAAAGAAGATAATACGAAAACAAAAAATATAAACCGTAGTGAGACAGGTCAAGCAGTTACTGTTAGGTATCCTAGTCAAGCCAGTTGTAAAGGAAAACAATTTACACTTACAACGCAATTATGTCATGGCGAATTACCGCATTGACATGGTCTTTACTTAATAATATTATTGTTAATATGCATCCCAACTAACTAATAATATAAATGCGAAAGTAACTCTGTCTGTCTGTCTGTCTGTCTGTCTGTTACGCTTTCCCGCTTAAACCTCGCAACCGATTTTGATGAAATTTGGCATAGAGATAGTTTGAGTCCCGGGAAAGAACATAGGATAGTTTTTATCCCGGTTTTTGAAACAGGGACGCGCGCGATAAAGTTTTTCTGTCACAGATAAAATTCCACGCGGGCGAAGCCGCGGGCGGAAAGCTAGTAAATTCATAATGCGTTAACTGCGTTTGACACGGCAACTGTGCTAACACGTTTAAATAAATAAGTGTTGTTTTGTTGCCACATAAAGGCATTTAATTCAATAATAATATGCCAGCACTTACTGCGTATACTTGAAGGTTTCTTGATTGACGAAATATACAAATCTATGAATATTTAAGCACAAGGTTAGTCAATAGTAGTGGAACATAAGAACAAGAAGAAACGAAACATTTTTTTTTTTAGCCCTCCCTCCCGTTAACCCCTCGTACTAAGCTAAATATGCTTGTGTCACGAGTGAGCCCACCACAATAGTCGAGCAGCGGCAGGGAACCGAACCCGCGTTCCCCGGATCACGAGTCGGTCAGTCCGACCCCTTCACCGTTCGGCTATCGTGGCTTAAATTACTCATTACTCATATTAAATGATACCAGTGCCAGTGTTATGAGATTCTTCTCACGTACAGACAGAGATCGATCCACGTTTATACGCTATCGACTATACATACATACATGTTTTCGATGGCAACTCGTGGTAGAGGTAAATAAATGCGAAACTATCTAACTTTCGTCTGCCTGTAGTTTTTAAGTTTTCCGCTAATGTATAATAAATTAATTTTGATATAGCATAGGGTATTAATTAACTTATCATCATCAGTATTAACGCTATGTAACTAACGCATTTCTGTGATAGACAGAAACCAGCACGGACAAAGTCACAGCCAGAAAGTAAGATGCCATAGAACAGGGGTGGCCAACCGGTCGATCGCGACTATTAGTCCAGTCAATCGTGGCAAGGCAAAACATACTACATGATTGTGTACTAAACTATTCTGTTTCATTTAAGATTTCAAGAAGTATGTAAGTGGTAGATCGCCCAGGGTTTTGTTAGTAAACAGTAGATCTTATGTCTATTTAAGTTGACCACCCCTGCCATAGAATATCTTCTAATCGTCCCAACTCTACAAATTGTTTCATCTCAGCAACAACAGTTGTAGGGTGCGTGCAGAATTTACTTTAAACAATTTGAAACTGCAGTCTCTAACATCAATTACAGTAAAATGTTATCAAGAGAAAACCCGTTTCATATTATATTATTTAGTGTTCTGGAATTTTAACGAACATTCATTACACANATTCATTATACAGAGAACAGGTGGCGCGCGAGAAAGTTCTGTGAACTGCTCAAAAGTAAAGTGAAATTCCCAATGCAATAACCGTTTTCAGTTAACGTCTCGGTTAGTACCGTATCCTATTGTAGTAGAGAGTACGACACGACGCACGTCCCACGAATTCGTTTGTAAAAAACCAATCAATAAGTCATTGGTGGCGCGAAGTGTCGCCTGTTGACCCATGCCGGTAATTAGGTGCGTCCCGTACACAGTAGCCGGGCCCTAATGTGTGTGCCAGCTCTTTTAAATTGGGTACTTGACCACCATAACCCATTAATCTAAAGTACAAGTTCGCTAATAAAATTTTCTATACGATATCTATGGAGGAATCATGTAATTTTGGGCGTCAAAAGTACGTTAATTGACTGAATGATGATGTGTTAACTACCTAATCATCATTGTTGTTAGATAGATTAATTTCGAGGGAGGGCGTCGATCTTTCTTTCACATTGTCCTTAAAATTTAGGGATGTCAAATGCCGATAAGTTTTTTATGACTTACAACTTTGAAGCGATCATTGTATGTACCCTTCTAAATATCCTTTTACAAGACTTCTTGTTCTATGTTGTATTTAAATAGAACATTTTTAGCTGTCTTCTTGCTCCTTGACCCCGAACAACTAATTACCAAAGGAGTAGTGTCCCTTGACCTGCGTTAATTAAGCAGGCGCGTCTAGTGACACGCGCCCTCTGGGTCTAGTCTAGCGGCAGCATCCTCGTGAAATAGGGCTGTCAACTGTGGTATTTGAACTCAAAATTAAATCTTCATTTACCAAGTTACATAGACTCTATGACACCCACAGTAGGTTGGGAATGTCTCGTATTTGTATTGTTAACTCGATTATTTGCATAGATCAATAACTCTTGTGACTGAATAAAATAATAATTTAAAGTAAGCAACTGTCTTCCAAGAGCGAAACGAATAAGAAGAAGTAAGCAAAATCTAAAATATGTATAACGGAATGAAAAAAATAAATAAGTTCAATTATAATACTTTTTTTTAACACTACTCTGGTCTTGCGGCCTGCATCTCACTTGATGTAGGTCCGTATTACCACAGAATACATAATAGTAGCAACAGAAATTGCACTCCTTTGTGTAGGATCAGATGCCGACATTTTAACGGTAATAATAATAATGCAAAATATCCAACGCACATGGTGCATTAGAAATCGCACCTTACTACTACGCTCACAAGAGCGACATTTTTTTGTGTTCAGAATTTATCTACCTCACAGTTCAAGCGTCAGGGTTGTATAAAATAAACAAGAACTTAATTTTAAGAAGCATTATTTATTGTATTTAAGATTGGTAAACATTAATCTAGTGGTGTTTGTATAGTACGTACCTATTAATAAACTACAGTGTTGCGATAATTCGAAATTGGACGAACAGTTTTAAAAGGTGTAGTGTCGGAAAATAGACACGGTGAAGTAAAGTTAATGTTTTTATTAGCTAAAATAATTTTTTTGCTACAGTTTTTTGTCATAAGTATTTCAAAACTATTTATAAATAATAAATAAATAATAATAAAAAAGTGTAGTTTTTTTTAATTATTTAAATTACTACAATTAATTATTATTCCTAAATATTACGATTTTCCAATAAAGAAGGATAACAGTGCTGTTGGAATAATATACCTTGATTGCGAGCGACGCGACGATGATCGACCGAGCGTGTATAGAGATACGCGTGTGCTCACAGGCGCGTGGCGGCCCTGACTGATTTGCAACTTGAAGTTGTCGCGCGCTGTAGGTAATTATCTCGGCCGGCATAGGCGAGTGACGGAGGCCTGGTATTACNATATAACCAGCCTAACTGGACTGTTTGTACTAGGTATATATGATTGTCAACAACTGCCGAGTGTAGAGTATCCAACCTTTAGAGTGCGAATTATTTACTCACCGTTGATATTTATGCCGAATCCGTTCCAGTCCAGAAGCAGTTCTCCAGGTGGTGAACAGTTTCGGAGTTTTCAGTTCCCCCTGTCTGCTGCTGCAACTAGTTTCGAGTCTTGATCCTGAAGACGGAACGACATTGTGGCGTTTTCGTACAAGCCTTTCAACTTTCTTTCGATGTATCGATGTATTCAATTTGACACCGTTGGAGAAACTGTAGTAAGTACTGCCCAGGTCTCGATCGAAGCTTTCTCATAGTCCACAAACGCCAGGCAAAGTGACTGACTATACTCCTCGGTCTTCTGTATAATCTGCCGTGGCGTATGTATGTGGTGTACTAAAGCCTTTTCGGAAACCGGCTTGTTTGAGAGGCTGGAAGTTATCGAGCTTACGAGCGAGACGATTCGTAATGACTCTCGAAAACAGCTTGTAGACATGGCTCATAAGTGAGATGGGTCTATAATTCTTCAACAAGGTTTTGTCGCCTTTTTTGAAGAAGAGTATCACCACACTTCTGTGCCATACCGTAGGCGTTTTTCCTTCGAGGATGACGGAATTAAACAGCTTCTGAAGAGCCTTCAGCCCCTCGGTCAAAAACCCAACTGCGTAAAAATGAACAGAAAAAAGATAGAGACAAGACAACTTAGTGTTCATAAGTGTAGTAGGAGTGGGAGGCATTAAATGCATATCACCACTAAAAAGTAATTGATATCCTATATTCATATTAACGTAAGGGCCTAATTATGATAAATCAAAAAGTTTCAAATGAAGTAAGGTTCAATGAGTTCAAAAGTTAAAACCAACAGTTTAGGGTAAGGGCTGAATTGTATTATTAAAATGAATATACGTCCTTTAAATCATTTATTTCCCCAAAAGTCGTATTCAGACGACTAAAAATGTTTAAGGTAAGGGACATTTTTTTAAAGATATCAACATTTCAAGTATACCAATCGATAGAGCCGAAAATTCTGAATGCGTTGGTATATATAACTCATTTTGGCCAAAATGTCCCTTACATTAATTGATACTTCCACCATCGATATTGTGGTAACGACGGATAACTACGGAACCCTACACTGCGCATGGTACGAGGTATTACAAATTACGTTCAAAACTCGATTCAATCTCGGGCATAGATTGTCTTGCGAGTTTTTATCTTCGTTCTGTAATAAGGACCGTAATGTGATGATCAGGCCGAAGGTAGTAGAACCATGCTTAGATTCTTATAAATACGGAACACCGTAATAAAGATAAAGACGTCTATTAAAGACATTATTGAAGTTCTTGTTTTATCTCTCGCTAGCAACCTTATTAATACCGTCCTAAGGCCCCTCCAATTAGCAGCGTCAACTTCGGCGCCACAGCCGCAAGAGTGCACGGATCCTAATCTATCGGGCCCACTTTATCAATATTGTCCCACCACCACTCCTTTGGTATATTTGTTAGGCGTCAGCAATTAATACAGGAAAAACAATACGTTATTAAGACTACTTAATTAACATTTGAGGAAAAAACAATACTAGTTTCAGCCTTAATTTGAACTCGAGATACGATCGAGAGGAATGTGAATTCTCAGCAACTGTATGTATAACATTTTGACGATACATTTTGATAGTAATTGGCGACGAAAACTTTACTTAAAATAGTTATGTTGAAAATTATTCAAATACAGATAAGGAAATGGGAAGTCATAGTTCATAGATAAATATTGATAGATACTAACTCAACAGATTTCCCGCCGTCCAACAGAAAAAAAATCTTACATTTATATTTTTTATACAAAAAAAGATGGGCAGTTCGATTAAAATAATCAAACAACCTAAATAATATCGGACATAAATACAGATCGTATAAAAATGGGGACGTGAACCAAAGTACAATGACCTACTTTGTTTATCTTGAGCATGTATTTTTATATCTTACTTTTGAGACAGACTATAAATTATGTTATTTAATTCTTTTTAAAACTTTGGATGATAAGAATTGGATACAAAACAATCTAAGACAAAACATAATTTTAGACCAGAATCCTGATTATTTCTTAGCTTGGAAAGTTTCACCCATCTTCCATCACCTTTTATTTACAGTATTTGCACTTTGATAAGATAATTTAATGAAATCTAGAGAGCTAAATGATACTTCAATGGCAGTTCACTTTCATTCTAAGACTACATGCAGTTTCTAATGGGTGTATAATTTAATTATAATTTACCAGAGGCAAGAGTCAATGCGCGAGGGAAATTGATTCTGATGAAAACTTTCATCTATATAACAAAATATATGGATATTTTTTTGTCATTTGTATTGCACTAATTGCCGTTACTCGTACTAAGCTCAATACGCTTGTTACAAAAGATTAATCACAATCAAGTCGTCAAGCGGTAGCGGGAATCGAATCCGCGTTCCTCGGATCGCGAGTCGACCACCGGCCAGTCAGACTTTCCCGGTCGGCTATTGCCTATTGTCGCTTCTTTCCAAAACAAAACTAGCATGAAAAAATCTTACTGTACAGAAAAAGGTACTTTATCACTTACTTGGAAGAGTCCATAATTGAGTACGCCCATTTGTACTCCTGGTACTCCATGTTGGCTCCGACCTGCGCCATCGCAGCGGCTGCTCAGCAGACCAGGCGGTCAGTGCTCGCACGACCCTGGGTCACGTCTGGGGCGCTCTGGAAGTAGACCAGATCTCGAATGAGGAGTTTGTGAAAGAAAACAATGAAAGAAAGAAACAACGATTATTTTGCACCATATAGTATCACAAAGAAATAAAAAAAAATCTCAAAAATCAAATTAATTCACATGATAAAAAAAATTAAACCTTTTGGTGGCAGCCCTATAAATTTGTTTGTTTTTTTCATTTTTCAAAATGACATCAATAAAATTGTTAAATGTATTGTAAGAATCTTTAAAATAAATACCACAACCTAATACTCTCTTTATTTTTCTTTATGATAAGAAATAGCAAACACACTTTAAATTCAGAACACAACCAAACTTACAAAAAATTGAATAGTCTGTGTATAATAGTGAAACACTTGAAATTTATTCTTCATTAAAATCCATTCCAATACTTCACTACACATTTTTAGAACATTTGAACTAATATTTTTCAGAGTAATTTAGTGTGTAACAGCCACTGCACACAAGAGCTGATAAATGATGATTGGCAATCAAGCAGATGATATTTAATCACTGCCGATATGTGAGGCTTACAACAACAGTACCATTGAAATCATAACAAGTTTGAAACTCAATATAGTATAATAACATTGATTAGTGGCAACTGTGGGATTCATCAAGGCTTGTGAAGTTTCAGACGGTACTCAAAACAAGAATGTTTGCTTTGATAAGATCACAATGTTTTCAACTTGTGACCCTATAATCTCATGCATTGAATTAGAAGCTAATTGATAACATAAGCAATTAAATACTCGCAACTAGCAAAAATATGTATGTGTGAGATAGCATTGGAACAAAGGATAGCAATAAAAAGTTCATAGTGACAAATAGACTACAAAGACTATAAAGTAACATAAAAAACAAAATTGAATGTTTTTATTTAATTAAGAAATACTTTGAAAAAATTGCATTTATAACTAACATTTGAAAACTTTGACATACAGCATGATTAATTTTTAACTTTGCTTGTTAAGACTATTATTAACATGAATGATATTTTGATTAGTTGCAACATTAATTTAATTTTTTTGTCTTCTTCTGTAAATTATGATAGTCCTACTAATATCCTACTAATATTATAAATGTGAAAGTTTGTATGGATGTTAACATGTTTGTTACTCTTTCACGGAAAAACTAGTGAACGGATTTTGATGAAACTTAACAGTATTATTGTTTATGACCCAGAATAACATATAGGCTATAATTTATGACAAACAAAATTTCACGCAGGTGAAACCGCGGGCAAAAGCTAGTTAAACATATAGATTCAATTAGAAACATTTTGCACAAATATCTATACAAACTTAAGTTTTAAATATCAAAGTAAAACTTTTTGAACCTTTTTTAAAATTTGAATTTGTGGCCCTATAAATGAAACTAATAAGGCATAATGCAAGAAACAAGAAAAAAAAAGAATATACTTTTCATGTATTTTTTATACAAAGAGTGACACACCATAACAAATTAGATTACCTACATTCTTTTAATTAGTTTAAAAACACCTAATTCTAATGTTCTCTAAAATAGATTTAATGAAAGAAGAAAGAATATTTATAAATGGGTGCAATAACTAACTTAATCAAATATTCTTCTGTGTGAATATAACAGTAACAATAAAAAAACTACATTGTAGCCTTTACAAAGTGAAAGTAAAATGTATTTATTTCCAAAAAATGACACAAAAGTCCAATTTTGAATAGCGGTCTCTGCTTATTTTATTATTATGTGGTACACAAAATAATGTGTGGAGTGTATCAAAGAAATTACAATATAATCAACTAGCCATTCACACAGATAAAAATTTTAATGGTAAAAAGTTTGGAAGTAAGGAAGTAATCACAACAAAAATGTCAACATTCAATAAAATATACATTTTTAATGAGAACAATCATATAACTGTAAATGAACCGGCAGAAACGAACTACAATAGTTAACTAAATTCAGGTTCGAAATAAGTAGAGCACGAAAATAATGTAGACAATAAAGTGAAAGGGTACCGAAACCAACACCGTTGTGAGATGGATAACATTTGCGGAAACGATTCGCAGGTCGTCAAATTTATCCAACCAAAATATTTGTAGTCTAAATTATAAAATATTTGATGAAAATAATAATAAATGCATTATATTAGGTCTTTTAAAACTTGTAGTGGGCACCGAAGCAAATAACAACACATACCAATATTGAGGAATGCTCCAAACGGCATATATTTGTCAGTCCGATGATTCCATACTTAGAAGTAAAAAGTATCACTATTTACAGTTAGCTTACATTGAATTTAATTGATTTTTACTAATTTATTTACCAGAAAACACTACAATCCTACGCTCAATCGACAGCCATACTGTCATAGACTAATAGAGAGAAAACCATAGATATTTTTATGCCAAAACAGTTCTGCCCAGATAGATATTTTAGCAATGGAGAGAGCATATGACTATACTACATGACCATGAACAAAGATTCCATAATTTAGTCGAAAGATGAGCCACAGACTGATTAGAGAGTAGCTGAGCTGTGACCGGCTGGGACCTTGCTGGAAGTGCTGGGACCCTAGCTGTAAGTGGCACTTTTTGATCATAAGGAGACATTTGAATGAAACATGACGTCTATTTATTAGTGGCTAACACTGCTAACGCACAAGCCGTGCATGCCATAATTAAAAAAACATTTTGACTATGATTTTTGACAGTGACAACTGACAGCACTTGTCAGGCGACTTAACCCACAGACTTAACCTAACAGTGCATTGGTTTAATTCGACTTATTTAATTAATTAAAATTAAATAATGAAGCTGTGTCAAGTTCTTTTTCGACGAAACCGTCTACCAAATGGTCATCTATTTAGAGGCAAAGACCGACTTGTAAAGCCGGTGCAATCGAAAGACCTGAGAAAGCTCAGAAGTGACTTTGCTGTTGAAGAGCAAAACATGTTTTATTTACGTTTTCCATACCTTACGGAGGTAGGTTATATTTAATAAGTGCTTAACATTTATTTATTTACTTATATCAAAACATCTTCACTATCGAATCTGTGTATTTTAAAATTGTTTTATCGATTTTACAGGCCGAGTCTTCCGGACACTCAAAAGCACTTGGTAAACCTGAAAAAAGGATGCAAGCTTTTGTCGAAGAATCTAGACGGATTTTCAAACAAGACGTCACACTTTACGAAAGGCTAGGACACCTAAGAGTTACAGAAGGATGGGAGTGAACATTTTGCGGTATTGACAAAATTATTAATGATAGTGTAAATTATTAGTGAATAATAAAGTTATTTGTAAAGTATTTACCTATGTTATTTTTGTCTAATACTTTGTTAGTAGTAATATTAATAAAGATAATTGTATTTATATGTAGATCATTTATTTAAAAAGTAACACAAGATCTCATCATTTTCAATATCCATAAAATCAAAATTGTATGCTTTGCAACATAACATTCTCTCATACAATATTCTGCTTAAGACACAAGTCAATAAAATATGCACAAATACTAAGAAAATTACTGAGAACTTGAACTGAGCCAAAAATAAAAATGTCAGGACTGCTTTGAGGTTTCATAAATGCTTTTTTAAATCACTGGATTATTGAGTGAGTACAAAAATATCATCAAAATATTATTTTCAAAAGATCCAAACTCTTAATGACGTTTAATGTTTTTGGTCAGTTCCATGGTGTAAGTAAACATTTTCTTAAATAGCCATTATTCTTCAGTTCTCCAACAATAATATAATTACTAACGCTATTATAATACTTTAAATTGTACTGTAATAAATGTATTATTACATGCAAATAGTAATAAAATCATTATAAAATACTGTTACAAATGACATCACAGCTGTATTGTGACTGGAATACTCAATAATGCATTAGTTACACTAAAAATAGGGTTGCATTTTTTCTAAATAGTTTTTTCTTCCATTACCTACTTACTAATTTTTGTGCAAGAATATACCACACATAATAAAAAATACAGGGTGTTAAATTCCAAGTCTCTCCAGGGGACGATTTTGTTAACAATATTAAAATATTAAATTCTCTGTGATGCTAATAATTAATTATGTAACAATATCGCCAATTAAATCTAAAAAATTCAAAAAACAATATGATTAAAACAGAAAAAAAGACGAAAGCTCCTAGATCTTGTTTTAGATATTATTCACTTGATAAAATAGAGGCACATTATTATTTATTATTATTCTTATATGGCAAAAATAGTAACTTTCTTATTTTTATTAAAATAATAATTTAGATAAACATTGTAGACAAAATATACATTATAATATCGTTTTAATATCAAATTATTAACCATGAATTAAGTACAGTCTGGATTAACACCAGTCTGGTTGGCTTATAAACACCGTATATATATATCAAGCAGTGCGAAAATTATAAGTGCCCTGAGCAACGATACAATCAAGGGCTAGACTGAATTTCAGTACCCAAGCATTGTAACTCAGTAGCAGAGTTGCGTCACAAAAAAACTTAATTGTTAATAAAGATCTTGAAGTTAAAGGTGCACGTTGTGCACGTTAAAAGTGAAATTGTTGTTGTAAGTACAATATAAATATACAAAATATAATATCAATACAATATCTTATTATGTAGTTCACTTTATATAATTTTCATTAACACAATATTGCCTATAAATATTTGTGTTATTATTATAAACACTAATCAGATCATAAATATATTTGATCTTTTCTGTTATTCGAGACAATGAGTTGTTTCCATTTAACCATTAATATTTTTGGACCAACCAAAGAGGTCGTCTTTAAGATCTTTTTTATAAAGACTTTTACCCTGATACAGCAACTCGGCAAACTGCGAGACGACCGGGTCTCTCATACAAGACGCCACGGCAATAACCTTGTCTGTCTCATCAAAGAAGAAAATTACAAACTTAAGAGCTTCCATATCTCCATCTACCAAAGTGCTAGCTGCTTTTCCACAACCAGCATAGCGGATTGATTTTCCGAAAAGCATGGTCCAGAAATATGGAACAGTCTTCAGCGGAGTTTCCTTCTTCAATATGTTCAACGCAGCCACACGCCCGTGGTACTGCGCCAAGCCCACGTGGCCGATACTCATTTGCTTATTGCCACGTGCGAATACGGGTGCATAAGCTATATCTCCGCCAGCGAAAATATTTTTCATGTTTGTTTCCAGCTTGTCGTTAACATTAACCGCACCATTGGGTAAAAGGGTGATACCACTATCTTTCAGGAAGTCTGTGTAGAATGTAGTTCCCACGCCCAAAATGAGTAAATCAGCTGGCAGAGTTGTTCCATTATCGAGTTCCACTGATGTTATAGCTCCGTTCTCACCGTTACATTTGGCGACTGTAGTTCCAAAATGGAACTTTACACCTTTATCTTCAAAGAGCTTTTTCAACCCCTCGCCAATTTCTTTGCCGAAAATTTGTCCTAAAGGAGCAAAATCTTTTCCGACTACAGTCATGGACTTGGCCTTTTCGTTGCAAGAAGACGCCGCTTCCAAGCCGATGAAACTCAGACCGAGAACGACTACATCTTTGTCTTTGTTCGACCCTAACGAATTCAGAATGTTGGATGCATCAGCAAAGTTCCTAACCGTGAAAACGTTTTGTAGATTAATGCCAGGTATATCAGGCTTCCGGGGCGCGGAGCCAGTAGCAAGATACAAAGCGCTGTATCGAAGTTTGGTTCCGTCGCTCAAGTGCACCAGTCGGTCTTGTGGCTCCACTTTAGTGGCTTCCGTATTCTTTAAGATTTCGATGTTGGCGTTTTGATAGTATTCTTGTGATCTTGCTTGGAGTGACTCGATGCTGGGTACACTGCCTATTTTGGATACTTTAATTCTGTCGTACGGCAGATATGGTTCCTTGGCCACGAGGGTAATGCGGCCCTGGAAGCCCTCACTGCGGAGCGTCTCGGCGCAGGTGGCGCCCGAGGGGCCTCCGCCGACGATGACTACGACTGCCCCGTCGCAGGTTGGGGCTACGCCCATGTCTTTGATACGCTTGTTAGACTTCAAATCGCTTATCTTTGCCCGCACCTGAAATTTTAATTATACCAGTCTATAAATTATATTCCATTCATGATTCTGAGGCAGAAAGCTTTTAACGTGATTACCTATATTCTAAATTAATTATTCATGTAACTTTCTCCGTTAAGGAAAATATTTTTCAAGGATAGTGAGATTTCCAGCCAGAACTCTGACCTTCATTTATTTCTTACGTTATTTAATACGTAATTAATTATGCATGAAAATAATATAAAAATCTAATATCAAGTCAAGATTAGGTCTCTTTTACGTGTAGCAGGCTGCAGGACCCATTAGGTAAGCAAAATACAATCTAAAAATCCTCGAGATCCTGGTCGTATAGTAATAGTAGGATCCTTCGTATCGGATCTTTCAATAACGGTAGGATTTTTAGATTACCTACTCTACATCCTATTCTAAGTTCTCCTACAGTATCATTCTGTGGTTCTACCGAAATTATAGCCTCATTATCGTTGTTTGTGTCTCAAGAATATTTTTACGACTAAGAACATTGAGTCATCGCATCGGTGAGCAATTGCGCGATTTAAGTAACTAATATAGGTACGGTCAAGGCGACTCAAGGCCGTCAGCTTTTTTCTTAGCTCGCACTCGTTCTCGAAGACTGCCCTGACATGCAACCTAATAAACCCTAAAAAATTGTTATGTAACAGACATTACATAATGCAACCAATTGTTATGTTATCTTGTTATCATTTTTGTATATGTTAATTTTAAAAACCTTGAAGATTTATAACTGCGCGATCTAGTTTCAAACTAAGCATTTCTGCTTGTATTGTGGAGGGGCAAACTATGTAAGTAGGTGGGTATAACAAAACATAATTTATCAGTTAAAACTTTTATGTAAGATAAATAAATAAAATACCTAGGTAGTACATTACTAGAAATTACCAGAAATCTTTTAGTTAGGTAGGTATATAGCATTGCTTCCAGATGCACACGGCATGATGATCGCGTCTATGACATCATTCTCCAAGTCTGTTTATTTTGTATCATGCTTTATAATATGAGAGACGTAAAGTTGAGTCACCTTTCCCTAAACATTTGTACAAAATTTACGTGCAGTAAAACTATCAGAAGAGTCAAGAGATAAGTATTTTAGAACACAACAAACGGCAAAATCCATAAGCTTCATCAGACCCTACGTCGTACGTAGTAGGTACTTATTATTATTCTGTGGTCGTACCTACTAACTGATGAAGGTCAAAAGGATTATCGATTAATATAGGGGGATATTAAAGGGCAGCGATTATTGTGGATGAGTAATTTAAAGAGGCGTTTTATATAACTTCTGTCAGTCAGCAGAAGACATACAACAGTAACCTTTTGCTTTGGCAATATTAGTAAAATATACTTACTTATTGACTTATTTTAATTGTTGATCATACAAAAAAGTTACTGGCATTATCATCTCATGTCCACCATAATACATAGGATCTTACCTACATACCACGTATTTTGGAGTTCTCAATAAATTGTGTAGGTAGGTATAAGGAAACATAAATAGACACAGTTATTACTGATATGAGAGCAATTGAACCTACTTTGCATAGTAGTTTACATTTTCCGCATTGTTTTTAAACGAATAGGAAATAAATAAAAATATTCACCAAGAAATAATCAAAGTTATGTTTGTTTGATGAGTTTCCTCTAATGATTTCTTTTTATTTATTAATGTTTACGGCAAAAATCAAAAATCAATCAAAATCAAAATCAAAAATATTTATTCAGTTTAGACCACAAGTGGCACTTATGAACGTCAATAGAAAATAATAAAAAAAGAAAAAGGTAGCCCTTATGGGGCACTTTACATGTCTCCTTATCTTTTGGGCCCTACCAGCGCTTCGAGACAAACATATGGCAAGTGCTGAGAAGAAACGCCGGAACAAACTCAGTCACCACTTATTGCCAGGAATTATCTAACGGTAAGAATAGTCAAATTTAAGTACATCAAATATGTGCAGACTGAACTGACCACGCATCCTTGTCATCAATATAGTCTCGAACCTTGTAGTACCCTTTGGACATAAGGGTATTTTTTATATGTATCTTAAATTTGTTTATTGGCAATTCGACAAGGTTGTGTGGTATTTTGTTAAATATGGTAATACATTTCCCCAAGAATGAATTACCTATCTTATGCAACCTAAATGATGGAACAGCAAGTTTATTCTTATGTCTCGTGTTAAATGAGTGGACGTCACTTTTCTTAGTAAATANATATTTTTTAAATTATGCAGTTTTGTCTTTGATGTGTCATTAAACAGAAAGTTAATTAGTATTTAGTTAATTGATATATCTTATATTTACTTTTTTTTTAATAATATCCTTAAGTTTTGTGTTACTTTGTACAGAGTGATGTAAAGTAAAATAAACATGTTAAATGGATCCCAAATGACACTGATCATTTAAAATTTTGTTTATTAATTATTTTAAAAATACACATTCATAAATATTCAGTTTTATTTCATTGAAAAAAATACTAATTCAAAACTGCCCCAGGCGTGTTCAAGGCTGCCCCGTCTACGGGGCAGTTTTGAACGTTTACAGGTCTGTGCAAAAATCTAAATATCTTAATAAGCGTTCATGAATAATTAAGAAGAACATCATTATTTTGTTGTGTGATAACCATGACCTCTATCTAGGAAGAAAAAAATAATGAAAACGTTCAAATTTGGAAGATATTTAATAAAGTATGAAAATTGTTCAAAGCTGCCCCCCTCTCCCCTAACCTTAATAAATAAAATAAAATAACCTATTGCTTTGGCAATATTAGTAAGATATATAATTACTTGTTGATTTATTTTAATTGTTGATCATACAAGTACTGTTAACTGAAAGTTTTATCATCTCATGTCCACCATAATACATAGGATCTTACCTACATACCACGTATTTTAGAGTTCTCAATAAATTGTGTAGGTAGGTATGAGGAAACATAAATAGACACAATCATTACCTACTGATATGAGAGCAATTGAACCTACTTTGCATAGTAGTTTATATTTTCCGCGTTGTTTTTAAACGAATAGGAAATAAATAAAAATATTCACCAAGAAATAATCAAAGTTATGTTTGTTTGATGAGTTTCCTCTAATGATTTCTTTTTATTTATTAATGTTTACGGCAAAATGTGATTACCGCAATATTAAACGGTATTAGTACTTTCTAAATAGAAAATCGCTAACTTCGCTGCATAATCTCTTATGATGTGTGTAAGTAAAGATACATACCTTTACTTCGCCTTTTTCCGTGACTGTTACTTGGTAACACGGGAGGGAATCAAAGCCAGGGAAGTCTTCGATGTCACCAGTCTTGATGTTGAAGCACGCTCCATGCCAGGGACACCTCACTCTACCATCTCCCAACGCACCGGACACCAAAGGTGCTCCGTAGTGGGTGCATTTGGTACCAACGGCGCTAAATTCACCCTTTTGTTTTACAAGCAGCACTCTTCCCTCTTCTCCAATTTCAAAAACTTTCATTTCATTTTCTTTGAGGTCATTCTCGTTGCATACAACTGATTCGACGTAGTGGCTACTTGATTCCATGCGAGAGATGGTCCCACTTCCTGAAACAAGTGTTGAATTTTCGTGTTTATTAGCTTACTATTACTACATAGCTGTCTGAATAACTCAATACTTTTAAATCATAATTCATAAATTGTACCAGGAGATGCGGCTCCCAGGAATAAGAGAGAACAAACACCACGACTCGTGGTAGAATACAGGAACAGCGCGCAGCATAAGAATAGAAAAGATGCCTCTCCAAAAACTTGTAGAATTACTGTCTACTGCTAAGCTACTGTTTTTTTTCTTTTCACTGGTTTGCCTGAAGTCACGACGGTTTTCCTACTGCCTATATCCTACCTACTGAGAGGAAAGCTAGAAGGAAAAGTATTTACTTATTCTTAAATAATGTGTTTGAATCTAAACATTGCCATAGCACAATAGACTGAAAAGAAAATAAGACTTATAGAAGTGGTGGGCAAATAAACACCGCATGCATCACGAGTAATATAATAATAGAAGATAAGTGTATTAGAAATTTAAAAAAACAATAGCAAAACTAAAAAGGAAAAATAGGTGTAGGTACAAGTTTAAGTGGAATTTGTTTCTATTTTAATTGCTTTCCCACAAAGATACATGACATTTCATAATAATTTAGGAAATAAGTTGATGTTAATTATAATTATTATAATTCGTTCGTTTCAGCCACTACTGGACAAAGGCCTCCCCCAAAGATTTCCACAAAGACCGGTCCTGCGCCGCTCGCATCCAGGCACCTCCCGCGATCTTCACCAGATCGTCGGTCCACCTAGTGGGAAGCCTGCCCACGCCACGCCTTCCGGTTCGTGAATTATTATAGTACTGTAGGAATAACTTTCTCTTTTTTTCCCACTTTAACTTTTAAAACAAATTAAAAGATATTTTTATTGACATTACTTAAGGTGCCTACTGCTACTTATGTTATAGACTATTATAGAGCAACAAGAAATATTTGACTACATTTTATTACAGGTTGTTAAAGTGTATAGAAATTGGTCCATTCTTCTTTTTAAAGTTATTTTGCTTAATTCAAGTTTTAACCAAATATTTCTGATAAGCCTTATTATTTCTAAGTAAGCTACTGTAAGTACTAGACCTGTGTTGGATACTAATTTTGTATATCTTATCTTTAGTAGGTATATGATACAACAGTACTTAAATTTTTGGCTATCAATACAACTGTAGCCAGTTGTTGAGAAAACACGAAAAAATGATCTAAGGTAAACAGATTTTTTTAACAAGTTTCATGGCTATTTTACCTCCAAGGTAACATCAATGCCAGCTTTAAAATGTAATTTGTTGAGTTAATTTTAAATACAATAGCAAGAAACACAAACATCTGTGTCACCCAAGTACCATACAAAAATATTTACTCTATTATTCACCTGAATAATAAAGTGAAGGTAGGGAATTTAAAATGATTTGAATTAGACTCTCAGAAATAATACGTAAGCACTTTCTTACCTCTTTCCGGGACTCCCTTACTGCTGCAGTTTGGAGAATATGATCTTGAGAATGAGCTACCCATTATGTTCTTGTTATGCGAACCTAAAATATAATATTTAAATTAAGGTTACACCCTGTATCGTGATCTAGAGACATCCAAATTTTAAGATATAGTTAAAAGGCTTTTTGCATTCAGTCACAACAAAATGAGGGAAAGGCTTTACCTTGATACAATAATTCTTTTGCGACCCTGCCGACTAATAAAACACTGGTTTTGATACTAATCGCATTCAAACTCAAAGGCAAAAGCATACTTCTGCTGTCAAAATTGACGGCAAATGGAAAACAGCTGGCTGTCAGCTTGACATAAGCATATGACAAACATATTTTTTTATGTTTACGTCTTTGGATTCCAGCATTTCCAACAATGAGCTGAGATTTACAAGTCGACCGATTCAAGTAAGAATTTAAGCGTTTTTTCATGCCATATTTCATTATTTTGATTTTAATGTGTTTTAATATAATAATGAGGATCATTATATTAATTGAATAGCATTAATATTCACTTAATTTAGAAGTTAAATTAAGAATGGAGCGCTATCTTCATGCCTACTCCATGTTTTTCTTTCATTGGTATCTACGTCATCATAATCAATGATAGATTTGACAGTTAGAAATTTTTAATCTATGCTGTGTGATGGTGGAAGAAGACGGACGTGGCTGATGGAATTTTGTATTATGTTTTTCGTGAATTTCCATGTCTGAGCAGTGTTTAACATTACAAAAATGTCTGACGTAATTGTGCCTAAGGGTCAGCCTATCCCTGGTGATCCAGAAAAGAAAGGCTGGCTTTTTAAGTGGACAAATTACCTCAAGGGTTATCAGCGGAGATGGTTCGTGTTGTCGAACGGATTATTGTCGTATTACAGGTAAATAAATAAAAAGTTATAAAAAGTCGGTACATCATCACAATTTCACAGTTTTATTTGCAGATTAAATTCTGTCTTAAGTGAGATATACATACACATACCATCACATCTGGTCACGAACGATGTTCACTGTGATTTTTCGCAGTATGACGCAGTGCTAGGTTTTCCTATTTTTAGTAGTTATTTCTTACAATATAAGTTCAACAACTTACTGGCATGATTCGTATAATAACTGTAACATTGTTAAATAAACACATTGTAGAAACTAATTATGTACTATGTTGATGGCTGTATATTTGGAGTAGTTAATTCAAACAATTTACAAACCCTAAAAGTATGTTTATGCCTAATATAATATGCAATAATATATGTCTCGTAGAACATTTATTGAGCCATTCCTGAAAACAACCACCAATATCAATGTCTCATCAGACTTGACCATGAGACAGTTTTGAACTAATTATGATAATGTTATCTCATAATTCGTGCTGTATTTATTTATTTCAATATCAATCAATGTTTTTTGTCTTTATTATTAATTTTTACATTTTTTATAGGAATCAAGCCGAGATGGCTCACACATGTCGTGGGACCATCTCTTTACTCGGTGCTCTGATCCACACGGCGGATTCCTGCACGTTTGTCATCAGCAACGGAGGAACACAGACGTTTCACATCCGAGCCCACGACGAAGTTGAACGACAAAGCTGGGTGACTGCACTCGAGCTGGCGAAGGCGAAAGCGATGTTAGTGTTAGTTGGTTGCCAGTCATTACTGGGTCTAAGGTGGCGGTGCTGGAAATGTATAACGCCTTAACCCTCTGAATGCTGATAACACACTAAAAACTACCTACATACTGATTTACATTATTTCTTTTTTGAGTTAAAGTTTTTGTATTATTAATACAAGTCTTGTCAAATAATCTTGAAATTGACAAAGTAGGCAGAATAATAATCTCACAAATTATAAAAATAACATACAATAACATTGTTGTGGCAGTAGTAGATATCTTGCCATGAAAAAAAATTAAATCACTGGTTTTGAACCTTAATTCATCCACCTACATTCCACAATTGAATATAGTATTTTAATAAAAATAAGGGTCAAATGAAAGAGCAGTCAAGACATGACTTAAACATTACCCAGCTGTTATGAATAATGATTTAATATTAATTTATTTTAATTATACTGAACTCACGCGAGATTATCGCCGTGAACCTTGGCTTTAAAACTCTGATGTAGCTCTTGTGTACTTTGAACCTGCAGTGACCCATTAGTATGTAAATAAGTTGAAAGTTAATAAAATATTCTATGAATTAGAAACCTCTAATAAGATTTTTATAAGAACTCATTTGGCTTGTGTTACATTTATGTTCAAGGTTATTAATAATAATTATTAAGTTGAAGAATAACCATAGAATTGATAAGACTGTCTCCAGTATAAAACACGATTGTCATCTAAATAGGCCAAGTAGCGATAAGCTGTTAACATTTCAGCAGTGGCGGATTAAGAGTATCCGAGGCCTTAAGCACAGAGCCTGTGTAGGCCCTCTATTACTTAAATGGAAATGGAAGGAATGGAATGGAAGGTATAAAGTATAAAATGTAAGTTCATCAAAATAGAAAGTGTAGTAGGTAAAATGTAAAACTTAAAACATTATTTTCCTTGCCTTAATCAGAGCAAACTCCGAGATTACATCGTCGAAATTTATCCGACGAAGTATGTCTGCCTCAATACACATTAATGCTAAATAATTAAGCTTGTCTGGACGGATTTTTGTTCTTTGCGGGTTTTTTAACCTTTTTAGTTGTGAGAAGGATCGTTCAGCAAAGCAGTTAGAAATCATTAAGCTGTGAAAGATTCTAAACGCAACCACAATGATATTAATCTTATACTAGCACACTTCTTTTGTTTCTCTTCTTTTTTCACATCGCATGTTTATTTTAATATATATATATATACATTTATAAATATACATATACACATACAGGGTGTCCCGTAATGCAACGTCAAGCCGGAACTGGGTGTTGAGGCAAGTTATGCTGGTTATCAAAAAAAAAAATCGTATGAGCGTATGGATTTTTTGCGTTATTTTTCACAATTTCCATTTTTAAAAATTACCTATCGATAGCTTACTTTATTCTGATGAATAAATGTCATTACAAGTTTTTCTCTAAAACTGATAATTTGGCTAGAAAAAAATATTTTCTATCCATGCAGTACGCCGGTAGCGTTCGGATCGGATATAATGACGTCATCGTCCCCGCGCCGGGCGGTCAGTGAACTTTTTTAGTAATTTGGCCATAACTTCGTCAATTTTCGTCGTAGAACAAAAATTTTTGCACTGTGTATTAAGGATTTCTTAGCCCTATAAATCTGCATTCACAGCTAAAAATCGAAATGATCCTCATTATACTGAACTCACGCGAGATTATCGCCGTGAACCTTGGCTTTAAAACTCTGATGTAGCTCTTGTGTGTACTTTGAACCTGCAGTGACCCATTAGTATGTAAATAAGTTGAAAGTTAATAAAATATGCTATGAATTAGAAACCTCTAATAAGATTCTTATAAGAACTCATTTGGCATGTGTTACATTTATGTTCAAGGTTATTAATAATAATTATTAAGTTGAAGAATAACCATAGAATTGATAAGACTGTCTTCAATATAAAACAATAGTTTTTGTCTAAAAAGGCCAAGTAGCGATAAGCTGTTAACATTTCAGTCGCGCACAAGAATCTGACGATGACGAGGACCAGATGTCATCTGGTCCAGTAGCTGTAGGAAGCGGCGAGGGCGAGAGCGAGGACGCGGGTGGCATAGCCCGGGAGCTGGCCGCCCGCTTCCACGACCTTCGCACCTGCTCCGAGCTCGTCGCCAGGCACGGGGCGGCCTTGCAGCGCTCCCTCGTAGACCTGGAGACTCCGCCCACCGACACCACGAAACAAGTGTCGGAGCGCGCGACTCTCTTTAGGATATCGTGCAACGCGATGATGAATGTAAGTGTTTTTGGCAAGCCACCGATGAAATTTTAAATACTTTGCCAAGTTTCGTGTTTCTATTAAAAACTTTAAGTAATTGGGTTGTGAACGCACAAATAGTGTTTTGGATGTTGAATTTTTTGTATGGAATCTCATGAGGTAACGGTTACATCACTGGTGCCCAGAAGTCTAGTCTTGTCTTGAATTTACATACCCGTTATACCAGTACGTAACAAATGATCACAGAAAGCGAGTAGAAAAAAGGTATAGACTGATTTACATAGGTGCATTTGATGCACGTAATCATGATGTTAGTTGTTTAAAAATTAATTTTCTTAATCTTAACTTGTTTACATCAGGCGTGTTCAGAATTCATGAGTGCGGCAGCTGCATCTAGCGCTCGAATGAGCCGCGCGTTGCAGCACGAGAGAGACCAGAAGATGCGCCTCCAAGAAGTAGTAGAGCAGCTCGCGAGACAGCACGACTCGCTGGAGAAGACGGTCACCGCGCGTAGCACGCCGCACACGGGTGAGTGAGCGAGACACCTGCATTACCACATGAGACAGCACAAGATGCGCCTCCAAGAAGTAGTAGAGCAGCTCGCGAGACGACACGACTCGCTGGAGAAGACGGTCACCGCGCGTAGCACGCCGCACACGGGTGAGTGAGCGAGACACCTGCATTACAACATGAGACAGCACAAGATGCGCCTCCAAGAAGTAGTAGAGCAGCTCGCGAGACGACACGACTCGCTGGAGAAGACGGTCACCGCGCGTAGCACGCCGCACACGGGTGAGTGAGCGAGACACCTGCATTACAACATGAGACAGCACAAGACGCGCCTCTAAGAAGTAGTAGAGCAGCTCGCGAGACAGCACGACTCGCTGGAGAAGACGGTCACCGCGCGTAGCACGCCGCACACGAGTGAGTGAGCGAGACACCTGTACTGTAAATAGAGCACAAGAAGAGAATATACTCCGTATCATATCCATATCGTAGTAAAGCAACTCGTGTAGTGATACAGCACGACTCGGGTGAGTGAACAAGTCGTATGCGACATAGCAGATGATGCGCCTTCCAGAAGTAGTAGAGCAACTCGCGAGACAACGCTACTGTAGAAATTATCATTGATCGTAGCACCCCGTATGCAGGTGAGTAAGCGAGATAGTTCAAAAAAGAATACCAGCTAGAGGGCCAGAAAGAACAAGAGTTACTGCTGGAAAGAGAGAATGTTACTACTGTACTGTTCCAGAAAAAGTAAATACGTTTTTTATCGCTTTAAGAGTATAATATGGTTGTGGAATTTGGGTAAAAGTTCCATCACTTGTTCTTTTGACCCAGGTCACACAGGTCGTGTGCGTGTCGTGTATCCGTGTATCATCGTCAGAATTTTATTAAATAGAAAAGATATCAATAGATTAGTAAATAAATAAATAATTTAATTTTACTATCTTGTCCTAACTAAAGATAGTATAGTTCGATATTTTTAATGATATAAAAAGATGTAGGTAGGTGTCTATCTACCGACGAGGAATTTGCGACGGATACCCTTTTTTCTACTTCTAAAAAAAAGAATCATTGAACGCTTCCAATGTTTGTCGCGCAACAAATTCTACGTGGAACGGAACGCATCATAGCTTTGACGGACGTAAAAATCGAACGAAAGTAAATTTTATTGGCGAATGTTGGATTAAAAATTAAACAAAAAAAAAGGTTTATCGTGTTTTTAAATTTGTAGAAAGTGATACAGTGTTAAAATAATGTTTAACATTTAAAATTTGGCTTTGGTACGTAAGACAGTCTTATTCCAAAATGTAATCATTGATTCTCCTTTGGTAGATTGCAGTTTTTTGACGATCTCAAGGTTGTTTTACTCTACAAAGCAATGCAGTCGTAATTGGTAGAGCATTACGCATTCGTTTATTTAATTATCGTCTGCCGCGTCGAAGTGTTACCTTTGGGCAGTGCCCTAGTTCGACTATAGGTTTACCGTCGCGTTTGTTGTGTTCTTGGCCTTGTGTAGCGCTAGCTTTGCGATAACATCGCTCTGTTTAGGTTATTTGCTATGACAAATTGAATGATACATCATCACATGCAATACGTCATGGGCGGTAAGTGAAGACTCGGTTGGCGAGAATGCATTCGGCCTGTTTGAATGGCTTGCGTTCATCTAGTTGGCACCTGGGCCGCATCCACGAAAGTGGTTGAACATCCATACCTATTGTTTAAATTATCACTTCCACCAACATGCCGCTGAGCAGTGATGAAAGCATTCACCACAAATGGCTTGTTACTAAGGCAACCATGATAAGGCATAGAAATGTATGACTGGCTAAAAGTGCTGAATAGGTTACGCTTTCGCGTCACAATTAATTAGCATTCAATTAACTTATTTTACTTTGTTTTTTCGTTATAGGTATACATTATATTTTGGCTTTTGCTAAAGGGAAATGAATAGTGCATTACAGTGGTGCATAAATTATTTTTTCAATATACTGAGCCCACCAAGGAATGATCAAAGTGACGTTATTCTTGTTTAATTTAGCTTATTCAGTTTTTTACTCAGCAGTTAGCTACAGTAAAAGGAATTCATGTTACTAGTCCAATCACATAGTAGATATCAGTAAAGTTCATGCTTTGTAATTGATTTCACAGCATTAGCCCAGTGATATGGAGAAAGAGTGGTCAGCTCATTTAGTTTAATGGCCCACAATATGTTATCAAAGCATGCAGTTCTAGTCTCAATTTGATGTCTACATTATGCTTGTGGATTGAGTATGTTTGTAAATAATTACCCATTTTCCAGCTAGTTGATAATAATTGTATATGACTCATACAAATGAAATCAAGAGAGATTATATTAACAGTGACCATTTCTATCAAGGCTTTGCCACTGTGACTAACTTGATTACTTTGTTTAATACAAGAATTTGAAATAGTGTTATGTATGTAATAGTGAGGTGAAAAATAACCAACATTGGAAAAGAAAAGTTTCTGATTTGTATTATTAATTTGATTTATTTTTCAACTATTCTGGAAGTTTGTTATTTATTTTTAGTATAAATTCATTTATTATTGACATAGGTGGAAACGGTTCGGGGCAGGGGAACGAGACAGAGGATGAAGATCATGAATTCTTCGATGCAGTGGAGGAGGGTGTGTCTTCTGCCATGGAGGATAAGACTTCCTTTGTGATTAAAGTGCCCGTAAGTGTTACTTTGNATACTTTGTTGGACATCTATTTACTTTCCTAATAGCACGCCTCAGAAGGAAGTGACGTAGCAATTTTAGTCAGTTTGATAGTGTCTCTTGATGTGTGAATCGTTAAAACGAATATACTAGTCATGTGTTCATGAAAAGGCAATTTTGAAACTGAAAATTCTTATTTGAATGTTAACATTACGCAATTGGTCCTCTGTTGAGTGTTAATGCATTTGAGGACTATTTACTTATCTGTGTCACAAACATAGGCATTTATATTATAACAAAAAACAAAACCTTGTATAAAGTTGACACTGATAACTTTCAGCCTTTAAAAAAAGACCAGCAAAATTACTTCACTAAAGATAATATTTTTTACAAACTGGTTTCTTAATTAATTCATTGTATGTTCCTGTCCATTGTTTCATTGAAATCAACTGTTTGCTGACAAAGTTACACATTATTATCTCATTATTTAATAGATGGGTATTATTGGATAGCTCATTAACGTCCAAGGTCATTATACATTGTCCATTATATTACGGCCAATGATAATACCAAGGTCTTCACTTTCGTAGCGTCTAAATGCAATACAGAAATTGCTGAGTTTAGTTTAGAGGCATCAGACCGTGACGTGACGCGACATCGCTCATAATTCATATCACGTGTCATTTACAGGTCAATAGGAAAAACAAAGTAAAGAGCGGGGAAAGCTCAGATGAATCTGAGGGCGAGACTGTAACGGAAACACAACAGGTTAGTAAATACGAGAATAATTACGTTGTATTGTGTTTAGAATGTTTATATTTATTGTATCCATATATCAAAATAGATGACACCTTTCTTGTATTTGTACTATTGCGGACTTTTCCTATCATAATTTTAGCTTTTCAATCTAATACATATTAGTTATTAGTAATTAAAAAGAACAATGTTAACTATAAAATTATGCTTTATTTTATAATTATTGAAATTAATCTGTCTGATGATAAAAGGTATGAATAAAGTAATATTTGAATTAATTGCTTTCAATCCATATTGATACCTATGCTTATTGTTTTAAAGGTGATATTTGTGGAAGACAAGGAAAGAGCAGAAAGTGCGATGGGCGGCGCAGAAGCCAACGCGACTGCGAGCAAGGCGCCCGACAGCGAGAAACAGGATGTCAAAGTTTGGGTAAGTACATAAATAATATCCTTGGACATTTTTACACTGCGCCTCTAGTCCCAAACTAAGCAAAGCTTGTACTATGGGTACTAGACTAGTACTGTAACTTTGTGTGTCTGTGGAATTTTGTATATTTACTTCTGAGTCATGTATCTGGTTCATGTTTATAACACTGTTATTTACTAAGGAACATGCATGGACTAGTACAATATTGTTGATAAGAAAAGTTTGAGTGTTGTAAATATGATGATTCAAAGAATATTTTTATGAGGTGCCTCTTCAAGTAAGCCAAATATAATGCTTTTGGGGATCGAACTAGCGTGCTTCGAATCTCGAACAAGTAGGCCGTTGCCGACACTGTTGGGCCATTATCGCCTTAGTTTATCTCTTCAAATTATTTTCCAGGCGACCATAGTGTCTGAGAATTATAAACCTTATGATTTACGAATAAGAAACATTTTTGTTCAGCCGCACGTGTCGGAGCTAACGAGCACGGTGGACGGACACCCGCGGCGCACGCGTGTGCCCGACAAGCCCAACTACCCGCTTAGCCTGTGGTCCATCATGAAGAACTGTATAGGTGAGTGCAGATCTACTTCACATAACAGGTTTACTTTTAAGAGGAGAGCGCATCTTCACCTTAAAGGCCGGCAACGCACCTGTAACGCCCCTGGGTCTGCGGGTGTCTATGGGCGACGGTAATCACTTACCATCAGGTGATCCGTCTGCTCGTTTACCTCCAAATCCTTTAAAACATAGAGGATAGATCTGGAGAGACAAGTACAAGCTGTAGTTGATGGTGTTTTCATGCAGAGAAATGTGTGATATTTAGAATGTATGCAAGGGATATTAAAAACAATATGGCGCCTGCTTAATTAAATAGTGTCTACCGAATATAGTTCAGTTAGACTTATTAAAACTGTGAGTTATGTTATCTATTTATCTGTTAGTATTGGATAATTAGTAGTAAACAAATGTTAAAAATAACAATGAAACTAACTATTGCTTCTGTTTATACTTACATTCTGCATGAAATATATAATTATGTCTCATCGTGTTTGTTTTCTACATAATTATATTCGCTACTTTAATATAAGTGACATTGTAAGAAAATAACTGTCATTTCTCAGCCAGAGAAATATGTTATGTCGAGGTCAATTGCCTTCTGACTTCAATAAATCGAAAGTCATATTAATTATAATTAAAATCGTTGCTCTTACATCCAATGTGAGGTTGACTCGAGATCAACTATCGGTCGTTGCAATCATCTAGAGAGATTACAATTTGATATTGTATTGCTCAGAATTCTTTACTCATGGTTTTTGCTGCAATTACATTAATTAACGTATCCGTATGTTCACACTTGTGGTTTTATTTAGTCAATATACTGATATTGCATGTGAAAAAACAGATAACAGTACAAAAAAAACAGAACACAAACTTTTTTGTATACGATTTCCTGTTCTTAGTCTTCTTATTTACTTGCGTATTTTTTTCTGTGACTAATAGATGTTATTATAATGTCATTTCGATTTATATCGGTCAAAGACCGCAATACTTTTCGTATAACTCGTGTAATCTTTATTAAAACTCAGACAAGCTAAAAGTGTGCGATATCACGACTGCACGTGCAATATCGCGCGACGCCGACGGACGCCAAGTTATTCCGACTTATCGCGCCGTCTCGTAAACGTTACGCATTGTTTATTGAGAATGACATTGATAAGAAAAGTTACTTACAAATTTTAACATTGGCACTCGTTTCTCAGGGTTTGTTTTTTCATTGTATTTACTGATTACACTGAAATTGCGATGTAGGTATGTAAACGTTAGTTTAATGGTCTCAATATAGAGCCCCATGTAACTATATATTTTGTTGCCGAACATGAAATTAGTCGGATGATTAATGAGCATACGATGTCAATATTGATATGAGCAACAGCGATTTACTTCAGAAATTTATCCGAAAATAAGTAATACGAAAACCACATTAGGGAGGGTGTGTAATCCCGTACACCTACGATCTCTGCTAGTCCCTCCATAGTTAGTAGGTCTGGTTGAAATGTGCAATTTTGTATAGCATTAGAATTCGTCAAATCCAAATAATTTATTCAGTACTTAGGCCCATTCTAGGGCGCTTATACACGTCCCGAATATAAACTGGAAACTGTGGAAGTGGAACGATATAATCGCCTGAGTTAACGTACTTCCAAGTGGGGCACACTGAAAACCAGCGTCGTGGCCTTCCTCATCGTGGGCCACGGCATAATATGCTGAGTGGGGTCCCATTGCGATGGACATTGCTGTGCGACAGGGTGTGTTATCTCTGTCTTTTTTTATTTTATTTATTTATTTATTTATTTTATTTTTTATGTGTTTTGATCTTTTGTCTGTGATGTCCATTGCAATAAAGGCCTAATCAGACCTAAGCGGTATTCGCTACCGTCTGCGGCAGAGAAAACCCAGTGGGTATGCGGTAATATTACTGTTCATACCTAAGCGGTATTCGCTACCGTCTGCGGCGATACTAAATACCTGAGCGAAACCCGCGTGGTATGTACCTCTACCCACAGCGGCAGCTAATATCGCTCAGGTTTGAATAGGCCTTAAATGTTTCTTTCTAATACCAGAGTAAATACAAATAAGTAAGTCATCTTCATAGAATGCACCGTGCGCGGTTTGTATGTGAGCGTGCGCCAATTTAGCGTGGATTAGCGGGGAGTTGCGCCGAATTTTGTCAGTGTGTGCGTGCGCGCCGCATACGTATTGGCGCGCTCACATACAAACCGCGCTCGGTACGTTTCTATAAAGATGACCTACCCATTTGTATTTACTCTGCTAATACTCTCCAGGCAAGGAGCTGTCCAAGATCCCGATCCCGGTGAACTTCAGCGAGCCGCTGTCTATGCTGCAGCGGCTGACGGAGGACTACGAGTACTCCAACATCCTGGACCAGGCCACGCAGTTCAGTGACCCTGCGCACCAGCTGGCCTACGTGGCCGCCTTCACCGTCTCCTCCTACGCAACCACCTCCAACAGGTATGCTATTTAACCGCCTCTATGGTCTAGTGGTATGACCACCTGCTTCAGACGCAGAGGTCCCGGGTTCGATTCCCAACGGGGGCNGCGGGGGCAGTTTTTTCTGTTCGGTTTGGTTGGTGGTAGGGCTTGTTCTAAGTCCGCCTGGCTAGCTACCACCATCTTACCTAAGTCTGTCGCCATAACAACAATGTTAACAGCATTGTTTTGTTCCGGCAGTTAGAGGTAAGATAGCCAGTTCCTTCGTGGTTGAGGATTCCGCTTCTACCTTCGGCCTGATAATCACTTACCATCAGGTGAGATACAGGGCAAGAGCTTCCTCGTTGTGGATAAAATAAAATAAAATAAATGCTATCTTGCTTAGGCTTTTGACTTTTTGAGACTGTTTCCTCGACTAGCCAGTTCCTACCATAAAGTTAATATCCCTTCGGAATAGAGCAACAACCACGAGCTGTCAACGAAACCAATTTTGGATGATACTTGTGTGTCAGTGTCAGGATTATTTCAATGTTTTGTACAGATAATCACTGAACGTTTCTGAAGTCTTACTTCTCATAAACATCCACTATGTCACTCACGTATAGTTCCAAAATACTGGACTGTCCTGTCGATGACATTGACAGTGGGGCGCCACCGTCAATACCGGATCGCTGGTTCAGATTTTTGCCATGTTGGAAACCGTATAGTTGAACGATGGTAGCGCCCCCCTGTCATTGAGTTTGGTACAGTTCAGCGTGGGTCATCTATAAACTTGAAACTGTCAAATAATTGCAGAAAACGGTTCTGTTTGACGTGACGGCGACGGCATCACTCATCCTTTTTATCACAGTGTTGCTGCTAGTGACATCTCGCTCGCTCAGTTCTTTGTTGCTCTATTCCGCTAGATATATTAACTTTATGGTTCCTACCCAGGCCGACGTAGCGCCTACACCGGCCCAATGCTGGACCTGGTAGACACCGACTCGTCAACACACGCCCGTATGGCTGCCTGTCCACCGGCGCGGAACGACGCAGCGCAGCTAAAGCCTGGTCCGTGAGCACGTAGAATCCCGTCCAATGACCCCAAGCTACCCATCCTTATCGCTCGCGCGTAATTATATTGCTGTCGCGACTGTGCGACGGGCGCCCGCAGTGAGTGTGCGAGCGCGACAGCAACATAATTACGTGCGAGCGACAAAGATGGGCAGCTTGGGGTCATTGGACGGGATTCTATGTGCTCACGGACCAGGCTTTAGTTGCGTTCTATGACTATCCATAGACGCAAAGCTAGGTAGCGGATGCGGAGCTACATGACTTGCAACTTCTGAAGAGAAGCTGCGATTTTATTCTATTTATTAATAGATTCTATTAATTTTTACCTCGTTTAACTTCAAGTTTACCTCACAAAAACCATTTAACTGCCCACGTTATAAACATTTAATATGTAATTGTTTCAGAACGAATAAACCATTCAATCCTCTCCTTGGTGAGACATTCGAATGTGATCGGATGTCGGACCTCGGGTGGCGGTCTATATCGGAACAGGCAAGTAACAATATTCTTTTTTACTCTCCTAACATTTTTTGAGACACAAATCTACCTGAACAAAACATTGTTTTTGCTGCAAAACTGTATTTAACGAATGAATGGTTACACATTATTTTCTTTTATTCTATCAAGATTCCACAGAATGGCAAAAAATATTGTTTAGCTATCTATAAATAAGACCATTTTTTACCATCAAGGAAAAAATATTTGATGCTTGACGACTCGTTACATCAGGATTACGTATTTTAATCCTGCTACGTCTTTAACAGTTTCTTAAATTAGTCAAGTAAAATTCCTATAAAATGGCTCATGTTGGCCATCTATCATACCTTGATCGCCTTGAGTCGCCCAGTATTAAATACTTAGATCGACTTTAAACTGAGAGCTATAAGTTTTGATATTTTTTTGTGAGGAGGTTATCCATAATCCATAAGACATATCAGCTAGAATCTTTCTGTTTTTGTTGTTTGAAGAAGCAAACACAGGCACACAATTAATTCGATGGTGAGTGACTACCGTGGCCTATAGATAACTATTAAAACCCTAACAAAAGCACGCCTTAGTTTATGGATGACCCCTTGGCACTTTTTTTATTGTTATTTGTGATATAGTTGTATACTGGATGTTATATTGTGTTCCCGATGTCCCTACCTTCAAAAATCCTATGTTTTCCTCCTCCTGCCTGTTTCCAATACAATCCTCCCAGCACTCGCCTATCCCATACCTGCTATCCTCTGATGAATTTCTGATCATACTGGTGTGTAGGGAAATAAATGGGTTACTTTACAATTTTAGTAATGTATTGTATTGTTCTATGTTACATAATAAAATTAGGTCTTTCTGAATAACATGCGTGTTGACACTTGAAAAATAGCCTTGTATTAAGGAGCTTTACTCAGACTCAGAACTTATCACGATGTAAGTTGTTTGAATGCCTAAGTAAACTTTTAAACTTGTCGAATATTTGCTATTTGACATCATCATAGCATAGTTGTCACATCTTGGAGATATCTAATGTTATTATTTTCTCCCGAGTTTATTTTATTATTTTCTCCCGAGTTTATTTTATTATTTTTATTTTTTAATGCGTATGGCATCCGAATTAAAAAACTACAGATTATAGTCGCATTTGCATGTCGTGGCAGCCTGTAATTGACCAACACTTTGTTTATGTTTAGTGGTGTAAAATTTTTGTATTTGTGTAAGATTCGTTGGTTGCCTCCCAAATAACTAAATCTTATAAGCACTTTGGAACTTGTATTCTGTTAGCTTTTAAGATGTTTGGAATAATAAATAAATGGTCATTTATAAAAAAAAAACTGACGTAACTCACCTGCACACCACAATGATCCCACCACCAAACCTTTCGGCCGTATCTCAAAATTGCCCATCCTAGGTGTCGCACCACCCGCCGATGGTGGCGCAGTTCTGCGAGGGGCAGGCGGGCTGGCAGTGCTGGCAGGAGTTCACGATGACCACCAAGTTCCGCGGCAAGTACCTGCAGGTCATCCCGCTGGGCGGCGCCTCCGCCATGTTCCCCGCCTCCGGCAACAAGTACACGTGGAGGAAGGTACGTGCGGCTTGGGGTTGAGCTTGCTATACAGGCATATGCTCCGTGTGTGTCGCAAACTGTACGCTTATGACGCGAGACGCTGCAAACTTGCCCTGTGTCTTTGCAATACTCCCGTTCCGAGAGTAAGCGCGCGCGCGATATTGTTTTTCTGTAATTACATGTATTCCACCATGTAATGTTCGTGTTTTGAGAGCACACTTGCTTCTTGTCTATAAGAGTTGATGAGTGGCCCATTAGTCCTCTATAGGGTCCTCTTTAGGCACAAGGTACAATTTGAGGTCGATTGTATTGTACGTGCGAATGTGGCTTTGGCATATTTGAATTGTGGATATACCCTGTGTGTATCACAAAATTTACATTGACGTAACTCGTGATGCTGCGACGTTGCTCAGTGTCTGTGCAATTTTGCCTTCTTTCGTTTCGAAAACAAGTGCGTTGTGCTCCTTGTTTTTCCTTTGCGTTCTTATTAAATTGATAAGTGATCCATTTGTTCTCTAATGTATTCAAGACTTTACGTACGATGTGAAGCAGATTGTCTTGATGCTGTGGAAAGAAAAAGATGAATATATGATAAATTAGGAATTCTAAAAAGAACTCTTCAGGATGGTAGATTCCTTCTTACATAGTTTTTGCTAGGTTTCGAGTTTTAGTGTGGGCATAGCGGACAGCTAGTCTCATGGCAATTTTCATGACATCTGGTTTGTTTTTTTTTTTAAAGTTTGTGTAGACGAGAGGACGCAAAGTGTATCCACTTTCAGCTGAGAGTTCACGAGACTACTGGAACATGGGAATATGCAAGGTTTTGTCAATAGGTATAATAAAAGGTCTTGTACAATTTACTACTCGGTGAAACTCGCAGGCAGGAGGCAGAAATCAATCCATTCGAAAACCTTTCTCGACGTTTGTCGATCGAAGTCCAGTTAGGGTTAGCAGCCCATCAGTCTGGTGCTAGCAAGTGGTCCTACGATAGCGCTGCGCAGGTGATCCACCACCCGCCGACGGCGTCAATCTACTGCGAGGGCGCGAGCGGCTGGACGTCGTGGCAGGACTTCGCCGTCAAGAGCCGCTTCCGAGGGCAATTCATCAGCATCTCGCCCTTCGCTGAAGCATTCGTATTATTTCGTCGGGGAGGCAACCAGTACCGATGGAGCAAGGTATCGCTCTACGCAGGCGATTGGTCGTCGTAGTTCTGTTGTTAGTTATCGTTGGTAGATTTCGAAATTGTTATTGTCGATATCGTTGCNAAATTGCTAAAAACTTTTTATAGTCGTGAAAGAAAAGTGGTTCACAATGTGTTAAAGTATTTGTCGAAGAGAAATACTAAGGGTTCGGACAATATTTTCATTGAATAATGTTTTGTCAATGACGTTTTGTCAATCGTATAGGTAGTATGCGACAGAGATAACGCTCTACGAGCCGAAATTAACCGATTACACAGGCCTGCAAAAAAATTTTTTTTTTTTGGTGCAGCTCTTTTTGTATATACGATCGATAATATGGGTAATCTACAATATATTGACATACTTCATTTCAACTCATCAGCTCTAGTTTGTCGACTACCCTCATTTTAGTTTTTTTCCCGTCTTGTTCGCAAATAGTCATTATTACAATAACATCGATAAATTTTATGTCACTATTTAGCTATGGATAGTACGTCTAGATGTTGTGTTAACGATCCTGATTAATTTTGATAAGTTTGTGGTGAATACTACTGAAATATCAGCGTGAAACTATGAAAAACATGGCGAATTTTTTGTATTTTGCTTACTTCGGTATTGAAATTCAATACAAAGGTAAGGTGTAGGTGCCTCAAATTGTATGTATAATGTGCGTTGAACATCTGCGAAGATACTAGAAAGGCACACGTAAGTTTTTGAAGCTTGGGGTGCCTATGATATGGAGAAAATGGCCAATATTTCCAGTTAATTTAACAGAAATTTCCAAGTTTAAGTACTGAAAAACTAAAAGCAGGTATATTTGATGGACTTCAAATAACTGTATTAATAAAAGACTCCACTAAATTTAAGATTTCTATGAACGATGCGGAATGGTTTGCGTGGAAATCTTTTGTAGCAGTTGTACAAAATTTCCTGGGAAAGCATAAGGCTGACAACTATGTAGAATTAGTATAGGATATGCTGGTTCAATTCAAAGATTTAGGCTGTTATCTACACTAATATTATAAAGAGGAAAACTTTGTTTGTTTGTTTGGTTGTAATGAATAGGCTCAAAAACTACTGGACCGTTTTTAAAAATTCTTTCACCATTCGAAAGCTACATTATCCACGAGTAACATAGGCTAAATTTTATTTTGGAAAAAAATAGGGTTCCGTAAAATATGTAGATAATGTAGTCCGAGCGCGCAAAGCCGCGGGCGGAAAGCTAGTATAGGTATNGCCCTTGTAACAGCTTGGTTTTTTGTTTAGTGTCACCACAAACCTGAGTAGCCATAATTATCTACTGCAATCGGCAACTATGCCGGCGTTGGCCCTCGGGATAATTTTCCAGCAGCACACAAAAAAACAATGTGAATTATGTACGGGTTTCGGCACCAAATTTATGTTGCTTATGACATAAATTAATTATTGTATTACTGAATTATTGAATTAAAATATGGATAAAAATGTATGAAATGAAACAACTTTTTTGAGCTGTCAAAGTAGAAGAAGTGATTTTATTTTGTTTAGAAGAAAAAGTAATAAAAAGTATAAAAACTCCTTGTAGGTTTCCAACAGATATTCTTGATTTGAAAGCACTGTCTTTATGACTGATGCTGTGGAAAGATTGTCAGTAAATATGGTTAGGAATCTTAGTAGAAATCATTCGGTAGGATGGTAGGGTAGTTACGTCGCTAGGCGTCGCACACCCGCCGATGGTGGCGCAGTTCTGCGAGGGGCAGGCGGGCTGGCAGTGCTGGCAGGAGTTCACGATGACCACCAAGTTCCGCGGCAAGTACCTGCAGGTCATCCCGCTGGGCGGCGCCTCCGCCATGTTCCCCGCCTCCGGCAACAAGTACACGTGGAGGAAGGTACGTGCGGCTTGGGGGAGCTTGCTATACAGGCATATGCTCCGTGCGTGTCACAAACTGTACACTTATGACGCGAGACGCTGCAAACTTGCCCAGTGTCCTTACAATAGTCCCGTTCCGAGAGTAAGCGTACGCGCGATATTGTTTTTCTGTACAAGTATTCCATGTAGTGCACTTGTTTTGAGAGCACACTTGCTCCTTGTCTATAAAAAGTTGATGAATGGCCCATTTTCCCTCAAGGGTTTTCAAGGCTTTAGGTACGATAATAAGGTAAGGTATGATATTATTATGTACTCTCTGTATATCTCAAAATGTGCTGACATGGTCCATGATGCTGCAACGTTGCCTAGTGTTCTTGCAATTTTGCTTACTCTCGTTCCGAAAGTCTGCGTGCGTTGCGATATTGTTTTTTTTTTCGATGTAGTATTATTCCTTTAAGATCTCTCTTGCTTCTTGTCTCTTGGACTTACATGAAGTTGTTAAGTTGTATCTAAAGCTTTAGGTTTGATGTGAGGAAGATTGTCGCGTCGCTGTGGAAATTAGAAGACTGTCGGTAAATAGTAATAAATAAGGTTTGGAAAATTAGAAAATTGAGTGCAAACACTCGTTAAGACGAGGTGGTTAGACAGTTTTTATTATGATTCGTGATTTTGGTTGATAGAGCAGTTCGTCTAGTGTCATGGCGTTGTCACGAAAAATTGTCTTACGACTAGACGTAGATCAGACAATAGATAGTCTCTACTTCAAGCTGAGTATTCACGAGACCATTGGGACATTGATAATTTTGTCGGTACGTAACAATAAACGTTCTTGTACGATTTCCTACTCTACAAAATCGCAGGCAGGAGGCGGAAATCAATCCATTCGAAAACCTTTCTCGACGTTTGTCGATCGAAGTCCAGTTAGGATTAGCAGACTGTCAGTCTGGTGCTAGCAAGTGGTCCTACGATAGCGCTGCGCAGGTGATCCACCACCCGCCGACGGCGTCAATCTACTGCGAGGGCGCGAGCGGCTGGACGTCGTGGCAGGACTTCGCCGTCAAGAGCCGTTTCCGAGGGCAATTCATCAGCATCTCGCCCTTCGCTGAAGCATTCGTGCTATTCCGCCGGGGAGGCAACCAGTATCGATGGAGCAAGGTACTGCTCTAGCAGGCGATTGGTCGTCGTAGTTCTGTTGTTAGTTATCGTTGGTAGATTTCGAAATTGTTATTGTCGAATCGTTGCTGTAGTTTATAGAATCGGTAAAATAATTTCAGCATCAGTCAGAATAGTAGTTATCGATGTTGAACATTGTTTGGTCGTGTATTGTCATGGTTAATTAGCATAAATGTTCATAATTTAAAAAATACATTATTAAAATGGTAATTGAAAAATCTAAATTTTAAGAACTTAGATATTTTATATTTATATCATGATTTTTTTTCGTGACTTTGTTAGTTCTTCTTGTAGAACTAAGGGCTATGTTAGTATAATCGTAACGGTGTAACCAAGCAAACCACAGCAGGGCTACTCCAAAACGCTGTTATAGTTCCAAAATACTGGACTGTCCTGTCGATGACATTGACAGTGGGGCGCCACCGTCAATACCGGATCGCTGGTTCAGATTTTTGCCATGTTGGAAACCATATAGTTGAACGATGGTAGCGCCCCCCTGTCATTGAGTTTGGTGGGACAGTTCAGCGTGGGTCATCTATAACGTAGTTTCTAATCTATCTGTCACCGTCGCTAATTCTGGCATCTAGCTTTGCTTGAAAAGGTTGGCAACATTCGAAACTTCGGATAACGTTTTTCGGAGTATCAAGGAAAACTGTCACTGTCCTTACAACAAACAAAAGGGCGTCGTATACAAGTGTTTGGGCTTGCAGGTGACAACCACGGTGCACAACATAATCGTGGGCAAGCTGTGGGTGGACAACCACGGCGACATGGACATCGTGGGCGAGGCGGGCGCCGCCGCCGGCTACGTGGCGCACCTCAAGTACCTGCCCTACGGCTACTTCAGCAAGGACACGCAGCGGAAGGTCACCGGCGTCATCAAGGACCCGCAGGGCGTCGTGAGTACCGCACCTGTCACGTGACCGCCGCCTACATTATATGAAGGCGACAATAGTCCTTCAGCGATCGGCTGTCTATTCAAGATCCGAGGAATCTAGTTCGCTTCCCGACCGCTGTATTGTGGTAATATCACACACAAGCATAAAATTGAGCATAAACAAATTTTCAATCAACATTTCCAACATTCAACAGGTTAAAAAAATTAAACAATGTTACCTGATTAGGGAGAAAATTCCGACGTGACAGTGAACTGTCGGCATGCCGTACGTCGTTATAAATGTAAAAAAAAATTACATTTATAGCACCGAGTGAACAATCAAGCATGGTGGGAGAACTACCGGCTAAAATTTGCTTACGTAATTTAGTTTGATTTTGTGCGTGTAATGTGACGTCACGCTCAACTAATGCCATAAAGTTTTGACGCTTTTACCTGTTTTATTTCTTCTTTGTTTTCAAAATTGTGAAATATCTTTTTTAACTATTGTACAAAGGCTTTGATCTTCTTTCCACTATACTCGACGCAATGACTCATGGCAAGTGTGGTCATAAGTAATTATTGAAACAGAGATGCACACTCGCCAATATTTCAATAATTATAATAACGCTATGCCTGCCTCTATGTGACGTCACCTTATAACCAGTGTAAGTGCGAGAGAAAATGTGATATGCACTGTTTTATTATTACATCGCCTGCCACGAGTCTGCGCCGAGTATAGCAGTGGTAGTTTAGTAACGTGTGTGTTGCATGCAGCCGCGCTACGTGCTGCAAGGGCACTGGGACAGCCGCGTGGAGGTGGCGCCGGTGACGTCGGCGTCGCCCGACAACACGGTCTGCAAGACCGGCAAGTTCACCGTCGCCTGGGAGCGCGTTGCAGCGCCGCCAGACTCTGACAAGTCAGTACACACACACTACAATACCCGGCGATAAATATTGCACATCGACCTTTAGAAAGAGACAATCGGCTAATTTCGGTTTCGTTGAGCGTTATCACTGTCGCACTTGAACAACGACTGACAATGACGTTTTGTCAAAGTGTAAACAAACTTTATTTTAAATGTGTGCAATTGATTTTGCGAATTAAATTGCTAAANACACTTGACATAGACACAAATAAGGCCACTTGTACGCGCTAAGAAAAGTCGCCGGGTCTACGCAAGAATTTGTGTTGTTTCCACACACGAATCGTGTACAGTCAGCGTCAAAAAGACACCTAAAGTAGCCAATAAGTTCGCAACACGTCTTTGTGACATTTGCAATTAAGTTGTGTTATCAACTTATTTAGACACTTTGGGTGTCACAAACTATTTGACGCTGACTGTACATTGCTCCGGCGCTGACCAAGATATAATTATTGTATGCGCTAGATACGACACGCACTGTGACAAATTTTCAGAGCTAGATCCGACGAAATTCTTGTCTTATTTGCGGCAGACTACGTGTAATTTCTTAGCGTGTATAAGAAGCCTGTCAATAGTCTATCTACTGCTGGACAAAGTCCTCCCCCAAAAAACTTCCACAAAGATCGGTCCTGCGCTGCCCGCATCCAAGTGCTTCCTTCACCAGATTTTTGGTCCATCCAGTGGGCGGCCTACCAACAATACGTTTTACAGTCTATGGACTTAGGGACAGGGAGTATGCATGTTTTAATTTCCTTCCTTTCTTTTGTCTTTCAAAAATCTGTTGAGATACAGATAAATAGAAATTTCGTGACGTCACTTAATACATTAATTGACTGCCCTGCATTAATTTATTTTAATCTTGCAATTTATTTAACTGACATTTATGATTTTGACATTTAATTTGCTCATTATTACTTTTCTTTAACATAATATTATACTTAAAATCACGCTTTAACATTTGTATGCCGACAAGGCTGATCACGGCTTGAACACATATCTTGTTTGTACATCATACTGCTTACCTGTGTTTCACAAATAAATTATTTGAATTTGAATTTGAATTAAAAATACACGGAGCTTGCCATAAAGATTGATTGAGCTCGTGTAAAATGACGTCATGCTTAGCTGATTCCGTAAAGTTAACGCTTTTATTTTTGTTTTCATAACTTGTTCAACAAGCTTTTACTGCTGTACAGTTTTTGATCTTCTTTCCAAAAGTGGTAGTTTAGTAACGTGTGTGTTGTATGCAGCCGCGCTACGTGCTGCAAGGGCACTGGGACAGCCGCGTGGAGGTGGCTAAGCTTTCATGACGACGGCTTATTTAACATTCTAGCGTCTAGCCTTTGAACTAAATCTAAAAAAACTAAACAATTATCTTCTTTACTGCTGTACAAAGGCCACTTCTTCTTTCCAAAAGTGGTAGTTTAGTAACGTGTGTGTTGCATGCAGCCGCGCTACGTGCTGCAAGGGCACTGGGACAGCCGCGTGGAGGTGGCTCCCATGATGACGGCTAATTTAACATTATAGCGTCTAGCCTTGGAACTAAATTGTTTATTTGTAAAACAATTATCTTCTTTACTGCTGTACAAAGGCCACTTCTTCTTTCCAAAAGTGGTAGTTTAGTAACGTGTGTGTTGCATGCAGCCGCGCTACGTGCTGCAAGGGCACTGGGACAGCCGCGTGGAGGTGGCGCCGGTGACGTCGGCGTCGCCCGACAACACGGTCTGCAAGACCGGCAAGTTCACCGTCGCCTGGGAGCGCGTTGCAGCGCCGCCAGACTCTGACAAGTCAGTACATAGACACTATAGTCTATCCAATATAGCTTGNAGTGTTATCTTTCCAAAGGTCGATGTGCAATATTTATTGCCGGGTACTGTATATTTTCAGACTCATCTATAATCTCTTCATTGAACTAGCATTGACCTGTTGTAACTCACATATTATTAGGTAGTACATTACAGGTAAAAACCTTCTCGTCCATATCAACTAAGAAATCTCAGACTGTGTCAGGTATCACATGTTACATTTTTAGGCTACAAGAAGAATAACTTTACATGAATACGTACTTATTGGCACATAGGTTCGTTTTACCTAAGGGGAAACTTGTTCAGGTACACAGAGCTATATGGAATCGTCACACACATGCGCGCCACACTACGCTGTACATACTACACTCGACGTCAAATAAACCTCCCGCGACAAGCATTTTCAAACGTATGCATCCCCACTTCCCACCAATATTGGTATCATTTAAAAGCCTAGTTCTAACCTTCATTTCATTAAAGGAATGGTTTTTACCCCAAAAATGTGTCTTTAGAAGGATCCAGAGTCACTTCTTCAAAAAATAGGTAGTTACGCTAGAGCCAACCTTTATGGCTATAAAACTGTTAAGTTGGGTTTAATTGCTATCCATCTGTTAAAGAGGACACGTGAAATCATTATTTGGTTTTATAATCATAAAAATTGGTCTAATTGATCCCATAGGTGGGCCCAAAGTGAGGTATTTTTTCAAGTCACATTTATGGTATATGTTAATCATTTATTAAGAAATTAAATGTGTTTTTCTTTAAGGATATTTATTGGGCTTTCAAATAACACCAATATGGTTGGGGTACCATGATTGTGTCAGAAGAAAATCGTTAAAGTTCGCGTCGCGGAAGGTGCGGTTTATTTGATGTTGAGTTTATTTTTCGATACAGACAAGTGTGCGGGCGGAGGCCTAACATTACTTTTAAATTACAGATAAAATCTGTCTCATGTGTAATAGCTCTCAACTCAACTGTGTACTGTCCCGGCAGGTGGTATAACTTCACGCTGCTAGCCGCGCAGCTGAACGAAGCTGAAGCCGGCGTGGCGCCCACTGACTCGCGGCGGCGGCCCGACCAGCGCCTCATGGAGGAGGGGCTGTGGGACGACGCCAACGCAGAGAAGCTGCGCCTCGAGGAGAAGCAGCGAGCCGCGCGCCGCGAGCTCGAGCAGGCCGCCGAAGGTAACACACCACTGCTTGTTGGAAAATTACAACTGCTAAAGCCTGGTCCGTGAGCACGTAGAATTTTGTCCAATGACCCCTAGCTACCCATCCTTATCGCTCGCGCGTAATTATGTTGCAGTCGCGCTCGCACACTCACTGCGGGCGCTCGTCGCACAGTCGCGATAGCAATATAATTTCGCGCGAGCGATAAGGATGGGTAGCTTGGGGTCATTGGACAAAATTCTACGTGCTCACGGACCAGGCTTTACAACTACATAAGATCTCTTTTACTTTGTTGTGCTGTCATTCGTTACATAGGCCACCACCACTGCCACATGTCAATCCATCTATCCATCATCCATGATTGAACAGGAAACGTACTTTTAAGAATGCAAGCAATGCAGCTTTAGTTAAAAATTATTATAGATTTGGCCAATAAGGCCAAAATGTGACTTCCCTGTGGTGCGAGTAGAACCGATGTTAACCAATTTTATTTTACCGATTCTTCACATGAAGCGACGACATGTAACTTGAACAGTTAATTATTTTGTATGTTAATCGGTGTGATAATGGGCATATTTGTTCCTCAGCGGCGGCAGCTCGTGGGTTGCCCGCGCCGCCGGCGCCGAAGCCGCTGTGGTTCACGCGCGAGCCGGCGGCGGCGCCGGGCGACCCGCTGCGGCACCTGTACAACCGGCGCTACTGGGAGTGCAAGCAGCGCCAGGACTGGGCCGCGTGCCCCAACATCTTCTAGCGCGCCGGGCCGCTTTGCGCCGCTGTAGGACGATGACTCGCGTATAGTTGACCCACGCTGAACTGTCCCACCAAACTCAATGACAGGGGGGCGCTACCATCGTTCAACTATATGGTTTCCAACATGGCACAAATCGGAACCAGCGATCCGGTATTGACGGTGGCGCCCCACTGTCAATGTCATGCATAGGACAGTTCAGTATTTTGGAACTATACTGTGAGCGTCGCGCGCGAGCCGACGACGGAGCGACGCGTTGTTCGTCGAGTGTTGTTGGCCGCTGTGAGGGTAGACTGATTCGCTCCCGCCGTCGACTCGCGGCGCTCTAGGATATTTTGTAAGATCTATTACAAATTGTACATTTTCAAGTGGATGTAAGATAATTTGTTAATATTTTTATTATAATAAATAATAGAATGATATTTGAATACAAAGCCATAACATCTGTATCATGTTAATTATTATGAAAATAAAATATAATATCTAAATTTAAGTTTTCTTTTCATTCATGTTTAACCCTACCTAAGTAAATCAAATACACAGGAAAATCAAAGAAAAAGGACGGGAATAATATTTTCAACATTTTTATTAAGAAAACGGAAACAGTGAAAAAGTACATCAGTTGGTTATAATATTGTTTATATAAACAAATCTTTTACAGTTAAAATGTTCACTACCTTTATACTCTGTCCCTATAGTTAAAATTTTTGTAATAAATTATATTATTCTTTCAATACAGTAACTTCTATTTTTATGGCCTAAAATAAAATAAAATTAATGAAAGTGAAACAATAAAAAAATCTTAATCTTACTAAAGATGAATGTAAATGTGTTTTTCTAGGGCAACAAAATGATCGACTTTTATTTGTTACCTAAATGAAAAACAATTTGGAGATGAGTTGAAATGTATTATGTAATCTAAAATTAATTTACTCGTGAAATAAAGATTATTTGAATGTTGTTTTTAACCTAAAAATATTGTGACCAGTTTGTTTAAAAATCACTATAAAATACTGTTGTGGAAATGCTAAAAATAGGAACAGAGTAAAATGCAGCACAAACAGTTAGATGTAAAGCAGATAAATAATTCTTCGTATTGATATACATATTATTATACAGGGCAATTATCTCATTTCCTGAATAAAAATTGAAATGCGAAAGCAACTAAGTTAAATCTATTTTATAATATGACCATCTACATAAATAATTTTAAATCAATCTATTATATTTGGAAGTTTGTGTTTGACTTACTCAGATAATGAGACAATCAAAACTTATAATTCAGCATTAATTTTATATTTATACATTTACACTTTGCTTTTGCCGAAAAGTTTCTCTAAACAGCATCACTCTTCTAAACAAAATAATTACATTCATATTTCGCTCGATAATGAATTTAGCAAGTCATAAGTAAATAATTTTAATAAGATCTCGAGGCATTTTAGCATAATTTATTCAGTTAGCACTTGAAATAAAAAACAGTTGGTTTTCTTTGAGTTGTTTCTTAATTTGGTGAAGTTTTTATGACATACATTTATGAGTAATTAATTAGTAATGACTGAACACCAGTTTTTTTATAAATATAGGTAAGTATAAAAACTAAATAACCAATAGAGTATGGATTCATCATATCGATTTAATAATTAAAACAAATATTCACCAATTTTGCGTACTAAGAGATGATTTTTTTAACATTGTCAAAATAATTTTGTAGTTTTTATCCAAAGTTGGCCCAAAAAACTTTAATTGAACTACCAAACAGCTGTAGCTTATTTGCCGTGGACACGAGTACGCTGGCTTTGTCTCGTATTCAGTACCTCTAGCATGAACAACTTTCGTTTTCGAATCGTTTGCGTATTCGACAAAATTCGATATTCAACCTTCGAATTAAACGATAACATGACAATTTTGATTCTCAAATAAGTTTCGTGCAACCTTATACTACTTTTCTCATATTAAGTTCACTTTACGACACATTCACAAGGGCGCTGTTGTAGTTTTCGTACTAAATCTTTTGATGGCGATTCGAATAAGCAAACGATACGAACTCGAAAGTTTTTCGTGCTAACCGTACAGAGCACGTCTGTCAAAAGGGTGACTTACGAATTTGACTGGCTGCCCTTGAAGGCAGGTTGTCTCAACATCCAAACCAAGAGATCTTTCATCTACAACGCCTAGAATGCACTAAGAATGATTTAAAAAATCAATCAAATTTCTGCACGTCTATTTACATATTTTACAAGGGAAAGAAATAATAAATAATATTTCTATACCTTTGATATGAGCGTCCTTTCAGTACATAGATATCAATCTCAACAAACAATGCTAAATTTCCATTGAAATAAAATGAAATTAATGTACATCATATTTACAAAGTCAGCTGTGGTCAAGAAGTTTCACTTATAATTTTGAAAGTATTTGGGACAGGACATATCATTTAAATTAAATGTAATCCTTAGGAAGGAGACAATGATTTTTCCTATATTCATTGAACATTCATATACACTGAATTATTTTAAGACAATATTTTAATTATACCAATACCATTGACTGGTAACTTACCCAAAGTCCTCTTTATTAAAAATATAATATGTTATTTAATTAATGTCCACATAGTTCTCAGCATAAAGATTCAAATATTACGTTTTCTACAAGCTAATCACACAAATAGACCACAACTCTTACTTAATGATCAGCAACTATGAACTATTAAAAACTAAATTTCAATATTATCATCACATGTAACACTGTATCTCAAAGCAGGTTATGTTTTTTTTATTATTTTTTTACACTCGTTCGACTAGCATTGCATCTAACAATATTGTTGATATTTATGCAACATTGAGACAATAGTTCTTAAGAATGAATGTATGGACAATATAGTAAGACAAATGTAGAAATAAATATAGATGGAGCTTTATTTCTTATTCTCAAAATTTAAATTGCTTTCCAATGCAATTCTTACAGCTAGAGAAAGAAAAGCAATTAAACAGCAAACAAGACAGGACATAGAATGAGCAACCAAACAACTAGCATGTAGCAAAACACTTCTTATACAACAGCCATTTTTTGAGATTACATTAATTAAATACTATCAGGTTATTGTATGAAGTGCGGAAGACAGGGGGATCGTCAGTATTAATTGGAAATTTTTAGGCGGTATAAACAGTTACGTATCACAAATAACTTTGATTTATACCGTATTTATTCATGAAATCTCAATTATCATTTTTGGGCTCCATCTACAGACACTTCTAGTTCACAGTAGCAAAGTATACGATCCTACAGAGAAGTTACGTAAATGCGGCTTAGCGCGAGCTGCGTACGTGAACAGCACAGTACTCACAGACTATGTACAATACACAAACGTTTACATTGGTCTATGAACCTTCGGGATGACTCAAAAGTTCATATCAATGTGTCTCAGCGCGCCGGGCGGCGGCTGGCGCACATTACACTTAACATTATTAGGATTATTTATTATTAGCTTCAAACACACCACCTCATTTCGTCAAGTGCTCATACTAAAATCATATCTTTTTTCGTATTTCGGATTTGATCGCACACACGTAATTTAATTCTATTGTTAAATTATAATCGATGATTACAACAAATAGCGTGTAAATTAGGTCCCACGTAAATCTTAAAAACCTGAAGTAAAATTGTAAATCAACAACTAATCAATTTTGCTAGTTTTTAGGAGTTTGAATAAATCACAATTTCACTCTAAGCGTTTAGAGAGTAGAGTATTATAATGAAGTCTCACCTACTACTGCCGCGATGAGGACGTGACCAAATGAGGCGCGCCACCGTGGCCAGTTACACCTTAAAAGATCTTTATATTTACATTTCAAAATGGTAAAACTTAAAAATACATAACAAAATAGATATGAGTGGCTAGTTAGAGAAAAATCTACCAAATATTTGTGATTACATAACAAAATTCAAGCACAATAAACATCAACAGAAACAAATAATTACATGCCTCCTCGGACTCGAAACAAAAACCGGCGCGGGCCGGCGGGACTTGCGAGCCATGCTTGACAAGAAGACACACAGCTATCTGTCGACAACACGCTCTATGCTTCGTTGTCGACAGGAAGATTTGGACACAACGCTTCCTGTCATCAAGAGACTTGGAAACCATGCATGAATGGTGACAAGAAGATTCAAACACAATGCTTTCTTGCCGCAAGACGCGGACACCATGCTTCACTGTCGACAACATGCGAACACTATGCTTCACTGTCGACAAGATACGAACACTGTTTCATTGTCGACAATAACATTCAGATACGATGCGCCAAGTAGACGCGAACACCTTACTTTACTGACGAAATGATGCGCAACTATGCTTCATTGTCGACACGCCGCGAACACTTCCGCGTCATTATCTACGCGATCACTTCGGCGTTACGCGTACGCCACAACACTCGGCTAACTCACTCGGCACCGGGCCGGCCGGGTCTCGTCGCCGCAACGACGGACCGATAACAATATTTTTTGGATTTCAAGCGCAATTTTATTCATTAAATGCTCTTTCACATCACCCACTCGTAAAGCGATNAAGCGATCGCTCGCCGGAGCCTGCGCAAGCTAGCGGCCCGACTGTGGGGCAACGACATATTTACACTGCACTCGGTCGCACTGTTCACACGCGTTTTTGGTTCGTGACAATCCTTAACTAGAGAAACGTCTGTCGGCTACTCGCTGAAGTAGCGCACCTTGCCGGCGCCGCACCTCACCACGTCCTCCCACGCTGGAAATAGAAAGAACACTGTGTAAACAAGCATTATTTACATCATTTGCGAGGCAATTTGATAGTATTTAAATAAAATGTATAGTTGGCCGGTCGAAATTGACGAGTAAAATGAGGTGTAAATATTACTAATATCCACTAGTTCAACTAAGCCGATTCGAGTACAAGATGTCATTTCTTTTCGGGAAAGCATATTGAATGAAGCTAGGACATTGCACCTAACAAAACTGGAAACAATAACTATAGTGATTTTTCAAGTTGCTTCCTTTCTAAGAATAGAACCCAGGATCAGCAGATAATAAAAGTCCAACTTTCTATCCAGTAGCCCACAAAATGAAGAAGAAGCTTCGGACAACGTTTCGTTTTTCTGAGTAATCCCACTAAATCCTAATAATATTATAAATGCGAAAGTTTTAATGTTTGTTACTCTTTCACGCAAAAACTACTGAACGGATTTTGATAAAACTATACAGTATTATTGTTTATTATAACCCAGTTTAACATATAGGCTATAATTTCTGATGATATGTGACAAATTTTCAATAAATAAATAAGACGTGTCTAAAAAGCGCCCTCTATCGCCCTTGGTTAAAATCTACAGCGCTGGACAAACTACTGTTTTTGACGTTCGTAAATATTCATGCGGGGGAAGCCGTGAAACGCCATCTATCAACATGATATCTAACGGGGGTAAAACAAGGTCCACGCGTACGAAGTCGCGGGCGGCCGCTAGTCTATAAATTTTTATTTTTTTTAAAGATTATTAGTAATTTGTTATTACACAAATTACTAATACTCCCGTTAGCCCCTCGTACTAAGCTAAATATGCTTGTGTCACGAGTGAGCTCACCACAATAGTCGAGCGGCGGCTGGGACCGAACCCGCGTTCCCCGGATCACGAGTCGGCCAGTCCGACCCGTGATCCGTTCACCGTTCGGCTATCGTGGCTTCATTGGAAATTAGATGTTGTGGCAAATTAGATGTTGAACTAACCGGAGCCGACGTAGTCAACTAGCTGATGCAACACACGGGTATCCGGCGGCGGCGCGGGCGCCACGTAGCGCAGCGCGCACGACCCCACGCCGACCGCCACGCCGCGCGCCGGGACCGCGCCGCCCGCCGGAACCGCCGTCGGCGGCGCCGGCACCGCCGTTACGGCCGTCGGTGTCTTCACGTCCAGCTGGAAGGGAGAAAAGATAAGTAAATATAGGAAACAAAAGGTAATCATATAGCATATAATCGTGCTGGCTAGACATGAGATACGAGACGAGTTTCGATCGAGATCGCCATTTTGTTCGTTTTCGATTAACACAATTTATCACTTACGTTTTGCATTACAAAAGAAATTAATTTTTCAAATGGCAGATGTGATCCACCGCGGGCTATGAGAGGTAAATAATAAGGAGAAAGTGAGAACAGCTAGGACAGTTAGTACGAATACGAACTTAGGCCTTTATGCGTGTCGCTAAAAACTTGTACACCGCGATATAATTTTGCACAGCGAAATCTATTGACAGTCTTGTGAACTAAATTGCCGGAATCTTCGTACTACTGAACGGACATCAATGGGGAAGAGAAGTTTGTTAAATAGAGACCAGATCATAGTCTTTTAGTAGCCCAGGAAGACTTTTCAATGGCCGTTTAGGCACTCCCGAGTGATTATGACAAAGGTGTCTGTCTCTTCCGCTACTTCTTCTCAGCACCAGCCTATATGTTGCTCCGAAGTGATGGTAGGGCAAGTCATATTTGGGACATGTACATTGTACAAGTGCCCTAGAAAGGGTCTAAGTACGGAATAAATGATTTGATTTGTGTTGTGTGCCGCCGCCGCCGCCCGCGCCAGATGACTTGTAATGTTATGTGTCGTGTGCGGTGTTACCTCCAGCGCGTCGCGCACGAGGTCGCAGCGCGGGCGGCGCGCGGGCGCGGCCAGCAGCGTCTCGTTGACGTCGAAGCCGAACGTCACGCCGTCCAGCTCGCGCGCGCGCCCGCCCGCCGCCAGCAGGATCACCGCCGGCCGCCGCTCGCCCACCTGCACAAGGTATAACGTCACAACACTGTTCAAAGGAAATATCTGAGAGGTAGAAGCCAATCCAGTCTACACTACATTTGTGTAAATTAGAAACTCAAAATTATGCCACCAAAACCGAAGGAAAAGTTAAGTAAAGAAACTAGCAACAAAACTCAAGAGCAAAGACAAAATATTAATTTTATAAAGTCTGTTCGCCAAGAGTTGATAAATATTATGAAATGTCTTGCATAGCGACTGTCGCTTAATTATCGCATTCTGTATGGCGGGCGTCGTTTGTCACAACGCGCACTGAGTACCATGGTACGAGCCACGCAGCTGTCTTCAAGCGNCCTATTATAAATGCGAAAGTAACTCTGTCTGTCTGTCTGTCTGTCTGTTACGCTTTCCCGCTTAAACCTCGCAACCGATTTTGATGAAATTTGGCATAGAGATAGTTTGAGTCCCGGGAAAGAACATAGGATAGTTTTTATCCCGGTTTTTGAAACAGGGACGCGCGCGATAAAGTTTTTCTGTGACAGACAAAAATCCACGCGGGCGAAGCCGCGGGCGGAAAGCTAGTTAATAATAAAAGTGTATAGTTGGCTAATCGGTCCAAGTAATTCATGAAATAAGATGTACAAATAATATTGTATTCGCGTACAACCACATATTTCTTTTTGAAGAAGTGGATTCTAGCTTGTAATTTACTAACGATAAAAGTGATTTTTCAATGCGTGTTCCATCTCCTCCAGTTTGACTATCTAACCAACTCATGAAGTAGTTCAAGACATTCGATTCAGATTTATTGCAAGTCAGATGTTAAAGTAAGTAATGTTCTGTGCAGGTGCAGGCCACTCCGAAACGAACGCTGGATACAAAGTTTCGGGTCTATCTGTCACCATAGCTCACGCTGGCAAAGCGCTTTGCGTGAGAGGGATGACAACATTAGAAACTTTGGATAACGTTTTTCTGAGTAATCATCCCGCTGTTAAAGTCCGGTCGCCGAGCTGATAGAATTCCTATGACCCCAAGCTCCCCATCCTTATCACTGCGGTGAGTGTGCGAGCGTGACAGCAATATAATTACACGCGAGCTACCCAGCTTGGGGTCATTGTACGAACTTCTATGTGCTCGGCGAGCGGACTTTACCTATAAATAAATAAATTAGATGTTGAACCAGGCCTGTTCATCTCCGCGAGTTTACATCGAAAACAAAACACGCACGATGGCCCACCTACAGGATACTATTCGACAAGGCCTCACATACGAGCGAACATTGACTCACGCACGCGTATTCTTGTGTATGATGGAAGAAAATAAAGAAAATGGTTTACTAGTTTACTAAATACTGTGCAGTATTTACTGCCTAAATAATAATAAAAACACAGAATGTACTTTTTTAAGTTGCCTCAAGACACTGAGAGGTAAATAAGAAGTTAATATTATTCATGCTAAATCATGTATTTCCTCCGCCATTTTCCGCAGTTTGGCACCTCACGTCACATAATTTTACCGAAGTCAGCCCTATAGCTTCGGCGCAGTGCCGATCACTGACGTTTGTCAACAAAATGGTGCTTGACTCTTGAGACAGGCTAAATTACACCATATTGTTAATGACATTGAGCATACATTTTTTTAAATACCTTCGCGAAGTAAAACTTCTGTACGTAGTAGCACAGAATAATAATAAGTACTACGTACAGAAGTTTTACTCCTACTACTACTTATTTACCTCTCAGTGTCTTGAGGCAACTTAAAAAAGTACATTCTGTGTTTTCACCATTATTTAGGCAGTTAAATACTGCACAGTATTTAATACACCATAATTATTCTTTATTTTATTCCATCATACACAAGAATACGCGTGCGTGAGTCAATGTTCGCTCGTATGTGAGGTCTTGTCGAATAGTATCCTGTAGGTGGGCCATCGTGCGTGTTTTGTTTTCGATGTAAACTCTCGGAGATGAACAGGCCTGGTAGTAGGCTTAGGGGCCGTTCAAGTATTACGTAAGCAGATTTCTTACCATTTTTTACCCCCCGCCCCCCTTGTCATCAAAAGTAAGCAAAGCACTTACCCCCTCCCCCTATGATTACGTAAACATTTTTATTTATAAATGTTTTTTTATATTGTAATTTTTAAAATAGGAAAATTCATGAAAATATTAGGTTTAACTGATACACACAGAGTAAGGGACAAAAAAATATAATCTATATCTTATCTATACAGGGTGTTAGGTAAATGGGTATATGAGCCGACACTAGCCCATGTTAACATGGTCATATAAATGGTATGGTGAAGTCAGAAATTTGATATTATCATTTTATTTTTATAATTTTCGTATAAAATAAATTTTATTAAATCCGATTTGTATGAAAATTAAAATAATTAAAATGAAGATATCAATTTTCTAACTTTACCATACCATTTATATGACCATATTAACATGGGCTAGTGTCGGCTCATATACCCATTTACCTAACACCCTGTATAAAAGAAAGTCGTGTTAGTTACTTCGCTTATAACTCAAGAACAGCTGAACCGATTTAGCTTAAAATTGTCAGGGAGGTAGTTTAGAGCCAGGAGAAGGACATAGGATACTTTTTATCCCGTTATTTATTGCCATTAAGGCGGAACAAAGTTCGCCGGGTCAGCTAGTCAGAAATAAAGAACGTAACAAACATAATTGCATCAATTATGCATCAAAATAAACACAAATGTTAAACTTTCAATGCTTGCAATACGTTTAGTATCCAAACAAAACACGCGCGCGGGAGGCCGCGTGTTTTGATGATATTATGCGGACTACGACTCTCAAAAGACAATGCCGGAAATTGGCGTCTTTTTTTTTTCGCGCGGCCATCGACCAAACTTTGTTTTTTGATTACAAAATAGTGTAATAAACCAAACTTACTATAACATGTATACCTCTAAACTCAGTCTGAACTGAGTTACGAGCATTAGAAGTTTGATGATTTTCATACTAGATTTGCTTTTTGCGCGCAAAGTTTTGTAAGAAATTGCAACAAAATAGTGAGATTGTATGTGTAAACAAACAATACCATCCATTAAAGGCTCCAGACATCAGTATGGAGCCGAATCAACGCAATAAAAAATAGCGCAATATTTTGTTGCAATTTCTTACAAAACTTGCGCACAAAAAGCAAATCTAGTATGTATGAAAATCATCAAACTTATAATGTTCGTAACTCAGTTCAGACCGAGTTTAGAGGTATACATGCCATAGTAAGTTTGGTTTATGACACTATTTTGTAATCAAAAAACAAAGTTTGGTCGATGGCCGCGGGAAAAAAAAAAAGACAACACTCTAATGTGCGGTAATTCCCCTAATTAGTTCTCAAAGCGAGTGCCTACATTATTTGCGGGAATCCCCGAAAAAACGTAAATAACTAACGATGACGTAATCATCATCTAGACCCCCCTACCCCCCATGTCATCCAAAATAAGCAAAACAGAGACCCCCCCACCCCCCCTTGGTGCTTACGTAATACTTGAACGGCCCCATTATTATTATTCTGTGGTTGAACTAACCGGAGCCAACGTAGTCAACTAGCTGATGCAACACACGGGTGTCCGGCGGCGGCGCGGGCGCCACGTAGCGCAGCGCGCACGACCCCACGCCGACCGCCACGCCGCGCGCCGGGACCGCGCCGCCCGCCGGAACCGCCGTCGGCGGCGCCGGCACCGCCGTTACGGCCGTCGGTGTCTTCACGTCCAGCTGCAAGGGAGAAGAGATAAGTAAATATAGGAAACAAAAGGTAATCGATACAGCATATAAGGTCGTCGATATAATCGTGCTGGCTAGACATGAGATACGAGACGAGTTTCGATCGAGATCGCCATTTTGTTCGTTTTCGATAATCACAATTTATCACTTACACTTTGCATTACACAAGAAATATTTTTTTCAAATGGCAGATGTGCCAATTCTTCTCAGCACCAACCTATATGTTGTCCCAAAGTAGTGGTAGGGCAAGCTACATTTGGGGCGTGTGCAAACGCCCTTGGAAAGGGGCTAAATACTGAATAAATGATTTGTGTCGTGTGCGGTGTTACCTCCAGCGCGTCGCGCACGAGGTCGCAGCGCGGGCGGCGCGCGGGCGCGGCCAGCAGCGTCTCGTTGACGTCGAAGCCGAACGTCACGCCGTCCAGCTCGCGCGCGCGCCCGCCCGCCGCCAGCAGGATCACCGCCGGCCGCCGCTCGCCCACCTGCACAAGGGATAACGTCACAATACTGTTCGAGGGAAATATCAGAGAGGTAGAAGTGTAGTCAATTAGAAACACAAAATTATGAAGTCCACCAACACCGAAGAAAAAATTTAAGTGAAGAAACTCGCAACAAAACGCAAAAGGATAGACAAAATTTAGACTTTGAGATAGAAAATTGATGAAAAACACTTTAGACATTATTCGAAGGTTCAGACATGTTTTTAATTTATTTCCAAAGGGAAACCCTTCATGTAAACCTGTTTTCATGTCCTATTTTCATTTCAATACCTGGGACAAACAGTCCAGTTAGGTAGGTCCAACTTCGAAAAAGAGGTCAATCGTCGAATCCAACTCGGATGGGCAGCGTTCGGGAAGCTTCGCCATATACTCACGTCCGAAATACCGCAGTGTCTCAAGTCGAAAGTATTTGACCAATGCGTGTTGCCAGTGATGGTATATGGATCTGAGACGTGGTCGCTTACTATGGGCCTCATAAGAAAGCTCAAGGTCACCCAAAGGGCGATGGAGCGGGCTATGCTCGGAGTCTCCCTGCGTGATCGAATCAGAAATGAGGAGATCCGCAGGAGAACCAAAGTAACCGACATAGCTCGCAGAATTGCTAAAATCAAGTGGCAGTGGGCGGGGCACATAGCTCGTAGAGACGATGGCCGTTGGGGCAGGAAAGTTCTCGAGTGGCGACCACGGGCTGGAAGACGTAGCGTGGGCAGGCCTCCTACTAGGTGGACCGACGATCTGGTAAATGTGGCGCGCGCGCGGGCCCAGCGCCGGGTAGTCGTCGGCGCGCGGCGGCTCGGGCGGCGGCGCCTCGCCCTCGGCGTAGAAGTTGCACGACTCGATGAGGTCGGGGATGTTGTGGCGCGTGCGCGCGATGTCGGCGTACGAGGCGGCGGGCGGCGGCGGCGCGGCGGGCGGCGAGCCGGCCGACTCCAGGTCGTCGGTGGAGTCGTTGGAGCCGGGCGCGGGCGGGCGCGGGCGGCGCTTGGCGCGGCGCTTGGTGACGGTCTGGAAGTCGGCGGGCTCGGGCTCGGGCGGCGCGGGCTCCGGCTCGGGCGGCGGCGCGGGCGCGGGCGCCGTCAGCTCCTCGAGCGTGGTGCGCGACAGCTCCTCGAGCGAGGACGCGCGCGGCGGCTTGTCCTTGTCCTTGCGGCGCTCGGCGGAGCGCTTCTTGTGCTTGTCGTGCTTCGGCCGCTCGGCGTGCGACTCGATGAAGCGCAGCACCTCGTTCAGGTCCTTGTTGCCCTGGTAGCCGTCGATCTGGTGCGACTTGATCACGGTCTCGTTCTTGGACGACTTTTTCCTGCGCGGCTTCTTGTGCTGGCCGGAGCCCGAGACGGGCGAACTGAACCCTTGCACCGCGTTCCCGTTTTCGTCTAGCGATTTCTGTAAACGGTAGTGCACAGTGAATATAGGCACCTGAATAGGGAGGAAAAACGACACGCATTAGAACACATCGAATGGCGCGAGCGAGCGAGCGACGGGCGGGTCGCCCAAGCAACGTTAGTGAGGCGACACGTGCCTGCTGGTCGGAGGGCGCGGCGCCGCACGGCCGCGACAGCGGCAGCCCGTTGAAGCTGCTCGAGATCACACTACGGGGCTGCGCAAATAAACATTACACTTTGTAACACACGCCAACTTCATACTACTTAACGATTAAATCCTATTATGGTTTTCTTCAGCTATTATTTTACTGCTGATGAGAGGAGTATCTTTAGAATAATTAATAATACGTAAAAGCGAAAGGTCATTAATTCATTCAATATCTAAAACTACTTGACCTTTGAAGCTGAAATTCGACAAATAGGCGTCAGCCGAGAGTAGATTTTGGAAGAGCCGAATTAATGGCAATAAAAGGGGGCCTAGATTTTGTACTAAAAAGAAACTTTATAATGGTTTTAAATAAAAATACACGTATCTTTATAATTCTTTCTAATTTAAACGCACTAAGTGATGAGCGTCCACTAGTAATCATATAAGTCTTCATATGAATGTGTTCAGTTTTTAATTTATTTGTCTTCGTCAGGTTCAATAATCGCCCATATAAAAGTATAATTTATGATATTTAACTCTTATTAAATCAAGTAGAAAAAACTGAACACAACGACATTATATGAAATGCCTTCATTCAAAATACACCATTTACAAACTTTTTGATTTTGTTACAAATATTTAGTGACAGAACAGGTTATGCAATATGTATTTAAAAATGATAAATCAAATCAACACAAATTGTTATATTTACTGAATACTCAATAGTTAAAAAATGTAAAATTCAAAGCATGAAAATCAAACAAAATATTTTAATAGAAAACCAAAAGTTTCCATTCTGAACTAAATAATGTTCGTGTGAGGTTGATATTCTACATGTTACACATCATTGCTCACATTCCGAAAGTACAAATTATCGGTAACAGAAATGTAAAAGGTACTATTTAAATTAAAAGATATTGTGTTGAGTTGTAGTAGTTATTGCAATGATGTGTTTATGTAATTCGTGTTCGCAAAGACAAAAGCTGTCGCCATGTCAAGTGCGCAGTATCCTCGCCGTATTTGTCGCAGCCACCGTTATTTCAAAAACGCCATTCCATATGTTCCAAGTAAAAGGAAATACTTTTATGTAATTAATTAGGAAAAATCAAGAATCATGGAAAATGATGATAGATATTTACAAAAGTGAATGCAAAAGAACATGCAAAACGTAGGTATTTATTCCATGAGAAAAACTTTTGAATAGGTAGACTTTGTGATGCATTAAAAAAAGAGCGAAAAAGTAAGCGTTGCTGGCACAGTCTCATACAAATATCGTAAGGCTCGTCCTACGCAAGGTACTTAATAATATAAATTAACTAAGACCCATATTGTAAATTAACGCTTACACAATTCAAACTCAGTCATATAATCCAGCTTGATATTTATTGGACTTTAGTTGACCGTTTCAAGCCAAACTTTCCCAAAAGAACAAAAAATTATTTTAGTAAAGTTAGTCAATTTACTTGGTGAAAGAGTGACGTTATAGCGTTTTGACAGCTCGCAAAAAATTTGGAAAATAATGGAAATATCTTGTACGTGTCAAAAATATTTTTCTATTTTATTTGTCAATTACCCTATTGGGTATAGAAGAATCACAAGATTATCGAAATCCCGAGTTTGGCAAGAGTTTGGATTATTTTGGAACGTCATTTCATAAGACGGGCCCTTAAAACAATTTGAAGTGACTATAAAACGGGACTATTCTGTTGGGTTGTTATTGGCGGTCAAGATGAAAGATTGACCGCCAATAAAAACCCAACCAGCGAAGGTCAATTTTGTCTCAGGGAAAAGTTAAACTGTCATACGGCCCGCAACGATTAATCAGAAGAACATAGGAGTTCGAAGTTAAGGTTGAAACGACTATAGTCTTGTCTGTGAGCACGTAGAATTTTGTCCAATGACCCCAAGCTACCCACCCTTATCGCTCGCGCGTAATTATATTGCAGTCGCGACTGTGCGACGGGCGCCCGCAGTGAGTGTGCGAGCGCGACAGCAACATAATTACGCGCGAGCGATAAGGATGTGTAGCTTGGGGTCATTGGACAAAATTCTACGTGCTCACAGACCGCGCTTTAGTAGATGGCTGCGACAAACCGGGCGCGGCGTGTCGTGGCGCGTACCTGCAGAGCGAGCCTCGGGACGAATACCTGGAGCTGCTGCGCGGCGGGCGGCGGCGCGGCGCCCGTCAGGCTGGCCACGGCGCGGTAGCCCGAGCCCAGTTGCAAAGGCTGCACGCAACAGTCACCGGTAGTGATGCCACTCGAATGAATCGAATGATAATGTAAGCTCGATTCGAAGGATTTATTCGAATCAACATCTGATTCGATTTCGCTGGCTGATTTAAAGCAGTTCTTTCAATTTCTTGCAATTTTGATGGCGTACATACTTACAGAGAAGGCAATAATTTATCATTTTTAAAATTTTCTTATTTTCATTCAAGCTAATTTAAAAACTGACTTCATTATTCTCTGCAGAAAAATTACATTTAATTTTATTTCAGATTTAATTCGAATCAGCACATTGATTCGAATCATCATGTTGATTCGAAAAATCGGTTAATTTGAATCGATTCGGATACATTTTTTGATTCGAGTCCCATCACTAGTCACCGAACTTCGCCAACTCCGCGGGACGAATTCCGTGTTTTCGGCTCTATTCTTCTATTGACAGAATTTTTAAGATGATAGACAGAGCCGAAAATACGTAAATCGTAGCGGAGTAGGCACGCTGAGCCGAAGCTTACTCGGTAACGCACATAGTCGTTCGCAACGCAACGCAACAAGGCTGCTTTATTCATTACTATGATTTTTTATGTACTTTGCAAATTCAGTTTCCCATTGTGAAGACTCCTGATCAAAGAACCATTATAGTGTAGTAGATTAAATCTAAAACACCACAAGAGCACAGAGGGTAATATTGACGTGAATAATGCGATGTGATTGATGCCTGTTACTGATCAATACAGTAGGCAGTATGTCCATTAGTATAATCATACGATACCAACCATACATTTTTATAATCATAATATTTACAGTTTTATTTAAAAACATATTAATTGGCCCGTTTTTGCTATGCGTTGCGATCACGACTGCCCAGTCTTGCTAATGTTACCTGTGCATCTGCGCGAATCCGACTCGTTTTTATGTTCCACATTTTAGTTAAAAACAAAAGTACCGTAAATCGAACGTATACGTGTTAGTGTATCGGGGTGACTGGGTTCAGATCGTTGCAACCTCCGTTCAATGTTATAATTTGTTTACTTATCAAATCTTAGTCTGCAGTAACTCATTTTTTTCTTGAATCTGTTGTAATTATTTCTTTAGAAGTTAACCAAGCGCATCGAGCTGAATCCGACAGTAAGTCACACCCGGACCGTGTCTAGACTGAATTGATTTAGTAATAACCACAACCCAAACAAAAAAAAAAACACCACAATTTAACACAACTAACATTCCATCGTTGATCTGATCAAACACCTTCGTCATTCGCCATTTCAGAACGAGTAAAGCGTGCTTTCATGAGAATGTGAGGGAAATAAATTCGGATTAACAATGAATATAGTATTTGCAACAACACCCGTCAATCTATTAACATTGACAGGTAGTTATAGAAAGTTTTACTTTATAATGCAATCAAAAAGTATGCAAATGGTGTTCAGGCGTTCACAATTAAGGCACACATCGCGCAAGCTCAGGAATATGTGTTTACCTTGGGATCCACAGCGACGGCCGACTGGGGCGTGGAGGACGTCGTGTTGCAACTGGCCACAACCTCTGGTGTTGTGATGCAACTAAACGGTATGGCGGAATCACCCTGCGAAAACAAAACACAATCAGTACACCTCGAATTTACACAACGTAATATTACAAAACATCTCATTAACGGAAAAGCTTCCTACCTCTTCACCGGCGGAGGTAGACGCCCCGGGTTTTACTGACACATCTCTTTTTAAATTCTCAAACAGGAGAACTCTAAGTGCGGTTTTGTTAATAGCATCTTTCCTCTTGGTGTCATCGCTGACTCCAACCACTCTCTCTTTTTTCTTTTTGTTAGATACCTTCGCTACCGTATTATCATCGGGGATGTTAGCTTGGGCGGTGTTATTTAGCACTTCGTGTATCTGCAGGGATGGTTGTTGATCTTTGTTATGTAGAGGTATGAGTAAGCGTTTAGGCAGTGTTAGGAAAACATAAGCGTTATTAGATAGTTCCGCTAAAATGTATTGATCGTTTGACACCTTTTCTTGGGGTTTATTCAACTGAATGACCAGTTCATTCGATTCGGCACTAGGCCCTGTTTCTTCCGCCACAATTTCCCTAGTCGGTTCTTCGATGACTTCCTCTTTATGAGATTTTTCTAGATCTTCTACTATTTCACTGTTTGAAGTTTTCTTCTCGTCGTTTTGGATTTCTTCAATATGGCATTGTTCATTTGCATCGGAATTTTCTAGAGCTTGTAACAATTTTTCCTGGGTAACACAATATTGTGAAAAAGAATCAACGTCGCTCTTATGCCGACTTGTCGTAACGAAGTCTGTTAATTCAATGTCGTTATTATTTTCTTTTTCCAATTTAATCTGAGTATGATCAATAGCTATCATTTCAATGTCTTTGTTTTTATCAATTAGAGGAGGATTGCATTCGAGATTATCGTGTTTATTTGCAGTAATTTCGATCATCTTCACACCCTTTATTATTTCTTTTTCGTTATTGGAACTCTCAGTACCATTACAAAAATCTGAATTGTTGTAATTTTCATTCATCTCAACATTTTTTTCTTCTTTACTCTCACACTTTATAACATCATTATTATCATTGCTTCCTACATTTATATTTTTTATATCACTAGTAGTTTGTATCACATCCGAGCTTTGACGAGGTTCACCAATGTTTGTAACAGACGCCGAACCTATTGTCATATTTCTAATATTTTTTGGATTTGCTACAAATTTTAATGGTTTTAAACTATAACCTACTTTCTCTCTGTACTCATTTTTATATCTAATATCACTTTTCGCAGTATCACTAGCTTTTTTCTCTACCCTGTATAATTCTGAACTCTCGTCGATCACATTATTAATTTTATTTTGAGATTCTTCCGTTACTTGCTTGGCGATTCTTGCTTTGGAAACATATTTAATAGAACTAGCATCGAGAATTGGCACTGTATTTCTTCTTGAGCTATTAATATTATATTTAGATTTTTCATTAACACTTTTGCCCGTAGCAATATTTTCTGGAATATTGGGGCCTGTATTCGTTGAGTTCGGACGATATTTCGTTTGGATTTCTGTCACTTCAGGTGGATGTGTACGCGCACTGACTTCAGGACCGTCCTTTTTGTAAGCGATATGACTTTTATTTCGTTGCTGTGCGGCGCCTCTGGCCATCTGTTGGAACGTGTCATGATAAGCTGCCAGACCCTCGTACCACCGGTCCACCCCACTGGACCACTGTTCGGAAACGGGGCTGGTATACTGGCGATATCTCGGCGAGTCCCACGAGGCGTAGCCTTCGGTCGCTCGTCGCTGGGGCGGGTCCTCGCTCGGGCTGCATTTCATACTCGGGCCGCGCGGTTTGCGTGTCTTACCTTCAGCGGGAGGGTTAGATTCGTTTCTTTCGTGTTTCGGGTTAAGTGCGTTCATGAGTCTCTTCTGGTCGGGGTTCGGTTTGGGGTTCGCGTCGGTGTGCCTCGCCGGGGCGGGCGGCGGGGCGGGGCGGGCGGGGCGGGGTGTACGCACCTGGTTGGAGGCGGTGGTGGTGGTGACCGCGCGGCCCGAGCAGACGCTGCCGCTGCCGATTTCGAGAGTCGCGCGCGCCGTGTACGTCATCGGGAACACCGGCTTACTCCTTCTGCGAACAATCCGCGATTGTGACGTCAGCGCTCGCGAAACGATTCGCGTTTTGTTTCATTTGGAAGGGCGATATCTTATTTTGCCGCGGGTTTCGATAATAGATATAGATTTGCAAGCTCATGAAATATTTATTCATAAATATTTTTGATGAAATGCAGGGGTTNTAGGGGTATTAATTAATGTAAAAACGCCACAATTTACGTCCTTTCATCCCTCAGATTTGTTAAGCAAATATATTGTTATGGCCATAATTTTGATTAATAAACGCTTCTGAATTTAAGGTGTGTCGTTTTAGCTGTATTTTTATCACTCTGGCGCCAAATAAGTGGTCCTAAATGAAAAAATCTTCTAGAACATGAGATGAATAAACTGTGGGCAGAAAATCACATTTAGATATTAATCAAAATATGATAAAAACCCAATAAAGAAAAACTTCCTTTGTTCTAAACTAATAAACAATTTGAAAGGGAATAATAAATAATATCAATAATGTAATAAATAATGTTGTGCAATACTCTTCTGATATTGCGAAATATTTATAAATACGAATCTGCGTTCTCATCATTACTATTTTATTGCTGTATTTATATCTTCTTCCATCTATCATTCATCACACTTTGTGATAGGTACCTTTGATACTTACTCTTTTCTGCAATATATGAGGATGCAAGCAGCAGTGGGTTCCAAGTAAAGCTAAATATTTGACATTAAATATAATCGAACTCAATATAACACCTACATTTTTGTAAGTAAGAATTGTTTACTCTTCAAATTACTGAGAATAAGTTTGTGACAAGATGCTCAAATTATAATCTAAAAGTAAGAATTGAAAAAATATCAAAAAAAAACTAGCTGGACATTAATATTATGTTTCTCGAGATATCTGACCAGCCGCTCAATAAATTAAAAATATTTAACACATTTCTAGACTATTGTTAAAGTACTATTTCTGCATCGATCCGCCAAGGCTGTCAAAACGGTAACTGGCATCTTGATTTTCCTTTAAAAAGTTCTCACAACTGTGTGCGGCAGGCCTTTGCGTTCTTCCGGCGGTCAAGATTTGATTATCCTGAATGCATGCGGTCAAGATTTGATTATCAGGGTGAATGATAAGTGATCTCACTCAATTATTTCTAAACTATACATACAAGATATCGAAAAATTGGTTACTGATCCTGCTTCACGTTTTTTAAATTAAATAATAAACTTAAAATAAACTCGTAAAGGACAATGGGCAAAATGGTACCCGGCTCCAATAGATATGCTTCTAGTGTCGTTTGAAAGGTCTTACCAAGACGAACAACTTTTACTATGGCCACCAGCCTCAGATCTGCTTGTGTTCGAAGATAAACATACTTTTTTGCAAAATGGTACCCGGCTCCAATAGTTATGTTTGTAGTATCATTTGAAAGGTCTTACCAAGACGAACAACATTTACTATGGCCACCAGCCTCAGATCTGGTTGCGTTCGAAGATATACATACTTTTTGTGTAACCGAAGTATCATACGTGTCCATCTTATGATCTTAGGTTATGCGAGGCATGAAGGGTTTACTGCTCTAGCATCCTTCCTTAACTCTATAATTATTGATAGAGATAATTGTGAAATAAATGTTTTTATTTAAAGAACTACTACCCCCTTATTTAAAAAAAGTTATACCTAGGATGAACCTTGGATTAAAATGACATTTCCATAGGTACCAAATGACAGTTTAAATCAGAGTTCAACTAGGGTGTAACTTTTATTAATAAAAGGGTTGGAGTTTATTATTTTTTAAGGGTTTTATTATGGGTTTCTTAAGCGAATAAACCCACAAGACCCAATAAGTCCACCCACAAGTTGGACCGATGACCTTATAAAGGTAGCGGGAAGGCGCTGTATGCAGGCCGCTACCGACCGGCCATTTTGGAAATCATTGGGGGAGGCCTATGTTCAACTGGACGTCTTATGGCTAAAATGATCATGATGATGATGATGAAAGCGAATAAAGGGCTAATAGCTTGGGTAGTTCATCGTAGGTATAATCCTTTCCTTTTCAAGGCTTCTTTTAGTTATATAAATAGATTGTAGTCATAGTACATACTCGTATACATGGATGATTGTGTTATACTTTCATTACAATACTTAGTGGAATTACTGCTTTCAAAACGTGAATTAGAACTGGCCCCATAGCAGACATTTTTCTACATCTAAAGGCCTTTTGAAATATGTATTGGTTATGGCTATTGGAGCGGGTACCACTTTCCATACATTTGTGCCCATCGTCCTTTAATGATTATTTAAAATTATTGATGGAAAACATTAGTTTTAGGCTTTACTTGCAACAATATTATCAAGAGATGAGTGCTATGACTGAGGTAGTACCTACTACATGTATGGAAGATGGAAACATTGCATTGAATTTTTGGATAGATCCAGTTTTTTCTGTAACCTATTATTGATACCATTGGATAGGGCTTGTAAAGCACTTTTAGAATCAGTAATCAGTTTTACGATATCATGTGTAGTTTTTAAAATAATGTGACTTTACCAAATGTATGGAAGCTGGAAACATTGAATTTTCGGATAGATCCAGTTTATTCTGTAACCTATTATTAATACCGTTTGATAGAGCTCATGAAGCACTTTCAGTATCAGTAACTAGTTTATTGATATCTTGTATAGTTTAGAAATAATCGAGTGAGATCACTTATCGTTTCCACCCTGTATAGCGGGGAGGCCGGGTGGTCACCCCACAATGGTCAATGGCCAAACCCAGGCCATTAGTTTTATTAGTAGGCCTTTAGTATAGATTTGCTTTTGTTTTAATTTTCAAAAAGCTGTGGCCCGTCGCCACAGTCTAAGAAATTTTGCTCATCTGGAAAATCTATTGGGCCACCCTTGGTCTAGTGTCTGCCCCCAGGGATGTTGAGCTACTAATTAGAATATGATAGTTGACAGTACATCACCCCCTGAAAATGTCCCTAGATACGCCAAAGCCTGGACAAGGGTTACCTGGCGGCAGGCGGGTCGAGGTCGGGCCCGTTGGCGTCGCTGGCCGACACGCGGCGCTCGCCCAGCGGCGGCGGGTTGACGCAGCGCACCGTCGCCAGGTAGCGCGCGCCGCCGCCCTCCTCGCCCAGGAGGAACGCTGCAATACAACAAGTGCCTTTTAGATTAGTGATGGTAATTAGTTTGCATACCCAAATTCGGCTTTTGACAACGAACTACGAACAAAAAGGAGCTACCCGCAATAGACAGTTTGACACCATACTCCAATAATTCGAAACCACAACTTTTTAAAAAAGACCATTCTGGTCTCAAAAACTTAATTAATTTTAAATTACCTGTAAATTACGATTTTTATTCGCATTGTAATTGAAAAAAGTAGTTTAATTGAGTTGACAAAATAGTGACGTCACTTGCTTGTAGTGCCATACAAAATCTATGGGAGAGTTTCGTTTTGACAGTTTTAAAAAGTACGTCAATTGATTGGTGGTGTCAACATGTCTATTCAGTTTTCCCCAACCAAGTTATGTCGGGTACAAGTGCAATCTCTGTGAGAAGCTTTAGTCTTATACTAACTATCAGTAGGAGTTTCAGTCAAGTTTTCAGTATTTGATAGAAGGAAGGCTGCCTTCACCAAGTGTAGGTTTGAAGCGAGAGCCACAAGAGCTCGCCCTTGGTTGAAAGCAGGTGAAAGTGCAGCGTGCGCTATGAGCGCCATGCATCTAGCAAGATTAGCACTTACAGGTATTACGCGGGCTCCCGTTGGAATAGGCGAATAGGTTTCCAACTAAGAGTAGAACTCATAGGTGTCGACACCGGAAGGCAGGCTGGCGCCGACTCCACCGCCAGGTCTTGTAGAGAGTTGGAGTGCAGCGCGAGCGCGCAGGTATCGAGCTACGAATTTAACTTACAGGTGTCGACGCCGGAAGGCAGACTGCCGCCTTGTATGGCTCGCGTGGAAACCGGCGCGGGCGCCGGCGCGTGGTGTCTCGGGCGACGCGGCGCCGACTCCGCCGCCAGGGCCGCCACCAGGTCTTGTAGAGAGTTGGAGTGTAGCGCGTGACGGGAGCACGCAAGTATCTAGCTACGAATAGGACTTACAGGTGTCGACGCCGGAAGGCAGACTGCCGCCCTGTATGGCTCGCGTGGAGACCGGCGCGGGCGCCGGCGCGTGGTGTCTCGGGCGACGCGGCGCCGACTCCGCCGCCAGGGCCGCCACCAGGTCTTGTAGAGAGTTGGAGTGTAGCGCGTGACGGGAGCGCGCGCCGCCGCCCGCCGACCGCCGCGGAGCCCGAGCCGCGCCCACCCCCCGCGCCGCCGCCTCGCTCGCCTGGTCGTCTTGCTGCTCCACCTCCTCCAGTAACTCCTGCAAAGAGTGTCCTGTGTTAATGCCCAGTTTTTCCTGACTGACAGTAAATACATATAGTACACTCTACTGAGACTAGCTTGGTACATGAATTTAGTTTGTAATGTAATTAATTTGTAATTAGCTAAAACTGGTTTTAACTTAAATTTTGTAGTACGTCTGTCGTATTAGCACAAAAATATTGGTATTTAGAATCAGATAGAGAAGATACGTGTATGAAGACACGAATATTTTTTTACAAACCCTTACCTTAGCAGTTTTAAAATTAAATGAGAAACAACAGATAGTCATAACATTGTCTGCAAAGGGCACTGAGGAACTGAGCTTCATTTAATCAATAAATGCATGAACTACAATAACATTAGCTTGCAGTAACGTGAGAAGTACACGATTAAATTCCAATGCATACCTATTCCAACGACACCTATAAGTTATGTGCAAATTAACCATAACCATTGAACCAGCACTAACACAATTTGCTGATCCAGCTTAAACGTAGAGAATGTTATTGACTATTAACTTGGCTTTCTCGGGCTAATTGAACTAATTGATACTACACTGGATTACCTAATTAATTTACTTTGAAATGTATGTAATATAACACACCTTGAATAGGTTGCTTTTGCCTTCAANCGCCACCAGGTCTTGTAGAGAGTTGGAGTGCAGCGCGAGCGCGCAGGTATCTATCTAGCTAAGAGTAGGACTCACAGGTGTCCACGCCGGAAGGCAGGCTGCCGCCTTGTATGGCTCGCGTGGAGACCGGCGCGGGCGCCGGCGCGTGGTGTCTCGGGCGACGCGGCGCCGACTCCGCCGCCAGGGCCGCCACCAGGTCTTGTAGAGAGTTGGAGTGTAGCACGTGCCGCGAGCGTGCTTTTATCTAGCTGAGAATGTGACTTACAGGTGTCGACGCCGGAAGGCAGACTGCCGCCCTGTATGGCTCGCGTGGAGACCGGCGCGGGCGCCGGCGCGTGGTGTCTCGGGCGACGCGGCGCCGACTCCGCCGCCAGGGCCGCCACCAGGTCTTGTAGAGAGTTGGAGTGTAGCGCGTGACGGGAGCGCGCGCCGCCGCCCGCCGACCGCCGCGGAGCCCGAGCCGCGCCCACCCCCCGCGCCGCCGCCTCGCTCGCCTGGTCGTCTTGCTGCTCCACCTCCTCCAGTAACTCCTGCAATGAGGCCATGTGTTAATGCCCAGTTTTTCCTAAATGACAGGAAATAGAATACATACTACTGAGGGAGCGTGGTACATGCAATTAGTTTGTAAAGTAATTAATTTGTAACTAGCGAAAACTGGTTTTAGCTTAAAATTTGTAGTACGTCTGTCGTTTTAGCACAAAAATATTGGTATTTAGAATCATATGGAGAATATGTTTTTTGTAAACTGCACCTTAGCTGTTTTAAAATGAAGGATTCATTTGAAAAATTAATGAGAAACAACAGCTAGTCATAACATTATCTGCAAAGGGCACTGAGGAACTGAGCTTCATAAATGGATGAACTACAAGAACATTAGCTTGCAGTAACGTGAGAAGTACACGATTAAATTCCAATGCATACCTATTCCAACGACACCTATAAGTTATGTGCAAATTAACCAAAACCATTGAACCAGCACTAACACAATTTGCTGATCCAGCTCAAACGTAGAGAATGTTATTGACTATTAACTTGGCTTTCTCGGGCTAATTGAACTAATTGATACTACACTGGATTACCTAATTAATTTACTTTGAAATGTATGTAATATAACACACCTTGAATAGGTTGCTTTTGCCTTCAAGATCTTTGGGACATTTGTAATTCATAGCCTCATCCAGGAGCGCGCGGAGCTGTCCATCGTCCAGGTTCACCACTTGTTTGTTGTTCTGAAACAATAAAAAAAAAAACAAGTAAAAAACACATTCATATGTATTGCCAAATAGATTTCCATAAAATTATTTAGATTCTGCTGTTTTGTTTAGTGTAAAAAAAGTATTGATTCAAATTGTTTATGCATGCAAAATGACTCCAGTTTGGTGGCAAAACGCACCGAATCTGTTTTAAAACAAGACCTGTTGATAGTGCAGCAGTAACGGCGTAAATATACGCAAAAAGGAAATAGTGTCCATACGAGCGGCGGCCGTGTATCGGCGCATTAATGTCAAGGCTAGAAAGTCCGATTGCCGGCCTCTCTTATCGGCGGACCTCTGGCCGAAGATGGCGCTGCTCTACTCCTAGTTACCGCATCGAGTGTCATAACGATAAGTGATATTGCTTGTTAATAGCTTTATGATCCACTATACGCGATAGTTATAACAACAAGAGAACAACAGTGCGACTTCCATATCAATCGGATTGTGAAGAAAAGTAAACACAGTTATATTTTTAAGTGCGGACGGTAACAAGTTTTTGAGACTATTAACTTTGAATTTTATGATAGATTTACAAGATCTTATGTATACGTGCTAACAAACGGCAATTATTGAGTTACTATAATAGAAGATAATAAAAAAATCATAATGTAGGTATACAATAAACAAATTCAGATAACATACATACAGTACAGTAATCATCGATGATGTGCGAATTAACACAAAACATTATCATACCTTGCCTACTAAAAGTGATAATTAATGCAAGGTTCCGGATAAGTTCCGTAACACTTACAGATAGGAAAAGATTGTATCAGCTACTGTTTTTTAATGTTTAATCACAATGAGTAACCATACGACTACCACGGACTATTTTTAGCACAAGCTATTACAATTTTAATATTTTACCAATAACCTTACTTGAAAGCACCTTCAAAGCAAATGGTGTGTCACAACAACACTATTATTATTAGCCGATATTTGAATCAATAAAACTTTTTTTAAAAACACAATCCATCCAACGTCCATGGAAAAAAATGTTTACAATGACCGTCCAATGGAAAAACAAAGCTTGTTTTAGGTAAACAAGGTAAATTACTATCGATCCTAATGGGCATCACTGGGAAAACCATATAGGGCTTCAACGGCGAATTGGGGAAAACCAAATAACTTTACTGCGATTGTGCAGTGTAGATGCATTGGTTTTATTTGCAATCTGACCTGTTTAATAGGCATAGTTCACCATCAGGAACGAACAGCGTGATTTTGATAGTTCAAATTGTTTGAAAGGATTTAAACTAGATAAACGATTGTTTTCATTGCTGACACTTTGTATCCGTGTAGGTTTCGCTCGGAACTTCCAACAGGTTGGATGCTGAGCGGCTCGCGGCGCGCTGCGGAGGTCGCTTTGTAAGCCTGCGCAGGTAGCCTGCGTCACTGGCGGCGAGCCACGACACGCACGCCACTTCGAACGGATCCGAACTTCACAATAAAACACCAGATAGCATCGCAAATTGCCACAATGAGTCAATATTAATTTGTAAGATCACACAATCTACTGATACGTACACTTTCTGCCTCTCGCCAAAATAAAAGCAAACTAACTTGACAGGAAAGTACAAAGTAATAATGTAACATTAGACGTCGGCCGAAAGTCGTTAAACTCCGCTAATCTAATTTAATCAGACTCATTACGAGCGATTCTTCGAAAGCAACAGCAATTTTGTTACGTCATCGCCAGACGAAAATATGAAAAGTTGTCAATACACGTCGAATGACGAACAAGCGAGTCATCGTTTGTTCACAACAACAGGAGCGCGGAGGCCTACTGACCCAATTGTTTAGACAATAGATTTTTCATTTCATGTAATTTTTATGGAAATCAAGGAGATAAACTCCATAGTAACGAGAATGTAAATACTAAGACGAAGGTAAAGTGGGGGCGGGAAGGGATGATGCGAGTGGGAGGGATGATTAAGTTTCCGAGAATAGACTGCTGAATATTATTACCGAAGCGTCTATTGCGTGCGTGTATCATTTTTTTAACAGTTTCAAGTTACATTAGTCCTCATGAAGTAAACATAGGTACTACTTAACCTGGTAATATGCCATATCGATTTAAGGATTGGCTCATGGCAAACAGGCTAGTTTAAATTGGAGTTAATTTGGTAATTGCCTTGCCTTTTAGGGCATTTAAGAACAATGATTATTGTAGAGTTACAAATAAGGTTACAATTTTAAAACAATTTATTGGATTAGATAGCTTAAAAAATATTATAACTTTTATTACAAAAGTTTAAAACTTTAAGTTGTGAAAAATGCAAATCCTTTCAAATGTTCAATCCAAATGCGCGATTGCTCAACTAACACACTTCCACGTTCTACATCTTAATCACTTCCTTATGATCATTATTTAATTTTGGTATCTAAACGCAACTTCAATGATGAAGTGACGACGTAAACGGCCTATGTAATTAGCGGTGATGGTGGCACTGATAACGCGACGCGTCACAGCGCCGCTATGTCAAAAGTGGGATGCGTGGACGCATGCCAACCTGCTGACGAAAACGAGACACACTGTCTCGCAGATATAAACATATTCACACGTAGCCTGATAAATCACGAAAGTAAAATCTTATTCTGGGCAATATGAATCAGTGCTCGCGAGTATAGGTGCACTGCAGTCACAGCCAGGTGTGTACGTAACTCTATACGGTTTTTGTTTATGTTTCGGTATTGTTTTCGACAAAAGCCGGTCTAGTGCATGTTGTGTTGTTCGGGAAATCAGGGCACATCTTTGTTTCGAGGGCTGTCATGAAGACATAGACGTAAATGTACAACAGAAATCATCTTTTTCAGCCTACTCCCTACTTTTAGAAAGAAATAACAAAGTTCCTAAGACAATTCCATATGACGTAGATCTGCTCAACAATATGTAATTTGGTTTCAATATCATCCAATTTACATAAGCCAAAATTTCAGCTCAATCAATTTGGTAGAGGTTTAAGTCGCAGACTACCACGCGACACAGGTGACAAGAAAATTAAAGTTCGTAAAAATTCAGGGAAAACAGTAAAAACTAAGAATTCTGATTGTAGCAATTTGCTATTATTTAAACAACGATTAGTTAATGAGTAATTACAATTAGTATACTAACAAGTAACATTGCATATAGCCGGCGCATTGCAAAAGCACAATTATTTGATGAACTAGAGCCTTGCACACTATAGGGCTTTAATAATAAAACATGACGTAGTTGTACCTTGAGTCGGTCTTTTCAATTAAGTCAAATGTTATTTACGTAAGTGACATTGCGTAAAAATACGCGGAGCTGAGTGTAGCATTTGGTAGCGACAGGTTTGCATTTACTTTAGAGTGCAAAAACTTGGTCAAGCGTGAAACTACATGTGGCATTTTATTAGCCATTTTCAGGCACGGAACCAATTCTACATTACACTATCTAAAATCGAAAAGTGATACATTTTTCTTTTTTATATTAGCAATAAATCCATTTTGACACAGGCTTCCTTATATTGAGTTACGACGATGTACTTTATTAATAAAAAAAAACAAACAATTGATCGTTCGAGACCCAACTAATTACGAACATGTTTCAACCCTGCATTCTGAGTAAATACAGAATACCACGTAGCAATGCAAGCAAAATTTAATCAGATGTAAGAGCAGCTTCAAATAACGTACAGGTTTAATTTAATCAATCAATACGAGTGGAAAAGATAAACCGCTAGATAATAAAACATACAAACCAAACAGAAAAAATATATTGATTTAAGTTAACAAGTACCGCGCACGATGTTAGCTTTTAGATAAGTATCAGCTTACAGAGAAATGTTATCGACTGTGTATTCAATGCTCATTGTCTTTTTTCTAATGTCAGATTATGTTAATTATGTACCATTTACTAATTATAATAAGTTTAAATGACATCTAAACATATAAAAATGTTACATGTACTGCCAACTTTGAGGCGTTTGAAAAAGGCAACTCAGTCTATTTTTAGAAACACAAATGAATTAGTAATAAAACATTACGATTAAAACGATACATATTGATTCGGACGCAACAGTTAAACTTCCTAAAAAATCGTACAGTTGGAAAACCGCATAATTTATAATGATGAAAAATAAATGGCTACAACATTTATGAGACTAATTACAATTTTATTGAAATTGGCAACAATTTATTTTTCTATAAGCCAAAACTTTTTGGGACTGTGGGAATACGATCCTTAATCTTGCTGGGTAAATTGAAAAGAAAGAGCTACCGGAAGCACGAACGTGGATGAAGGGAGAGAGGTCTTTGAAGTGCCTATCCCGGAAACACTAGGCGGTGAATTTTATGAGCTGAAGGAAGGTTGTAGGGAAAAAATACAATAACGATTTTATCTGCTCATTTCAGTTATACGATGTTACTGTTTGCAAAAGGGTTGAAAATGCTGAAAATATGACACGATAAAGTGATGATCGCATAGCAAGGTTTTTAGTTTATCAAATTATTTGTAGTTTCAGGGAAGGTTAGAGGAGAAAATATTATGGCATAAACAGATAGAAGTAAATGTAATAGTTATGACTTATGAATATCATGGCTTTATTCTTATAGGTATATAGTATAGTTTGTTCAAGAAGTAATGGTCTGTCGTCTTTCGCGAATTTTCCTTTAATTCTGTCAGATATAAAATTAACATTTTGAACAAAGTTGACCAGTTGAATAACAATAACAGCGTTTTACATGATATCACACCTTACGAACTTACATAAGAATAAACTGCGCAGTTTGTGGGCAAGCAAGACGAGATTAAAAAACCTATTTGAAATGACAAACAAATTACTTATGAATTAGGTCTACGTATCAGTAACCTTGAAATAATTAGAATCTGCGCGTGTAGATAACAGTTGAACCCAAATAATTTGGATCAACTCTAGGCAAACAGAAACTTGCTTGCAAAGATTTATTCAAAATCGTTTGCGCACACACCACACAATAAAACCTATCAA